TGTTTTGGAACACTTTTGAAAAGGGGTAAAAAGTTGGAAAAAAGAGAGACCTCGTCCCCTTAATTTTCAAAACATGTTTGGAAAGATTGGGGTTACAGGTCATTAGCAGTAGCAAAGGCAACAGCAAACCTACATGTAATTCCTGTCATTCTGTCTTGGCCAATTTCAAGTGTCACTCTAGCTGTTACCAGAAGCACCATTAAAAATTTTATTCAAACCCACGCAATAATGCAACTCCCCAATACACCTCTACCATCATGGGAGTATATCATGTCAGGCGATAATGTGTTTTGACCCCGCGGATATTATTATGTCCTGGTTATTACACCAAAGATCACACGCAGGCCTCCTCTCATGGGAAAACAGAACATTCTTTCCATTTTGTCAGAATTGGGCCAGAATTGCTTAACAAGAACTCCACTGGGTGATGACTAGAAAAGGTGGGGGAGTAATCTGGACCATGACTAGAATTCCCAGCTTGAAAATAGACAGACTCTCTGCAAGTTATGCCCTATGGTTGAATACTGTCATACCCCCTCCTCCTCTTGAGAATCTAGAATCAATCAAGAGCGGTATTAACTGATATCCTCTCGCTTGATCCAACAGCGGAAGTCATTAGATTAACTGAATGACTACCGCACTTCACTGGAACATTGCCAGTCCTCTTAGGCAACCAGTATAGACCTGTAAGCTTCAAAAGCAGATCTACAAAATCGGTATACCATGGTAATCATAATTAATCAAAAAATGTATGACAGATCACAGCTCATAAATAAATCATTGTTCACAAAATAGAATACAAGTATACCCTGAATTTTGAGTTATCATTAAGTTTTGTTGAATATTCCTCATAGACATTGCCAAAATTGTCCCTATAAATAACATCTGAAGTAATGAATAACTTATTAGTGCCCCCCCCCCCACTCAAAATCAGAAAGAAATCAGTACAGCCCTGTGGACCATACATTGCGAGAGTCCCTTGCCCCGTTTCAAATGTTTTAAGAGAATAATAATGCGAGTGTCAATTTTGCAGACTGTTTTGTATTCAGGAAAATGTTGTATGAATAGATCTCTACAGTACATGGTTGCTTCCTAAATTCACACAGGAAAAGCAGACAAGGGTGTTAATGAATTGCTTCTTGATTCAACATTCAACACATGTGAATCGTTCATTAGCTTTTTTTTTTTAAAGTGGTTTATAAGCATGTTATACAACCTGAAAGTTTTGCACATGTGTAGGTTTTACGTGCACAAATTTGGTCAATTCCAGTGTTTTGTAAGCAAAAACACTGCTTAAATAGTTGAATTGCTCCCAAAGTGCACAACAAACTGTTTTTTCTCACTTATTGATGTTGGCAGGGGGAGTTACATATCCCACACAACTTCCCAGTCCCCTACAAGAAAGCAATATTGCTCCAAACAACAGCAAAATGTATGTGATCTGCTAGCGAATGGTAGATACATGTATATTCTCTGCAGGATACCAGACCCTCCCTTGGCCTTCCACCGGAAAAAAATTCTGGCTATGTCACTGTTTCCACACTAAAGATAAGATACCAGATAAAAAAATGATACCAAATATTTCCTCTAAGCCTAGATTCATCCAGTGGTTAGAGTTTGACGCCACAGAGTTCCTAACCGTTCTGGCTTCTTGCAGACGGCTGTGGGTTATGTGAACTTGCAGTGACCGGCAATGACCCAGTCTTTTTACTGGTTATTGAGAACCCTGTCAGGGTAATAATGATTTGTATGATGACTTCAAGCCAGAGCTGGAATCTACCAAATAAAATAGGACAAAAAAACCCCCCAAAACCAGAACTGTGGCAATATCTCTGGTCTCCCTCTGAGCACCTGTGGGGGTTTCTGCATTTTACTGTGTCCATCCAAGTCCCACCACAGACGTGTTGAAGGCAATACTAATTCTGAGAAGGCTTTTGGTGCTAAGGATTGATAATAAATGGTGATTTACTGCCTAAAAGCTGGACAAGTGTGATGAAGGGAGCATTAACGCTGCGTAGGGCCTGCACATAAAAACCACTTTCACCAATACCAATACTGTTGCAAATATTTTGTTTCTACATTAACTACACAACCTGGTATTTTATTAGATTTTTGTTCGGGAAGAGTACCAAATAGGCTAAAGACTACAATTCATTTCACCACAACAGCAACAGCTTTGCTAACAAAGATGAGAAAAAAAATAAAGCTAATTCCCTACAAAAGCAAGGTTTGTTTTAATAGGGTCGTTTTGAAAGCCATTACAAGCCTTCAAGGTGCACAATACAAAACACACCAGACTTGACTGCTTCACATCAACCATTCTGTACGGTGGCCCACAACTGTCACGGCAAGCGCAACGGCAAGCGCAAAAGCGCCGCGGCAAGCGCAAAAGCACCGCGGCAAGCGCAAAAGCACCGCGGCAAGCGCAAAAGCGCCGCGGCAAGCGCAAAAGCGCCACGGCAAAAGCAAAAGCGCCACGGCAAGCGCAAAAGCGCCGCGGCAAGCGCAAAAGCGACACAGCCGCAAGCAAAAGCGCCAGGGGTTTATTGGGAAGGGGCGTTATCATACATGCCGCTACTACATCAAAAAATAAAATGGGAAGGAGAATGGCCGCCACCAGGAATTCTTATTAATCACAGAATTTAATTCTTTGAGAAGTGATTTTATGGCTGAGAAAATAGCAAGGAAAACCGGTCAGTGAAGCAACGTTTAGGGACTGATAAATCATCGATATTAATTTGTTGTAGGATGATTCCAAGATTATTCCAAGAGAGTTCCTGCCGTGAATCAGAGTTTATAAAGGAGAGGGGAAGTAGGACTCGCTATATCAGCACCATCAGGGCCGTTCCTTATTTCTTTACATTTCGTGGGATGCAAACAATTACGAGGACGGGAGGCTCTGTCAGCTGATGCATTTTTGAAAACATTTTTTTATCCTTCCGACTAGCATGCAGAGAAAAGTTCCGTTAATTTGAGCCTTTTTTCACAGGTGTGTATACCAGTGTAGGCACGCAAGTGAGCTGCCCAGAGTGTATGAGTTAAGTTTTTTTCTTTTTCAGTATATCATACACATCTAGGAAGTCAATTAAGGCTCTCCTGCACGGCTGCGGCAGTGGGTGGATCAGGCTTGTCAACACGTAACTCGCCCGCGGGCCCATTAGGTTAGAAATTCCCAGAGAGCGGGAATTTCAAAACTCTTCCCTGAACGTTGCTTGCACTGACCGGTTTTCCTTGCTATTTTCTCAGCCATAAAATCACCTCTCAAAGAATTAAAGTCTGTGATTAAAAGAATTCATGGTGGCGACCATACTCGCGCCCCCTTGCCCCCCTCGCGACGCCCATGGGTGAACTAAGTCTCAAATTAACGGAACTCTTCTCTGCATGCTAGTCGGAAGGAAAAAAACTTCAAAAAAATGCATTAGCTCACAGAGCCTCCCGTCCTCCCTAATTGTTTGCATCCCACGAAATGTAAAGAAATGAGGAACGGCCCTGATGGTGCTGATAGTGAGTCCCACTCCTTTATAAACTCTGATTCACGGCAGCAACCCTCTTGGAATAATAATTATCCTACAACAAACTAATATCGACGATTTATTTCCTGAACGTTGCTTGCACTGACCGGTTTTCCTTGGCCTTGCTATTTTCTCAGCCATAAAATCACTTCTCAAAGAATTAAATTCTGTGCTTTATAAGAATTCCTGGTGGCGGCCATTCTCCTTCCCATTTTATTTTTTGATGTAGTAGCGGCATGTATGATTACGCCCCTTCCCAATAAACCCGTGGCACTTTTGCTTTCGCCGTGGCGCTTTTGCGCTTGCCGTGGCGCTTTTGCGCTTGCCGTGGCGCTATTTGCGCTTGCCGTGGCGCTTTTGCGCTTGCCGCGGCGCTTTTTGTTTTGCCGTGGCGCTTTTTGTTTTGCCGCGGCGCTTTTTGTTTTGCCGTGGCGCTTTTTCTTTTGCCGCGGCGCTTTTTCTTTTGCCGCGGCGCTTTTTCTTTTGCCGCGGTTCTTTTGCTCTCGCCGTGGCGCTTTTGCGCTTGCCGTGGCACTGTTGCACTTGCCTCGGTGCTGTTGCGCTTGCCGCGGCGCTTTTGCGCTTGCCGCGGCGCTTTTGCGCTTGCCGTGACAGTTGTGGGCCACCGTAATTCTGTATACAGGGCGAGTAAAAAAAAAAAAGGAAAACCCATATGGCAGGACCAAATATTTAATGAAGTTCTGCGTGTAGCACTTTAAAAATCTAGGAATTGAAAGCCTAATTAATAAGCTTTCTTTTAGTACAAGAATCATTCAAATCACTTATGTACTTTTTAAGTTACAGAATTTTGAACACAAACACTGTTTTACAGTTCTGTTCACAGATCACAAAACAGGTAGGCCTATTGTGTTCTTTAAGCAAAACGAAATCAATTCACACTGGATCTGGGTTGACCTCAGATCCAATGACCCAGTTAAGTACAGTGTGTATGTGTTCCAATTAAAACAACAGACCTTGCCTATCTTTTAGTGGGATTTTATAAAGAGATTTATTACATGCATAGAGTAGCAGAAAGATACGTTGGGAAAGGTTATTTAATCAGAAACAGTAAACTTGCTCGAAAGAATCACCTACAATATGTTGCTTATAGTCAATGGTCCAGAATGCACACCCATCATTTAAATTCAGAAGGCTATAGCAGAAATTATACATGATCAACCTATTACCAGTATAAACATATTGTCTTGGTCTTGACAATTACAACTACCGGCGTGCACACTGACAATAGATGCACAAAAGAAGAGTTAGAAGCACTATATAAAGTCTCTTGCTCAAGGACACAGAACCAGGATACTCTTTGCTGATGGGTTAAATGCCAAGTACTTCACTGAATGACACCTCCCCCAATAAAAAAAGAAAGAAAAAAGTCATACTTTTCATTCAGTTAGGACAGGGCACAAGCCAACCCCTTGTTTCCTCCTATTATTAATTGATTAGAAATTAGAATTCAAGCAAATAATATCCTACCTGAGAGTGAGAAGACACCAGCAGCAAGTTGCGTATCATCCACTGATCCCACAGGCTGCATCAAACCAGTAGAAGGCGCCGTGTTCACAATGACTAGCTGGGTCTCTGGTTCTTCACTGACCTCAGGCACCATGTCCTTAGGTAAATCAGGTGATCCAAAAGAAAATATCAAATAATAATACAATAAAAAATAATGCTTTTGAAGCCATTTAGATGAGTGAGAACCAGAAATTACACCCAGGCATTCAAATGCAAATGAGATTTAATTTGAGTCTCATGACTGAATATATAAAGAGGAATACAAAGTCTTTTTTTCTGAAATGAGAAATGCAAATGCTCTTTAATAAACGATTCCTTTACGACTGGTTGCAGAAAGTTTTCAAATCTCAGAAGCCGATATTAGTGCAAACCTTTAATGTGATGTATAATGACAGAGGAAACTACATGTACAATGTATCACATGTACATGTATCTAACATTATCATTTTAACTTTCAGGAAAGAACAGATCGTGAAGAGCTCTTTATTGACACACACATTTAATGTACAGTTACCTCTACCTTGATCAGTGTCCACCCTAATTCCAATGTAATGTATACTGCTTCCTAATAGCTACTCAATTAATCTATTAAAATCTAGTCTGATTTCAAGTATCAGCCGTGCCGATATCTACTGCATGTAGGACTAACCACTGTGGTATAGTACTACTGTACAACGATAGAGTGCTGCATGGACTAAAATCACCATCCCTCCCCAACAAAAAACAACCATTTTCCAGCCTGAGATCACAATTGAATACCATGAGTACACAATAACATAAGCCTCCTCCATGCACTTCAATAATGATTAAATTAACATGCAGAATTGAATTCTCCTTCAAAGCAGCCCTGTGAAACTGATCTTTCAAAGCAAACCTGTGAATTATTGTAAAGATCACAAAATAAAGCCAAAACTTAGATGATATGTCTTCTTTACTCCCCCTCCCTGTCCTCTTTAGAAAAAGTCAAAAACAAAACAAAAGAAAATCTTGTAGCAGCCTCGATTTTGAAAAAACTTGAGATTAATTTTGGTCCAGATATTTTCTGCCTCGGACAGGCAATACTGCTAGACCACAGTGCAGTTTATGGTCAGCAGTAAAAGCTGCTGCAAACATCTGCTAAAGTGTGTTTGCTGACCAGGAAAAGAAATCAACAGCTATCGTGCCAGTCAAAACACATGGTATATACACCATCCTCATTACAAGGTAATTTGCTTCCTGCAATTTGACCAAACCATTTGTTTATTCATTTTTTAGAACCAAAGAATAGTGCAGAAAAAGTGAACTTCCTCCGTGCAGCTCTTGAAGTTTCTAATCATCTTGCAAAATGCTTAGAATTAAGATGATTTAACAGAAGGGTGTTTTTTTCTCCTTACTTTTGTTTCTTCAAATGTCAGCTGATGTTGCACATGACGCTTCGATCCCCTTAAAACTCTCAAAAATATCCTTCAGGGTGGAGCTTGAGGTGACCTGAAATTGTGCAGCAGGGGGATTCCAGTCAAATCAGTGAGTTTGGTGGTTTTGAGACATTTTACATTGATTTTTTTATTTTGCCGATGCGCATGGCTACGGCAATGCGTGTGCAGACCAGAAGGCAGAGACTTTTTTGTTGACTTTATGTTCGTTTGGCAAAGTGGTCAATAAACTATTGTATGACATTTGTGCTCAAAGATTTAGTTTGATTCATGTAATTAATAGTCGTTCATATCAAAGCGCCCTCACTTGGCTCTCAGTGGTAAATGTAAACCTCAAGTAACTTATACTACACTATCCACAGAAAAAAACAAGCTTGACCTTTAGAGAATCTAGGGCGATTGGTTAACCCTCGTATAGTTAAACTATTGCAGAAGATTGGCTTCCTCATTAACGAAAACCACCAAACTTGAACACCACATGCTGACCGGAAAACAATCAACAAATATCGTGCCAGTCACAACACATGGTATAACACCATCCTCACTTTGACAAACAACACTTCCTCAGCTTTGGCCAAACCATTTGTTTCTTCATTTCTAGCACCGGAATATCATGCAGCTAATAAAAGAAAGGTGAGCATCCTACAAACAGCATCCGCAAGTGACTTTCACTATGGTGCGGTATCACCGTGCAATACAGCTACTGACTACAGCTATTGCATATTGGTTTTTTTTCTGCATGGTGTACAATAAAGCGAATAACCTGACAGTTTGAAGGCCAAATAATGACATTTTTAAATTGTGAAAAGGCAATGCTCAGTTCAACTGAAAGGCTACCTAATATCACTGCATTATCATTATCAATTGATATTACTGAGAAACCTACTTGGCAAATAATTAAGGGGGGGGGGACCACACTTCTCTGGTGTTAATGACTAGCCTGTCACAGAATACCCTGTGAGTTGATTTTGTCTGGCAGTAGCATGTTTTATGTATTCAGGCTTTTCATACATGTAAAACCTGCTATAAAGTACAAGAGCTGGAAGGGAATCTGTTGAAAACTAAACATTCTCGTTAACCATTTGAAGAGCTGTTTCTTCAATTGATTTACTGTTTGAATGACATAAATGAAAGAGTTTAATTAACAAATAAGAAAACACACCAACATTAGTTTAATATCAGAATAACCATTCAGTGCAACACATCTTCAACATGTAATTTGGAAAATGACACAGTGGGGAACCTGCATATATAGGAAACTAACCAAACTAATCTAAATTGTAATCTCACGACCTTTGAAAGGAAAGGTCGCGAGGAACTGAATTAATACATACATGTACATTAGACACAAATCAAAAAGACAAAAAAGGACTTACATTGAAATCTCGATAAGTCAAACCTCAAGGGAACAGGTTCAAAATTTGACTTACATGTAAGCAGAATTTTGAGTTAAGCAGGGTTGTATATTATCATTGTTATACTACTGAAGGGAATCGATTTTTTGTTTGACTTTACCGTTGTTTTGAGTTATCAGAGTTTGACTTATGGAGATTTCACTGTATTTACTAAAAACTTCAAGACTAATAAATAAATAAATAAACAAAGCAAGAACTGGAACCAGAATAAAACTAACAAATGTATTTAAAAACAAAACAAAACCAAACAAAAACCAAAACTTGAAATATTAAAAACTTGAAAACTGTATGTCAAGAAACCAAAGGAATCCAATCCCCCCCCCCCCTTAAACCCACAGTGTCAAATAATGGATCTTAACTCTTTCGCTACGGCGAGCCGCTGACAGCGGCACACAAAAATTGTACAAGTCGTACGGAAAGCTGCTGGCAGCGGCTCGGTGAGGTCGCCGTGAATAAACAGGGTATTCCCATGACATGTGCCTTATCTAAATATTTTATATCGTATAACCTCTGACCCTAGTTTGAGCCGCTGCCAGCGGCTCTCTGTCTCGCCGGGGTCTGCTACAGGTTATTGTGAGCAGTTTGTTTGTAGCGAAAGAGTTAAAGTACACTTTGGCTAAACATCAAATGACTCAACTCTGGCAGACAAACAGGACCCGAGCAGGACGCATCGCTTTACTTAAGAGGGTGCAGGTCTGCTGTATTGAATGAATGCAATTAAATAATACATGAATTTCTTTAAAGGTGAATATATCATTTGTCATTTGCACATTTGTTTTCACAGCAAAATTGCTCAAAATCTAAAGATGGGTGCTTAACAACAAACCTGATGAAGTTTTAGCTCAGCGAATGCTGTATATTCCAAGAAAACAATATTCTAGGATCTTGATTTCAATTCAAAAGTTGCCAGGTCATGTTTTGAATTGCGCTTGAAATCAGCATCTGGGACAAGTTCTCATTAAGCTGATTGAAGCTATACGATGTCTCAGACTAAAACAACAAATTATAGCAACCGCGCGTGCATGTGCGGCTGTGCATTGTGTCAACGCTTGCACTGTTTTGCCAAATTAAAAACGAACTACTAACGGAAATTTTTAAAAATGCGTCTAAAGACGCATCTTTGGAAAGTACTCTGCTTTTATTGTTTTCTTCAAAATGACAGCATGCCAGAAAGAAAAATTTCACAGGGAGTTTAGTGCCATTTTGCTATCTTTAAACCAAGTATGCTTTTTAACAATAATTTTGTCAGTTACTTCTTGGATAGCGGTAGCTTCATATGATATAGTCCACTTTTAAATTATGTGACAGAAATAGAGGGGTAAGCTAGGGCTTAAATAAACAAACAGGGGGACACACAACTATGAAAGTGAAGTGCCTACCTAACCTAAAATGCTTGATGCTGAAATTACTAAGGAAAACTCCTCCTATCTAATTTGCAAGAGAAAATTGGCTCTGCCACAAATACGTTTTGTTTTCACCTCAAGGATACGAGTACTCTAGATCCTAAAAATAATGGCAAGAAAAATATTCATATTATCTAGGATAATACCACTTGGAAAAAAATATCAGCGGTGTTAATGAAGCCCTTCCCTTGTTTGGCACAAGTGCACTCTACAGCCACTAGCAGTGGAAGTGCTCCTACAGGGGTTTAGCACAAGGGAATAGCATCTTGAAATTTCCATCAGAAGCACTTCTTCACTTTTTTGTGGTTTATTATTAGCCTATCTTTTAGGGAAATCTACTACATTAAATTTAAATTAGGCAGATTTGTTTTGTTCATTATTAAAACAACTGAGATGAAGATATTGGAACCTTACGTATACATGCAAACAGACATCATCCATGCCGTTCTATCCTGGCCCGCACCTATGTCTAGTAAGGCAGCATCAATACTCCATTACCATTACACTGCATTGTTGGTGGGGGGGGGGGGGGTGCAGGAATCTATGTTGATTCATTACTTCCTATGGCTACTATTGTAGAACATCCCATCCTGATGCCAAATTAACTAACCGGTATTAACATTATCTCCTTAATAACCTGTTGTGACCCACATGTGCAACCACCTAATCACCCTGGATTAAGTCATTAACCTTGAAACAATGGAAACTTATTGACATGTCCTACCCCCAGGCATATATAAGAAAGGGGGGGGGGGCTAATATACGGTCACTGGGAGATATGTAGTCAATAATATCTAATGACTTAATGAGCATAATGTGCACCAATGAATCACCAATAAACCATCAGGATCAACATATTATCCTGTACACAAATGTACGTCAGCTAGCCGTTGGGGTTGCACTGCAATTTCAGTAAACCCAGTCTTTCTCCAATTTGGCAGGCATGTGCAGCTCTATTGCTGAGCTGATTTTATTTTTGGAAGGAAAACAGTGAAAATCTGGATTTTCAGAAAGTTTCATATATTTTCCACTTACCCGGTATATGTACAAGTTTCAGAAATTGTAAAGCTACATTTGCATGTTGTTTTTAATTCCATGTCTTGTGGCAAACTTTAGACTAGTTTTTTTTAAGGAGGGGGTTGGGGGGTTGGATCCGGATTAAGACAGATCTTTACATCCTTTCTGGGCTATACAATACAGCACGTTGATCAGCAGCTCCTGCATGTGAAGTGACTGTTGACAAACATGTACATATACATGTGGCATTTGACAAACAATAAACCACGTAACTGATATGATTAAAATAACATCAGAGATGTTTTTCTTTATCTTCTCTTTGTCCTTCTCTATCTTTTGCCCATATATTTCAAATATTTGAATCAGAAGATTGTTATTCAGACATGGCATACATGTATATGGCATATATTTGGCATATTTGGCACAGCATTCACATTTGCTAAAATTATAAATGAAATAAAACAGAGAGAGAGAGAGAGAAATATCATAAATTCAAAGTGGGCAACACAGGTCACAACCTCAGTTGAACTTGTGGTTTCAAAAAGTCAGTTCCGCTAAACTTGGTGTCTCAAGCGGCTCCTAAATTCACCTGTGGTGGATGAAATGTGGGTCTGCTGTAACCATACCCTGCTGGTTGAGGGTAATTATTATTTAAAGCATGGCTAAGACCATGTCTGGAGGCAACTTGCATGCGGTTTGTAACCAGATGGGTTTTCTGGGCCAAAGGAAATTTACATCTTGGATTGGCCGAATAAAGAAAGTCTTGTGTTCTTAATAGCCGGCTTGAAAATGTACTTCTTGTAGCTCATTTCAATGCATTAAAAATAAAACAGAACCCCCCCACAAAAAAGTTATAACAATAAGAATAACTGATAATGGGTCACTTGTGAGTCATTCCTATAGACATGTGCACCAATTTTTTTTCCAACTTTAATTTTACCTTATTTAATTTTACCCACAAATGTTGGTATATTTATGTTTAAGACCATGAGCAATCGATATATTTGCGACAGTAAAATTTTGCCTCTAAATAGGAGCTGTGACATAACGGAGACATTGAGTTTGTCCCTAATGTCTGGTGTCTCCCTAAGGTATAGTTTATGATGACAAAATGTCTCCTTAATAAACAGGTGTAACAATAATAATAAAAAGAACAATTAACATCATTCTAATATCAGATCTACTGAAGGGGTTAAATAATGGCACTGACAAAAGTCCTTACAATCCAATCCTTCTAAATAAAGCAGGAACATTTCCTGAAACTTATCATTTTTAATTTCTGGCCATGTAGAAAGCAATGTGTTATTAATGTTTCCTTTTGGATATTTTGACCCAGTTTTAAGCAGTATTAGGAAATTAACAACACATGGAAAACACATTGTGGTTTGGTGCACACTTTTTTAACAAACCCACAAAAACAATTTGAATATTCTGGTTCTGTGAAAGCCGTACACCACAGAACTTGTCTACTGTGCTTCCTTTGGAGATAACAAACAGAACAGCTAGGCAGAACAATTCTCTCTTTATCTTTGGAATTCTACAAAATAAAACTTGAAGGGTCACCAACCTATGTGAACCTTTAGAGCAAAAGTACCTTACCAAATTTGAAAGTAAAAATTCTTTTGTATAATTTTGTTGATCGTTTTATTTTTTTAAAATCTACAAAAGTACAAATATCAGAGTGTCATATATAAAAAAAATAATTGGCAGGAAACATGTGCTATCAATACTCTTTTTTTTTCTAGTAATTTCCAAAGATTTAATTTCTACCGTTGGTAGGTGTACAGTGAAAGTTCAGTGGAGTTATCAAAAAGGATGTGTGTGTTTCGGGGGGGGGGGGGGGGGGGAGAGGATGTACATGTAGTCCATGAATTATGCCCTTTCCTCTTGGATTCAAATGCATACAGTTTCATGCACGATTATCTACTTTTTGCAACAATTTCTTTTTGATCACCAGCTCGAAATTGACAGTGTAATACAAGACTGCAGCTTCTCAAATTCTCATGTTGTGTGAACCATTAAGGGGTAAGTACACATAACCTACATCTGGATATTGACCATTACTTTTATTGACAGTACTTTTCATTGTGGTCTGCAGAATTTGGCTTATTTTGTGAATTGGTATAAAAATAATATTGGGGGAGATGCCATCAACAGAGGGCAGCAAACAGCATTCATTTCATGCATGTACAAGTAGGTGACTAGCAGTTCATGTATGTCTCATGTCCAATGGTCCACTATAGAGTACACTGGTAGTGATAACAGACCTAATATACATGTGAATGTAAATGTACATGTACATGTAGTTGTCTCTTATTATCTGCATTACAAGCAAATTTCATTAGACAATTCTTAAAATGTTTTCACTTTCTGAGAATGAGACAAACAAACTATAACAACATAAGCATCCTTTTTACTCTGTAAATGCCTTGTTTTTCTAAGCTCATGGCCTTTTTCCAGGATCGTAAGAATTTTTTATAAAAAAAACAATCTGATTGCAATCCAAGGTTAGTAAATAATCATTTACCAACAACTTCCAAAGACAATAACGTATCCTACCCAAGGACACATGCATAAATATTGACTGCTTTAACTCGTGGTATAGTAAAACTAGCCTACCTCAGTGATCCATGGAGCATTCCATTTTCCCTTGGCATGGAATGCTCTATGGATCACTGAGGTAGGCTAGCTTTACTACATGAGTTAAAGCAGTCAATATTTGTGTTTTATACAACACCTAAATAACTCCCCGTCATCTGATTGATGGATCGTTGATCACACGTCCTTGAATTATTTGTGCCAACGCACGGTGGTGCAGTCACCCCACAAAATAGAAGTTCTATTCCACGGTGAGTAGAACTTCCATTGCACGGTTTCGCCACTGCCAGTGGTGGTGCTGTATAAACATGAATCTGATTCACGAAATGGCAAAATGGCAGATGATACGCGAGAATCTTCATTTGTTTTTTTAACAGAAGATGAAATATTGGAACTCGTAGGTGATGCTGACGCTGCTAACACAAAGAAGCACATATAATATGCTGCCAAACGATCAGCAAATTTGAATATGATAGTTCTGAACTTGTCGAGAACAGTTGTGATTTACATAAGTTGGATATGAAAGTTATGAGCTTAGTTGTGGAATAGTTTTAAACTGAGATAAATTGAATATAATAAGATAGTTCTGAACTTGTCAAACAGTTTTAACTTGAACAAATAGATATTGGAAGTGAACCACCAGTTATTGCCATCTGAAAAAAGTGGAACATTGATGCAAGAACCAGTTTACAAGTAAACCAATCGGAAGACAAGGATTTAGTTAAGGTGTTATATAAAACAATAATGAATGTTTCACATTCATGCAATGGAAAGAATCATTTGTGAATAATTTTGCGATGTTGCGAATATTTTTGCAACTAGTCGTGAAGTTATTCAAGACCGGTCGCGAATATTTTTGCGACGTCGTGAAATTGTGCGACTAGTCGTGAATTTCCTTATGTCATGAATATTTTCGTGATGTTGTGAATATTTTTGCGACTAGTCGTTAATATATTCATGACCGGTCGCGACGTTGTGAATATTTTTGCGCAATTGCGACGTTGTGAATATTTTTACGACTAGTTGTGAATTTAATTCCCAACCGGTCGCAAATATTTTTGCGACTTCGTGAATATTTTTGAGAGTAGTCGTGAATATCTTCACTAGTCGCGAATATTTTCGTGACGTCGTGAATATTTTTGCAACGTCGTGAATAATTTTGCGATGTCGAGAATATTGGGATAGCCATGCAGGTATAAAATTGCCCAGCGCGACGCTCAACGTAGTCTGGTTCATCAGAAATAGTCAGAATCTTTTGGTCTGGGGCCAGGGAACCAGACTACGCATAAACTATAGCTAGATAGCACTGAGCATGGAAGTAGTCTGACTCTATTACTATTATTAGTCTTACATGTCTTAATCCTCCTTCACCTGAAGTGCTGCGCTTATCATCGGAAAAAGTGCCTTCTATTGCCCTTCTCTCATACACCCCAAGCTACTTCAAAAATATTTGCGCCAAATTTCGGGACTAGTCGTGAATTCATTCACGACGTCGCAAAATATATTCACAACGTCGCAAAAATATTTGCGACCGTTATTAACGACTTGTTGCAAAAACCTTTACGATGTCGCAAAAATCATTCGCGACTGGTCGTGAATAAATTCACGACCGGTCACAAAAATCTTCACGATGTTGCAAAAATATTCACGGCGTCTTAAACTAAATTCACGAAATTCAAATAGTGAATAAATTTACGACGTCACAAAAGAAATTCACGACATGTTATATCCGTTATGTCCCTTCAGGGCCACCATACTATACCGGTGTGAAGCAGTGCATGACTGCAGCTCTCATGAATGGCCATGAAGTGACATCTACTGCACATGCTCAGGCTCTGCAGAGACTGATGAGTCATTGTGGCAACTAGTGAAATCTCAGAACTTTGATAGGCTGTTGCAGTGTTGCCTATCAACATTCAAGTGAGTTCAGCCCACCATTATGGTGTTAGAGATAATTCAGAGACATACAACAGGAAAGCACCACTGCTTCACTGTTATGAAGAGAGATTTTCAATGAAAACAAACAAACAAACACCCCAACAAAACAAACAGACAAACACCCCAACAAACAAACAAACAAGCACCCCAAACAAACAGACAAACAAACAAACAAACAGGCATAACCTACCTGCTGTGTAAGAACAGCATCAGTTCCTATTAACTGTGATTGGTTGCTTAGCGAATGCTCCTCCGATTGATCTGATTGGCTCATATCACCTGTCAGCCGACTGTCATGGCCTCTGATGATTTCTGATTGGTTGAGAGGATTGTCTTCTGACTGTTCTGATTGGCTGATGTCACCAGACAGTTGTCCATCATGGCTGGTGATCAGCTGTGGCTGGTTGAGTGAGTTTTCCTCAGATGGATCTGATTGGTTATCAATGTCTGTGGGCGGTTCTATGCTGATTCGGACTGGGAGTCGTACAAGACCTAAGGTTCAAGCAAAACGTAAAATCAAACAATAACAGCGTTGCTGTTGAAACCCCTCAGCCAGAGTCAAGTTATCATCCGGAAACCATTAACCTTTAACTCAACGTGGTGACCTTGACCTTTGGCCTTTGACCCCAGAACCAGTCCCAACATGCCTGTACCAATGGGAAACCCCCTACCGAAGTTAGACACCAACATTTCATTTCTAACTCAAGGTATCATTCGGAACCATTTACATTGAACTCACCACGGTGACCTTGACCTTTGACCTTTTGACCCCAAAACCAATCCCAACTTGCCTGTACCCAAGGGCAAACCCCTACCTCAGTCAGACACCAAAATCTCATTTCTAACTCAAGTTATCATCCGGAAACCATTTACCTTTAACTCACCATGCTGACCTTGACCTTTGACCTTTTGACCCAAAAACCAATCCCAATTTGCCTTCTCCCAAGGGGAACCCTCTTCCAAAGTTAGACACCAAAATCGCATTTCTAACTCAAGTTATCACAAGTTATCATCCGGAAACCATTTACCTTTAACTCACAATGGTGACCTTGACCTTTGACCTTTTGACCCCAAAACCAATCCCAACTTGCCTACTCCCAAGGGCAACCCTCTACCAAAGTTAGACACCAAAATCGCATTTCTAACTCAAGTTATCATCCGGAAACCATTTACATTTAACTCACCACGGTGACCTTGACCTTTGACCTTTTGACCCCAAAACCAATCCCAACTTGCCTACTCCCAAGGGCAACCCCCTATCAAAGTTAGACACCAAAATCTCATTTCTAACTCAAGTTATCATCCGGAAACCATTTACCTTTATCTCACCATGCTGACCTTGACCTTTGACCTTTTGACCCCAAAACCAATCCCAACTTGCCTTCTCCCAAGGGGAACCCTCTTCCAAAGTTAGACACCAAAATCGCATTTCTAACTCAAGTTATCATCCGGAAACCATTTACCTTTAACTCACAATGGTGACCTTGACCTTTGACCTTTTGACCCCAAAACCAATCCCAACTTGCCTACTCCCAAGGGCAACCCTCTACCAAAGTTAGACACCAAAATCTCATTTCTAACTCAAGTTATCATCCTGAAACCATTTACATTTAACTCACCACGGTGACCTTGACCTTTGACCTTTTGACCCCAAAACCAATCCCAACTTGCCTACTCCCAAGGGCAACCCCCTATCAAAGTTAGACACCAAAATCTCATTTCTAACTCAAGTTATCATCCGGAAACCATTTACCTTTATCTCACCATGCTGACCTTGACCTTTGACCTTTTGACCCCAAAACCAATCCCAACTTGCCTACTCCCAAGGGCAACCCTCTACCAAAGTTAGACACCAAAATCTCATTTCTAACTGAAGTTATCATCCGGAAACCATTTACATTTAACTCACCACGGTGACCTTGACCTTTGACCTTTAAACCAATCCCAACTTGCCTACTCCCAAGGGCAACCCCCTACCGAAGTTACAACCCCAAACAACTTTTCTAACTCAAGTTATCATCCGGAAACTAAGCTGCCCGGACAGACGGACGGACGGACAGACACACATACATCCGGACGGACGGACGCCCTAGGCGATGACAATACCCCTCGAGCCTCTCGGCTGAGGGGTAACAATAAGTATCAGGATTGTTTGACTTTTTTATACACATGAAAATAACTTCTTATGTTACTTTTGGGCACAGGCCCCACACTGGCACTCATGAAAGGACAGGCATAATGAACAGTATTAAAGGGGCACTGCGGCCTGAAATCCCAGAAAATGTTATTGTAGTGGTTGTCTTCCCAAAACAAGTTCATGTACTAATTCGTAAATTTAATGTTATCAAGTATTTCATGTTGACTTTCCATGTTCTAATACCATCCAGTTGTGCCCCTCGTCTGAATTACCCATTCATATATCATTCTTTTACTTTGGCGGGAATTCGTCCCGCGCACTTTTGTTTTAAGAAAAGTATAGTTAATGTTACATATTTTCTCATAGCGATGCCTAACGCATCATCACTTAAACTACACGATCATATATTGTAGCGTATATTTTGGCGGCGGTGACCTTCAACCCTCACTGCCTGCACGTCTTTATTCAGGTAAAAAAGTCTATTTTTCTATTGTCAATTTCATCCAAATGTTCACACTTTTGCAGAATAGATTAGGATTCATTTTTAGTGTCAGAATATCCGCATTTTTATATTGATCCGCTAGGTTGTATTGGATGTAACTTAGGTTTACTATGTGCAGAGATTTTGAGACCAGAATAGAGCGATGTCTGTAGAGAAATGGACGTAATGCAGAAGGCCTAGGCCTAGTGCATATTGGAAATGTGAATCGATGTCATTTTTATGGAATGGACATGAACATTAGTGCTCTTTATTTTGATCTTGCCATTTGTGCATGCTTTGGTATTGTTAACATTTGTGGGCCCACGTACTTTCTGGAGCATGTACATCGGCATGGTAGCTATGGAGAGATTTATTGTTAAGGATTTTTGGGTCGAATTTGTGAGTGCTTGGCGTGGTCGGCGGCGGCGTGCGTAGCAACGGACTTCGGGGCATGGACACGAGTATTGTGTGTGCATGTTTGATGCTGTGTGGATTGCGCTGAAGCAATGTGTGCGTGCTGTCTCTGCACCGGGGCCTGGCGCTGTGCGCTCTGCTGTGTCCCTGCGGGGTACTCACGGGCTCGACTTAGGAACAGATTTTGAGAGGCATTACGTGTATTATCTTGAAGAGATATTGAGGAATAGGCCTGATTGGGAAATTTAATTGACTCTGCATGTACATGTAACACTTTTAGTTTTTAATGTTTATTCTTTATGAACTAAGAATTAATTAAATGTATTTGTATTTTCCCTGACCGCCTGCACGTCTTTATTCAGACGTTGCAGGTTTTGGGGTCATCATTTCAGAATAAATCCGGATCTCCACCCAGCACAACTGGAAAACTCTATCTCCACTGTCATGAAGAACCTGTGTGCCTATGATCTCTGACCCTTTACCCAGCATCCAGCTCCCACAGTCCCTCCCGCCTAGCTTTCAACACCACCTTTCCCCGGCATACCGCCCCACCTGTCCGTCCATCCATCCACCCCGATAGGAAAGAAAAGCCCCTCTCTACATTATGTTTTGGAATGTTTACTTATCCTATTTCAAAAATCTAGTTCAAGAGGAAACTAACCTAATGGCTTTTTGTTCCCGAGAAAAGACAAAAAAAACTGGTTGTTCACATCAGACGCGGCAAACATTTTGTGGCACACGCATACTTATTTCCAGCCATGTTCATTCAATTTACGGTACACGTTGTGTGTGTGTGTCACATAATACACACAGCACCAAAACACAAACGTTGTTTCTCGAACGTCTGCAGAATGCGATGCACTGTGCGGCAGGATCACAACTAGCACTCAACAGTTTGATTTTTGAGTCAAAACTTTGACCCTCAAATTCATTTTCGCATGGTTCTCGCAATAATAACACAAAAACGCCCAGTTTTTTAAAGGATGGTTGTGTGGACCTTATATCCTAGAGACATTCCGTGTCAAATCGACCAATGGGTTAAACCCCACCCCTTTCAAATTTGCTCATATATAGGGTAATTTAGGCTTTCATGCTAACTGCCCGCCATTGTTCGGCAATTTTGGTCAAAAAAGGCGTGGCCGCCAATTTTCAAATGGCCATATTTCCATAACCTGTGGGCCAAATTTGTTGACCATGGTTGCTTTGGAAAGGTAACATCACAAGGAATCCAAATTTACCATAACTTTTCATCTCGGAGTAATTTGAAGTATGATGACCTTTTGACCTTCACTTTGAACTTGAATTTGACCTGGTGGATCAAGTGAACTTGAGACAAACTTTGATAAGAATTATACCTAAACATGTTTTCAAAAAACTATCCAGAAATTGGGGGTATAATAAGTTTTGTTTTGTTACTAGCTCATGTCAAAGCTGGCATATGTGTTGCAAAATGTGATATCCCTATACATACGTGCACATTTCAGGGACAAAAAAAATCCCTGCTTTAATCCACTCGTACATTGCATAGGGGATATCACATTTTGCAACAAGTATGCCAACTTTGAGATGAGCTAGAAATCAAACAAAAAATATACCCCCAATTTTTTGATATTTTGTAGAAAACATGATGGGGGTAGTTTTCATCCAAATTTATCTCAAGGTCATGTGATCCACAAGGTCAAATTCAAGGTCAAAGTAAAGGTCAAAAGGTCATCATACAATTACACTGATGTGAAAAATAATGCTAAATTTGGAATTCTTATGATGTAACCTTTCCAAAGAAACCAAGATTAACAAATTTGGCCCACAGATTATGGAGATGTGGTCATTTGATAATTGGCCGCCACGTCACACCCATTTTGACCAAAGTTGCCAAACAATGGCGGGCAGTAGTGCCAAAACTGTGTGTCCGACGACGCTAAAACTTAATATTTCGTTTTTTTTCAGCCAAAATTACCCCATACACTATGAACGAATTTGGAGGGGGTGGGGTTTAAACTTTCAATTGGGTGATTTGACACTGAATGACCCCTACTTTTAAACGCTCTTTCCAATTAACATCATTTCATTTAAAACGCATTTTGTAGCCCAATTGGGTGATTTCCAGAATGTAATGTCCCTTTAAAATTCTTCAGTTGATGTGAAAGCAGGCTTTGGGCCTATCTGGTTTGTTAGTAAAAACGTAATACACGCACGCACACCACTTCCGGTTTCATTCGTGCTATGCTGCACCATGTGAAGTACGTATGGTTGAATTGAGATGACGTCACACTAACGAACCAGATTGACACAGAAGCATGGTAACAGAAGAGTAGCATATTGTGCAGTCGTAACATTTATTTACAGACGGAAAATCGCACAGTATAATTTTAATTTATACCAATTAGGTTCACTGGGCAATGTCATGGCCCAGCTCCAGAACATCTCACGATCAATGTGCTGAGTGGTCAGAATAAAGATTGATCACATGATATTTTGGCAAAAATTGCTCCGTATCTTTAAGCATGGTAGTTCATTGCTCTACCTTGAGGTGCGTATGTGTAAACAGGCCCACAGAAACCAGCACATTCGGTCGAGCCCACACCGCATTATAGGGAAATTGTCTATTGTTAGGGAAATTAGGACTGAGTTATTGGGACTTTCTGCTGTCCCCATAGTATATTCGGTCCCCATAATAACTATCGATCAACAGGAGTGTAGTCTCCACAGTTACGGAACAAGGCTGTACATGTATGTGATTTTTGTTTGACCCCCTCAGAATCCCATTACCGCACACAGAGCAAACTGGCCCTTGCACTAATACATCCCATACACCTTACCATCTATATTGTCTTCTCCATTTCCAGCTAGTGCAGGCTGCTGACCTCTCTTGGCAGACACAGCCACATAGTCCATGGTTGAGGATCCACTTCTAGGATTAGTGGACAGGACAGGATGTTTGGAAACAGCTGAAATGACAATCTGGCCTGATGGAAGGAGTCGACGATTCAAGTGATTCAGATGTACTGTCACATTGTCATTGCTTTGTAATTGCTCTCCCTGTCATGATAAAGTAACAGTCAAACTTTTCAAGTTGGTCAAATGTTCAATTTGGCATTCCCCCTCCCCGACTTTTTGCTATCCTGATGGCATAGTACTGACGGTGCATGCTCAGTGCTTTCAGAGAAACCTGTGACCCCCCAAAGTCAGTATCTTATATTAGAGAAATCTAACCAGGTGGTGGCAATGCAGGGGAGGGGTTACAGCCACTTTCCAAAAGAACTCAATTTTGCTTCCCCACATCTGGGTCCAATGTTTAGATTATTTTTGTCTTGTGCCCCGCTTTTCAAAAACATGCATCTGCCATTGGTTAGCCAACTGAAGCTGATATGTAGAGTTACTGAGGTAAAGGCATTGAGCTCTCTCATGAGTGAATACAGTGATATAGTATCCATTGAGCAAAAACCGAAACACAGAAGTCAAGTAAGCATAACATCCTACCTGTAAATTGGCAACAATGTATCCCTCTGCTGTGCTTGCCTCCCCTTGATGTGCAGTACTCTGGATGACATATGTACTAGATGGTGTCAGACCCATAGATGTCTCCAAGACCTCATACTGATACACATCAACCTGCTCTGATGTAGCTGTTTTCAGATGACAGATTCAAGAACTTTATACAAATGCTCAATGTTTTGGTTTAATTCACTGGAAGATGGATATGAATGGATTATTGATTCCAATCTAAAATACACATGGGTGTACATTTACACACATGTAATAAGTAAGATTTGAAACTTTGCATGTGAGCTCGACGTTTCGATCAGGATGCTCTGGTCGTCCTCAGGAGAGAGGACAGGGGAGAGGACGACCAGAGCATCCTGGTCGAAATGTCAAGCTCACACTCACCGGTTCTCCTCAGAACCATCAACTCTTATAAAAGAGATTGATTCCACGTGGTGTACCCGTAAACCTTCTCTCAGTACATACATGTACATTTATCTTCAGAGGACACACCGGTACATGTATAGTTTACAATTGACATGGAAACATTAATTGTGTCATTGTAAAGTTGAAATCAAGCTGGTGAAACCAAATTTTAAAATGATATAAAATATACCAAAAATAAAACATGTTTATATAGTATCTATACAAAATTTATCAAATAGCTAAACTCAGTTCGTACATAAGTATCTAATATGTCCAAATGTTAGAACTGGATTGAACATTTAACTATTTGTATAATAGCTGAAGCAATATAAAAATCAAAACTTAAAGCAGTTTATATAACTAGTGAAATCCCACTGTGCAAGGCTTGAATAAAATTGGTTTGCCCCATACCTAGTTTCAATTTGTGTAATAACATTCTCAACAAATAACTTTTTCAATGGTTACTTACTTCCCATTGGAACTGTTAATGTGGCCATAGGGACAGATACATTGATGTCTCGTGTCATGCATTTAGATCCACGCAGTGGCTTCATATGTCTGGAACCCATGGGGCTGGTACGTAGGTGTTCAACTAGTGCTAGATACAAGATGGCAAAATGAATTACATTTTATCCATTTCTAGATTAACTTAAAAAAAATGCCAACCAACAAACAAAAACAAAAACTGGAACCCCAATCCCCCAAAATTCACAAGCTTACTCAGGTGGGACTCAAACCCACGACCTCCTGCTTACTAGTGCAGACGTCTTAACCACTCAAACAATGAGCTTGCCGGGGTCAACTGCCTGGCTGGTTTCAAGCTGATATAGCACCAGGCATGGAAATCAATATCTTACCATGCACATTTGGGTCAGGTAGATGTAAATATTGGGTTTTAAAGGCAAAGTCAATTAATGAATTTACTGACCAGCAAGGTTCATCTCTTCATGTCCTGGGACATGTCTCTTGAGCATCCACCATTTAGAGCGTAGCCACTGAGGGGACCTAACACTCCTCCAATTCTTAGCTAACTCCTCCCAATTCACTTGGTTGTCATTTGTTGCATCACTTTCCAGTAATCTGTACACATAAAAAATGAAACAAAAGGGGAGGGCGATCAAGAGCTGTGTAAAATATGCATCAGAAGCCAGGAAAAAATGTTACATGTTTCACTCTTACTTTGGTTTATTCATGCTGACATTAACATTGGATGTGTACATTATGAGTAGTAAAATTAATGAACAAGGAAAAACAAGGCATAATGTAATTTGGATGAACTTATTTTAAGAAGAATCAACTGAGGCATCAGCATAGGGCGTAAGGAGAAGCCAAGGGCTTTTTATATCTCCCCCTATCCCGTTTTCTATATCACCCGTATTATCGTTACATTATAACATTAACTTTTGTCAAACATAAAAGTACAAGGTAAGGACAAGTGACTGATTACAAGACCACAATGAACAACACAAAACAATTTAGATAAATTTATTGAGTCTATTTCTTTCAAAAAAGTTACTGATACTTATCACATACATTTTAATCTTTAGAAAACAGGCTTGAGATTAGTGTTGTAAACTTTGTTGTGTATGTTTATGCCCAGCTTTGCCAGCCTTGTCAAGAGAGATTGACTATGGTCTTGGCATTCCTGCTAACTTCATCTTGACCCTCTTGATGAGTATAGAGGCTCAAATTCATTGTTTCTGCTACATGAAGGAGCAAATTCTGTGCTCACAAGGCTAGCACAGAATTTCTGCTCTCACGGTTGCGATAGCACAGAATCCATAATTACAAAATGACCACATGTGCATTAGCCAAAATGTCCTTTCTTAACCTGTGGAATGCACATGTGTACACTAACCTTTAGCATGGAATATCCGGCTGGTAAACAACTATATCAAATACATGTAGATCTCTCTCAAATGACGTCACTTCCTACAGATTGCCACATGCATTGGCATTTTGGGCGTCAAATTTTCGTGACGCGCATTGGCTGCGCCGTATGTTCAAGAAATTTCGAACAACACACACGTGTGTTTAACATTTTGCACACTGTGGGCACACACATCTGATAGCGTTGAAAATGCAGTTGTAATTTGCCTATGAAGATGGCGTCCCATGAGAGTGATCTATTGGGTCTATTCAGTATATCTGGGAGACACCGGGAATTCACAAAAGGGTCATGTCTGGAGTTTGAATGCAAAAACATTTAATGCGCTCCCAAATGAGTCGTGTCAGGATATCGTCTTGAGATGAAGCATGGTGAAGATCTCTAAGATGTCATCATATATTTCATTACTTATGATGTGATTTGTGAGCATCCTATAAGTCCATCATACCCAGAGATGCCCTTCCTGCTAGCTAATACATATGCTTCAAAACCAAGCAATAGTCTGATCCATCACAGCCATGACTGCACAACTGACTGTCCTTAAATAAGTCCAACATGCATGGACCTACATGTACACACATTACATGCCTGGGCTCAACATGCAGTGTGGCATTGGGAGGCACGCTTGGTGTGGCACAAACAAAATGGGCGGGGCTTTAATGGATTGGTTTAATTTGACCAGTCCTTGCATTTAGTGCCAATCCATGACAAAATGAATCAATAAGGTTTAGCACAACAAAATAAGCCATCACAATTCAATACTTGTTGACTATTATCTCTCCAGAGTGAAAAAAACAAACCAACAATATGACTATGGTGATACTGCACAATACCACACTATGACTGAGGGATATTTCGGCTCATTAGAAGCAAGATCTTACTTTACATAAAAAAACACTAGAATAATTAGTGTTCATTTTACTGAGTTGGGAAAAAAAGTTGCCACAGAAGTGACTTTTAAAAGACCTGGTAGATCAGCAGTAGGCATATTTTGCAAACTAGTAACATGCAGAATAAGCTTAACTACCGGTATGACAAAAACAAATGTCAATGAGACAAAAGTATTTTGAAAAGGTTTTGGAAATTTGAGTGTAATATAGGCTAGTTCACACAAAATCTGTAATAACGAATGAACCAGATTTTTGAAGAAATGGTTTCCTCTGGATTAACAATGTAGCGTGCATACAATTATAAAAGAGTACTATACATGTAACTATTGCAGCCACATCTCATCTCTGTGTCTTACTTATACCATGCAATTATACTGTTTATAGTCAGGGCTTTTTATTCTCTTCTTTATAATCCCTTTATTGATTAAAGCTTACAAGTCAACATGCCATGCATATCATATTGATTGCTTGCCTACATATAAGAAACACTGCCACAATCAAAATGGAGGTCAGCTAAAATTAACTACATGATTTTTAAAAAAAAAAAGGGTTTTGTAACTGATTGTTCACCGTAACTAATAATACATGCACTTGATTGCATGCCAAGGTGTATGGATTTTTAAGATCAATCCAATCTAACTAAAAATGCTTTCCACCAAGTACTTCAATGACAAAACATGAGAGTGGCTAGTTAAAATTTGTCAATTTCTAATCAACACTAACAGAGGCTGAAAGTTCTGTCAGTTCCTTAACATCACTGAGTCATCAGGACATTTTTTAAAGATGAAACAATGGCAAGTTATGAGAGTCATTTGGCATTGTGTCTTCTTTGTTCAGCAGTTGTTCAGTATATGTGCATTGTCAGGGAATCAAATGAATATAATAGTTCAAAGTATGATTGCTGAATTCTGATTGCCCAAAAGCTAAGTCACAATCTTCAAAGCCTTGTATCCATCTATCTAGGCATTATGGAGCTGGTTTGGTTCCAGATTGCTATCATGGTTGCCAGTGCTGCTGCTCAATCTTGCCAGCCTTATCAGGAACAATTTGAAGATTCTTGCTACAAGCTGTTACCAGAGCTCCTGACCTGGAGTCATGCCAACACAACCTGTTATGATGCAGGTGGTGAACTGGTAGTTCCAACTTGCCTTGCTGAGCATGACTTTATCTGGCAGATGTTCACAGCCAATTCTCAAGACGGAGATGTCTGGATTGGCTGCACTGACATGAGGGAGGAAGGTACCTGGAAGAGAGCTGGCGAGGGAGACCATCACTGCAGCTACTTCAACTGGGCAGAAGGCCAGCCTGACAAGAAATACCAAGATGGCCAAGATTGTCTGGTCATGTCACGCAACTTGGAGAGTCTATGGAATGATGTCAAGTGTTACATAGAAAGAGCTACAATTTGTAAGTACAATGTCATTCAAAGTACCACTATTATGGGAACAAGCACCACTCTCCAAGAAAGAGTTACCACTACCACAGAAGAGGTTACCAGTACCCCCAAAAGGGTTCAAAGTACCACAAAACGGGTTACAAGTACCTCAGATATGGCTGTACCAAGTACCCATTACCCAAAGGGGGTTACCATCAAAACTAACCCTAAGGTTTGCTGCCTCCAGGCTGATGCAGATGGCCACTTCAATTCCCAATAAGCTGTGGTCTATCTTGGTTTAAAAACATAATAATAATAATAATTTGGGAGGCTGATCATCCTTACTCGCAGCTGAGAAGCTGAATTGCTTAGGACGTGGCTACAATGTGGTCGAGCTGCAGGCATGTAAGGCATCTATGGCAGCCAGCCATACAACCTTTATGTACGACCACGGAGCACAGCCAGATATCAAAACTTGTTAATTTTTTTTTGAGGGAGAAAAAAACAGAGGGCCTGGAGATAAATCTTGTGACAAAGGAGAGAACTAATGCACAACTCTACTCACATGTGGTCGTAGCCGAGAACGAACCAAGGCCACAGTGGTAAGAGTCGAGCGTTTTACGCATAATCTAATGGAATATCTCATCTGTTATAGCAGAAATAAGCATGGAGTTATTTTTTATCTGTTTTCACAATTGTTTTTTTTCTTTTTTAAAGATACAGTCCATCATTTGTAATTTGTGCATTTTGTTCGTTTGAAGCAACAAAAGTGTTCAAAATCTAATGAAGGATACTGAACAACTAACCTGATGAAGTTTCAGCTAAGGGGCCATTCAGAATTTTCAATGTTTTAAAATTTCGACTTTTTTTCCAAATTATTTTGACCCACCCACCCACCCCTAATTTCGAGTAATAAAAAACTGAACATGTACATGTACATGCACTTGCATGTACATATATACTTGAACATGAACATGTATACCCATGTACATGTGTGTCTACATGTAGTTCAGTGACGGCGTGAAGTTGTCGGTCTTCCTCTTTTGCACTGGTGACCTTTCTTGTGTTTTGCCAGCTGATATGCTGTTGGGAATGACAGGTTGCAGTTTTGGAAGCCACAAAGATGACCGTGGTTTTGTCGTTTTCTGGATGAGGTGGATGACATATGACATACGAGGTTGTGCCTGTCACGTGAGGTAGCTGAAAAAACCCATTTGCTCGTACCCCCCCCCCCCCCCGCCCTGTTTGCAGGGCGGGGGTACGAGCGAAAGAAAAACATCAGGTTTGGGCAGACATCACATCACAGGCTGCGGTCCTCGTAGTCTTGGAGTCCAGTGGTTGAATGGTCCAGTTTTTAAAGTGATTGGTAATCGACGCCCGCGGCGTGTTATTGAGCCGATCTGGTACACCTGGTACCCTGCTGCCTCTGCACGGCCTAGCCGCTACAAACGCCCGGCGTCCAAGTCTACTGAAAAACCACCTCCCTCTCATGCCACAGTGGGTATATATACACGTACATATGTACAGTACATACAGGGGACGAAGTTGGAAAAGAAACACGCATCGCGATATCGGAACGCTTGCGCGTAGTTCAGGCAAGTCAAAAGATCCATATCTTTCTTTGTTGTTTTCATGGGCGTCGCGAGGGGGGGGCACTTGCCCCCCCCCTGGAAAAGCAAAAAAAAAAAAAAAAAAAAAAAAAAAAGGAAGAAAAAAAAGAAAAGAAAAAAAAAGAAAAAGAGGCGCGAGGACAAAGTGGTGTAAATTTAATGAGTTGGCGGGGGGGGGGGGGGGGGGGGGGGCAAAATGTCCCTGCCCCCCTCTAAAACTGATAAATCGAGAATGTGTTGAGAAATACAAGCATTTTTTGGCAACATTTTTTTTTACCCCCTCTAGAAAAAATCCTGGCGACGCCCATGGTTGTTTTTTTTATCATTTTTCCATGGAAAGTGAATTTTGATTTTCAATTATTTAGCTTGACCCACCCACCCACAATTTGGAAAAAAGATCGAAATTTTAAAACATTGAAAATTCTGAATGGCCCCTAAGCTTCAGCTGTATATTCTGAGAAAACAGCATTCTAGGATCTCAATTTTAAATCAATAGTTACTGAATCATGTTTTGAATTGTTTTGAATTGCAACTATACAAGACATCGCGCACTGATCCGACGAATCATAGCAACCACGCGCGCGTGTGCGTCGTGCCAATGCTTGCGTGCGCTTCGCCGAATAACAAAACGAACTACTAATTTAAATTTTCCTACGGTGCGTCTTAAGACGCACTGTTGGAAAAGCCTTCTTTCATTGATTACTTCAAAATGACAGCTTCCCAGAAAGAATAATTTTACAGTTCCCTTACTATCTTTCAACCAAGTTTGTTTTTCAACAATAATTACGCCAGTTACTTTTCGGATAGCTGCAAATGATGGACTATAGCTGTAAGTCTCTACTCTTTTTATGTCCTACACAGCCAATGTCACATCGGTCAGAAAGTTGAAGAATTCAATTTATAGCATGCAGTGGCAAAACTGATTAGTAATTGTAAAACACAATTGTAAGTAATGTAAAGTTGTGAATCTCACATGTAGAACTAAAAGTGACTATTCAATTAAACCAGATTGGGACCGTATCTGCATTAATAAAACATGCAAACAGATTCTAGACAAGCTAGTTTGTCTCAAACTATGGACCAGGATCAGAGTGGAACATTGTGATTCATATTTCAGGTTTCAGGTTTCAGGTTTATTTCCATCCTATAAGGAAATTTAGATAAATAATGAACATCAGGTAAACATTTTAACGGAACTTGAAATAATAGTATGGGGAGGCCAGACAAGAAGCCGAAGCTTGTACTAGGTCTGCCCCCTTCACAAAGAATACATGTAGTTACACAATTCATGATTAATCATAGGATATATCAATAATATGTTACTACATTAAATTCATGAGCTCATGCTAAACTTTACAAAAAAGAGTAATAAGTTACTTGAAGTAAATTTACTATCCTTGGCTTTAAATGTGTTGTTAATAAGTTTACTTGGCAATAAAGTAATAATTTGCTCTTAATCACCATTGACAGTAACCGTCATGACCGTAGAGAGAAGTAGTTTTTTATAATACAATTTACATGCTCTAATTGAGGTCATTGGGCAGGAAGATCGGATTTTATTCCAAAGGAGGGGCCCCTGGTGTCGTACGGTTGAGAGGTGTAGGGAGTAGCATTTGAAGTACCAGACCAGACTGGCACATGACCAATGTTTAATTATGTACAATTTAAACATGAAAATGTAACTTTTCAACTTTTTGATTGTTGATGTTTCAGTTAAATGTAGATTTTTGTGACAAAGTCTTTTTGCTTAATATCTAGTTTTGCATTAGAAATTAGTTTATATCAGCCCTTGAGAAAGGTCCAGCTCATATTGAAATATTAAAAAGGTCCTGCTTGCTGTTGTCAGTTACATGTATATTTGACATTCCAGTTAAACAGAAAACAGCTTTCACTCATTTAATATTTTCCAATTAAATTACTGGTACACATGTAATTAATTTAACCTAAAACCCTCCGATCTCAGTGAAAGAATTGAGAATGTCGCTATACCGAACCCCGCTATACCGAACATTTAGCTATACCGAACATCGTCCCTGGCTCCCGATTTTTGTGTACAAGACATACCAAGTATTGTTGTTGAAAAATGTCGACAGAAGAGCAACCAGTGGCTATTATTTCCCCAATAGAAAGGGAAAGCCACCCATTGCTGTATGTAGTAAGCTCAAAACTGTGTAATTACATAATTCAATGGTCGGCACGTGTTCGAAGTTGTCTTTCAGTAACTACCAGGGCGTGCAGGGTAAAGTGCTGAAGGGCGCTATTTATTGATAGTGAGTGCCGGAGCACCGGCAGCTTAAAATCTCTATACCGAACAATCGCTATATTACAAACAATTTCTAAGGATCCCACAACGTTTGTTGGGGGGGGGGGGGCAATAAAGGCAGTCCTAGCAATAAAGGCAGGCACTGCATTCACCACCATCTTTCCCTCAAAAAACAAATTTGACAAAGTGGTCAGAAATTGCTTCATGATCGCACCACAGGGCATCTAGAATCCAAAATTTTTTTGGGGCCCTCCAAGTGGGCCCCGAACCCCACGCCGAAATTTTTTGGACCCACTTTTGCGGGAGGCCCCCCCCCCCTCCCAATTGTATTCTGGATATGCCCTTGCATTTTCTTATCAAAACCCTTCAACAGGTTTTGACAGTTATTCAGTTAAATCCATAGGGGTTCTGGCAGTTGGTGACCAGCCTGTTCAAAACCTATGAAAATGAGGAAATGGGCTGTTTTTTTGACAGTTTGCCACAGTTCCATAGTAGGAGGGTTCCATAACCTTGACATGTGTGAGGTTTATACCGGTAGTTGCTTGTGTTCTAGGTGTATATACTAATGGTACAGTAAACTGTCAGTAAACAAGCATCCAATTTGGGAGTTACAGCAGAAGCTTCATCGTGCATTTTTTACATGTCTTTGGATGTGTTTTGGATCCTTTACATGAACAGACAGAATAAAATAGCCCATTATGATGTAAGACAATACAAATTATATGTAATCTCAGGCCAGAATAAATCTTTCGGTAAAAATACAGAAAAGCTCATTTAGGGTTAAAACGCTTTACGCTTTTGTTTAAAAATGTCGTTATTATAGTGTGAATACATGTAAGTCAACAAATAAATGCCATTAGAATACATAAGAATCTGAAGTTGAATGCAGTCATATTTATTTGTGGTCCTAAGGTTTGAGCAGAAATAAATATCGTGAGGTAAGACTGTGTAGTGTGGTGTGTATCAGAAAAAGTTTTTCAAAATAAATGAATGAATTAAAATTTGTTTCTAAAACAATCAAGTACAATTAAGAGCACTTCATAAGGCCATAAGACCTGCCTGTATTTATACATGTAGGTTGCCTTTAGCAATGTTGTACACCGTGTTTGTGATTATTCAGGTGAAACGCTGGAACTGGACCTGAGCATGTGTTGTTACATTGAGTAAATTAACCCTAACCTTCCCAAATCCTCCAGAATCCTCTTTGCAAAATGGAGGATTTTGCAGGATTGAGGCTACATGTATATGGCAAAAATGTGAGGCTGATTTTGGAAGATACACTGTGTCAAGGTCTTGGGCAGTTGTTTGTGCTCAGCTGTGCATAAATGTAGGCCTTGAAATCCTCCACACTGCTCCAGGATGTCAAAGGCTCTGCCTCAACAACCATGTACATGTATTGACAGCCACTGCTAGAGAATTATGCAGGATTGAGGCAGTGGGCACCCCTCCAAGGACCACATTCAAGAAATAATGGAGGACTTAGCCTTGGTCAAGGCGCTAAATGTTATTCATCCCGGCCGTGGTGCGTAAACGATATCCTCGCTAGGGCCATGCATTATGCAGTGCATTAAAAATACAGCGCGAACAGCGACCTCATGCGGCCACCATTTCTATGCAAATTAGTTGGACCCAATATCGCGCCTTGGTTCAATCGTCGGCAAAAGCTTATGCTTTTCTTTATTTTGCGCTGGATTTCTAGCGCACGACCTCGTATGCGAATACAGATAAGTGTAGGCGGGGCTAATATGTGCAGTGCGTGAAATTAGACAAAAAAAGTGGTCGGACAAAATGTCCGAGCACAATCAAAAGTGTTCTGCCATTGTCAAGTTTTGATCTGCCATTTAGCGTTCCAAATTTGATTCACGCGCTCGTTTCTGTAGTAAGCCACGTTGTGAGAATTTAGTAACAATCACGCACTTAAAGCATACCGCGCAACACAACGTACTTTGATCTTGCTAAATTCTCATTACATGTATGCGCGTCAATGTCCTTATAATACTCTATATTTCGACTCGTCACTATACAGACTCGATTCAAGTCTGCAGAACACATAACTTAAACTGGGTGAAATTGCAGTTCTGAATGTCCAAAGAGGCTCGATCGAAACATTATAGCAAGGAATAGAGGTTGAATCAGGTCCAATTTAACACTTTTGCCCAATAGAAATTAACTGGGAATTCCACAAACGGCCACTGCTCATTTCCATAAAATGTCTTGAAAAGTACAAAAAGTTGTATTAACTGATTTGTAGAAGAAACACGAAGACTGCTGATCGAAACACAATTTATCGACTTGATTTCACGTCTATTTTTTGGCAAACGGCACGTACGTACGAATGCCAATCTATCGCTGTGCACGCCACGCTGTACTAGACTGTGTAATGATTGGGGTGTAAACGCGTTGCATCTATTGCGTGAATATAAGACAACACGTACATGTAGTTAGCAGCCGCTCAGCGTACGGTAAGTATTACAGGCCGGATCATCGGAAATAAACAACAAAATACTTTTGAGTGCAAGCGTTTATTTCATACTTCTGAAAAAGACAACTCCACAAAGAATACATAAATCGCTCCGACATTTTGTCCGAGCACATCTGCATTTGGTCGGACAAACCATGAAAGTGGTCGGAAAATGTCCGATGTCCGACTGTAATTTCACGCACTGATGTGGAGTGTCCAATCACACCTTAGTAAATCCGGACGTCATCAAATTGTTTGCAGCTAGCTATTCGCCTTTTGCAGACGTGACAGGAACCACAGTTTTTGTGCATTGGTACCGTGTGCAGAGAGACACATAATGTGTACGTGTACATGTATGGATTAGGTACGGTGCCACGTTTTACTAAGCAAGTTTCCCCGCAACGATCGACTAATAAGAAAACGACATTTAAGGTCAGCTAAGGCTATTAACATAATGAGCACCACCCCCAAAACCTCACATGGACGATTGAACCAAGGCGCTATATTGGGTCCAACTGATTTGCATAAAAATAGTGGCCGCGTGAGGTCGCTGTTCGCGCTGTATTTTTAATGCACTGTACTGCATGCATAGCGCATAGACATTATGAATACATGCATTACCGCGCTACGGCCGGATAAAAAACAACTAGCGCCTTGACCAAGGCTATGGAGGACTTGGCAGGATTGAGGCTGTATGTAATTCTTACATGGAGGCAATTGGAGGTTTTTGCAGGATTGAGGTTGCATCCTAGCAAAAATGCCTAGGGAATTCAAATAACATGAATTACCGCTACCAAAACAATATATTGGAATTTGTAAAAAAATATTTAAAAATTGATGACAAAAAATATTGTATCACCTTAAAAACAAGCATTAAAAACAAGCTTTTGATTCATTTTTAAACCTGCAATACAACATTTGGACTTAAGAGAAAAGAATATGGGTACATCACGTACAGGCTTGCTACATGCTTGCTGTTCTATTGTACATTGCGTGTTCATGCGTGCGGCACAGTAAATTGGTATCATGGTTCCAACCACCAAAAATATCCATAGGCAGAATGCTGGCAGAAAGGTTTAAAGTAAATTACATGTCAATCCACAAGTCCAATCACAAGTTACAGAGGCTGAACACTTTTGTTAAATGTCAACTGAATTGCTTGGGACACATGACTGGATGATTTGTGATGGACTTGTGATTGTCTTGTACAACAACTGCAGTACGTAATACACCAGATGGTGGACTGTACTTCACCGGAAGAGAGAGTCTTGTAATGGACTCGACTTCAACACTAACAAGTGCTCACATGTACATGCACATGCACTTGCAGGGGAGTACTCCACTCTTTAAGTACAAACAGGTTAGTACTTGCTCTTCCAAATAATTGGTACTTAAATCCCAAACTGCACATTTGGTGGTACATACCTATTTGCAGTTATGTAAATATTCATAAGTATTCTAAGCTTGTCCTTGATAGTCCTCAACAACTCATGTATGACTATTCATCTTTGTGTTTCAAACTGAACCAATCTTGACCTACCTGTCAAGTAGCTTGTTGTCATCGTCTTTGGTCCACTCAGTTCCACCTGCATGTTTCCAGTTGAGATAGTTGAGCCACTTAGCTCGGCACTGTTTCTCTGTTCTGGTGGGTACCTTAGCAGCTATCTGTGACCAGGAGATGCCAGTAGTGATACTCTCACCAGGTGCAGCCTTAGACAGGGAGTAGACAGCCTCTGCAAGCATCTGTTCCTCATTAATGGTCCACTTGCCTTCCAAACACAGAGAAAACAACATGGTTATGGGTAAGTAAACTTGATCTGGTTCAGTTTATGACTTGATTCATCGTGGGTACTAGCTTAAAAGTATATTTGCCAGCTGCATTTGAAAACTATTTCAATAATGACTATTTCACACCAGATTTGGCAATGCTGATTTTCCATGGTGGTATAAAATGATAAAAGATTGACAAGCTATGTTGTGAAAAGTGGACAAATTCCACAGTGTGGGTCTGATTAAATCTCTATGGATGGGGAATTTTTAATGTCATTAAATGAAAATGAGAACAAATAATTGTGAAAAATGAAAATAAGACCACAGATAGATAAGACTCTGCTAACATTTGTAGCCCATACATTGCCCATATATTTCTTTGTTTTAAGTGGATAATTCTACATTGATACTATGTGCCTTTGTAGTGTATGCAGTATACACAGTATTCATAAATATCTGAGACAGTTTACCAATTCCTATTGGTCAAGAGCCCCTCACGTGGGTGGTTTAAAACCGCTGATAAAACAGCAGCTGGCTTTAAACACAATTGCTACATTCTGCACCACATCATGCATGTTCGGAAAGTTCATGTCGGTTCAGAAAGTTCGGCAAGTATTTGTTGATAGCGCTAGGTATGATAATGCTTGCATTGAAAGGGCAAAATTAAAGCGCACGGATGATTGAATTTACCGTGTTGACCAATCACCGCATTCATCTTCATTATTTGCAGTGTTCTAGCAAGGCATACAATAGGATATCGGGCCAATACGCTTTGAAAAAATCGTACGCGCCTTGCGATTTTCTCAATGAAAAGCGTGCTCTCAATTCAATTGCAGTGAAGGGTGTGCTTTCCTCGGCGAAATTCACCAGCATTTTCGGTTTTTTCACCGTATCAGAATTCTGCATCGTATCAGAGTCTGAAACCTTTCCCATGTTCAGAATAAGTTCGTACTTATCGCAATATATTTTTTTTCATTAAGAATGAATACGAAAAACGAAGTAATCTCCCAAAAGAGGGTGAAACACCCCTTTACAAAATTAATGGATCCCTCCACAATATGAATATTCATGGTAGTCGCAAATCGAAAAGTTATTATTTTTTTACGGTAGCTATTTGTCAGCTTGTTGCTAAAAATAATTATAGTTTCATATGTTTGGCACAGTAAAAAGGACCTGTTTGTTCTTATGAACATTTCAGCAATTATTGCCACGAGACAAGTTTTTAGTGCTCATCAGGGCATGCTCGGACGGGACGGAACTCGTCAGGAAAACCCGTCAGCATGTGTGGGACATTTTTTTTGGTGATCGTGTAGCGTAGGGCCCCTCTTTTGTTTCGATCAAATAAGAGTCAAAAATATTTTTTTATTGCTAAAAAAATCACTTTTATAATCAAAAGCAGACTTCTCAATTCTAATGACACCCGTTTTGCAATTTTGAACAGTTTCTTGAGGTAGAAATCACAATTTTCCTGCGCGGTTTGTGCCTTGCGATTCAGCGCGCCGTGCGTGCTCACGGTACATCGCGCGGTGATCGCCATCTTTATTTTCGGGTTGCGTGTTGTGTCGCCGCGCTGTCATCGTCATTTTACCCCCAAATTTCCCTATAAAAAATCAAAACCCTGCCCTCTATCTATGACATACCTGTTTTTTTTGAGAACCAACTAGTTTGGTCTGTCTAATAGTTTTTAAGTGGAATTTGTTTCCTTAAGTTAGGAGTCGGGCCCTACACTACACGATCGCCAATTTTGTCATAGTTGCCGGGCCGGATAGGGCTGCGATATGTAACACGGTAGCAATTTACGATGTTCATTTCTCAACGTCATCAAGTCAAATTATAACGGACTTTTGTTTACACAACAAAAATAAGATTCATCCTTCAACTTGTGTTGAATAGCATGTGGAAATTGCGGTGCCTATTTCTGTCAGACGTGCGCGGTACACACGTGTTTGTTCCAACAGGGGAACAGCCTATGCATGCTTTTCATTGTAACCAAATACATTGTATGGACATGTATATTGTGTATACACTTCCGAAGCCGAACCGAACCGAACTTTGAGGATCAGTTGCAGCACTAATGCAGAACCCTCACCCTCATGCTCATGCCAATTTCCATATTAGGAGATTTTTAGCACTTAGCGTGAGATGCACATATACATGTGTCATACATGTAGATATGACTAGAGGAGTGTTTCACAACCATGAAGTGAATTGTCGAACAAAATTGTTGGAGAATTGTGAATTTTCGACTTGCTTTGATTCTTTGACCGAAAGGTATTTATGAATGGGAATAAATATGTGCTTGGCCAGTTTTAAACAAGTACATTTAAAATCTGTTAAGGGCCTGGCCGCGGATAATTCCACTCGGGCCATTTACGGCGACCAGGCCACTAGTTTTGAACGTATGTTTTTAAAACCGGCCAAGCACATATTTATTTTCTTATTAACCAGTTCATGTCGGATGATGTGTATACACGCAAAGGTTTTGTGCCATTTTGAACGGATGACGGATAAACACACGATGAGCGAGGCCGGAAATATCTGTCAGTCACCTGCTCACAAAAATATCAGGGTGTCCTACCCAGTTCTTGACAAATAATCCCGCACCTGGGTCCGGTCAATGTCAAAATAATCTCGGCACAAACTGGTTAAGAATACTTCACACTCACACTTCACTTGAATATTTCTTGATACCCAAACACCACCTTGTCCTTTCAAGACTGCTTTGTGTCTCTTAATTCATCTAATGATCAATATGTAACCATACTTTAATGGAATGTTGCATGTGTTGTAGCTGTTAAAGATCAATCTAAGCAACATATCACAGTACACTCAAGGGGTACCTCAGTATTAACAGAGGAACCATACCACTTATTGTTCAGGATATCTGATATCTTTATGTTTTTACCTTGATGACATCGATCTTTGAGTAGCCTAACTTTATCCTTGACAGAAGCAGCACTGCGACCCATCTCAGCACCTATTGCACACCATTCATTGCCATACTTGGCTCGTAACCTGCACAAATCAACATGTACTGCTAATTAAACTCAATCACATGGTGACTTGCACCCTTAAATTCCAATACCTGGGATAGCCTAGTATGTCACACTGTCAGATCCCTCCCATTGGGCATCATACTGTTGATTATAACACACACCTTTAGATCACACAACTAGGGTTTTTTATTACTGGTTTGAGTAGCTGTAATTTTGTGTCAGATATCAAGGACATCTGAAAAAAGCTGGACAATTATTTGTAAATTACTATTTTTGGAATAATTTTCAGTCCATGAAATTCTATACAATGTGTCTTAGTGATTAAATGCAGTGCTGTAGATGATTCCACTCAAGGCACAACTTATTTAGATAACCGTGAATTTGAATAATTCCTTTTCTTCTCATTCATCCATTGGTACTTGTGACCAGACTGGTGACTTGACTACAACACTGATCAAATATTTCATTCTCGTATTTTGAGGCCAAACACTAGCTTTGTCACCATAATTCAACAAGGCACTGTCATGCATGATGCACTCTCAGCTGCTTTTGTTACTTAACTCTCACCTTGGTCAATTTGTAAGTTTGTTAGTCGGTGCTACTAGGTAGAATACAGACTGACTTTATAAAAGAAACACACTTACTCTTTAAGCTTCTGTATATCCTCAGCAGTGTACCTTAAAAAGAAGAAACTCTTTGTCTTCAGTATGAGCATTAATGTAACCAAAATTCACACACATCAGACAGGCAGAGACTTCTAGGCACAATTTTTGCAATACATTTTTAAAAATTTTGTTTATGTCATATAAACATAATTAAACCGATATTTTACAATACATAAGGCTATCATATCATCTTACTAGGCAATCACTCTGATTCAAATCTTATGCATTGCAATGTTTACAGATCAACCTGTAATACCACACATGTGTTAGAGATGAAAAGATCAGTAAAGGTTTTGTACTTTACACAAAATCTTGATCATAGGTGGCTAGGTAAATACAAATACGTTTACAGCTTTGAACCAGTTTTACTGGCAGGAAATAAGTGCACAGACTTGAAACTCTTTCCAACATGCCACGACAAATTTTCAAGGAAAATCACTTTCAAGTGAATATCTTGGGATTCTGATAGAATCTGAGTATCTGGAGTGAAAGAGATTTCTAGCCTTGTTTGCCCATGCCATCTGTGTTGCACTTACTTGCCAACATGGTTTTTGGAGTCATACATGCGAATGACACGCCTGTAGACAGCAAATAAGGGTCTCTGCAGTCCCTTGGCTATGAAACGGTAGAAATCTTTCCTCTCCTCCTTACTCATCTGGAAAATCACCGAGACAGCATCCCCAAGTTTCCGAATCTAAAATCATAAGCAAATCCCAAACTGCCAATGTCTCCTGAGAAACAAATGTTACGTTTTAGTGCCATGTAAAGGCCCCACATTCATCTACCAATGTTCAAACCAAGCTGTGGGATTATGGGGTACCGAAGTGCGACATCATTTAGAACCAGAAAGTGTAGTGCAAACGAATGGAGTACGCGTGCTTGTTGGTTCAAGGGCTGAATCAAAAAAGTCTGGGATAACAAACGATTATTCCCATTCCTGTCAGACATCTAGCAGATATACACAATTATATATATGCATTTCCACATCAGTTATGCAGCCAAAGTAATTACATGTATGAAACCCCCCCCCCCTCTAAAAATGTTATGTGTCACAATCTAAGTAGAAATCTTCCGGGTGGTTTTATATTTCTAGTTTAACAGACTTTTGAGAGTGAATTTCATAGGTGCACATTGGCATATCATTATTGAGTTAACTTAATACCAATATTGCATGATGTAAATGGTGAGATTCTTTTAGTTATGACATTTTCCTGTCACGTTTATCTTGATGTCTATGTGGTCAACCATCTGGGTAAGACTTAAGACTGTCTCCTGGCCTCTGGATAACACAGCCTTTTCGTTTGCCTTTCTGGCTGAAAGGCTAATCAGAGAGAAGAATTTCGAATCACCAAAGTCAGTCAGACAGTTTATGTTCTGAACACTTGAATCAGTTTGGAAGGCTGCAAGTGTCAAAGTTGAATAATTCATGTGATTTAACTACTTCTTTGGAAAGACAGCCGCTGTTGCAAAATACAACATTGAAAATGTTGCATTTTAAATAGTACATCTTTATTTGAACAGTGATCTGTGATCTTTGATACTCAAAAGCTATTTTTTTATCACTGCATTTCATGCACTTTTGTATAACAGTTTCTTGAATTGATGTGTATAAAACATGTTGATTGATGATATCTCAAGCTGGATCACAGAAAATGAATTTCACATTTATTTTCACCCAGTAACTAGTCTAAAATTGAACCTGTTTTGATCCTTCCGAGAACCTAGGCGAGTTATTTAGGATTTGGAATGTGCAATTGTGTGTAATTCCTACAGCTATATCCTGAAACTTTTGTGGAACTGCAGTTGAATCAGTTTGGCGATTTATTTGGTATTTCTATTTTGTTGTTTTATATACTACGTTTGTTTCATTATTGAATTTATTGAGATTTACTTTTCCTAAAAAACTAAGTAAAAGTTGTTTCAGAGTCATTTTCTTTGGTTACAATGTGTACATTTGACTATTTGAAAAACAGTAATACTACATGTATGTGTTTCTGTATTGTTTTATGAAAATGGTAGGATCCCCAAAAGCCATAATGTGCAATCTGATCAAGGTACGGTACCTTAAGATATTCCTCAATGTTTCTTTCCAAGATGTCGACTTCTTCTTTTGACCACATGCCTTGCTTCCACTTATGACCTGCAAGATAATAATTGGGAGCATATGACCAAGTTATTGGTAAAACATTATGAAAATCCCCAGTTTCTGACTATGGATTATATTTAGTCTGTGACATCACACTGATTCCTGAACCTTACCAAATACATGTATTGTCCATACTTAGCTTTTACAAACAATGTATGCCATAGTATCCCTACTGTGGGGCACTCATGACCATCAGATCTCGTTTCATTCAATTTTAGCTTTCTTACAATATTTCTGTTTTTTGGTTAAAATTACTGACGGCATTTGGCAATAACGGAAACAATTTGTCAACAACAGATCGCAAACGGCAATGTATCTGGCAAAGAATGATACAAAATTCAGCACAATTTTTGGGAATATGCAAGTGTGGACAGTATACATGACAGTTAGTTTGTGGTGTCTACCTGAATGTATCTCAGCAGACACTATCTTACATCATCACAAGTAGGATTATATGCCCTCAACTACCCATCCCATGGTCAATGCACACTAAAACATCAATGAACATTCTACGTGCAATATGTTCAACATGAAGTCTAGAGAGAATTGGAAATTAATCCCACAACATATACTAGCAGTAACAGAAGTGGGTGGAGGAAGCTTACAGTTCACTACACCATAGCCAAATGCCGTGTGTACAAATTGAGCTTATTTCAACACATAACATGAGTTTTGTGTGGCTAGAATATTACCCTTACCTTTCTTGGAGAGGTTGTCTTTGGAGTCTCTACTGGTGAACCAAGACTGAGTCACAGGGTCAATTGGTACTTCTTCACAGGGCATTCCTCTGGATGGCTGAATGAATATACACATCATACAAGTGACTAACCTAAACTATCTTCAGTCTTTCTCAAGGCAAGGCCTACTGAATCTAACAATCTAGGAACACAAAAGAATAGGGCCAGCTGACCCAACAGAAGCAAACCACATCAAAGTATTAGCAGCTCAAACAATCATGCATTTCATGCACTGCTTATTGAAGTAAAGTCAAGCAGATATTACTTACTGCTGGCAATATTAAATGTGGCACGAACACTTTTTGAGGAACACTTCCAAACTATTTTTAATTTTAAAGTACTTGCCCAGTGGAACAAGTTCAAGGTAACTTAATCATTTAAGGCGACTTTAATCATTACAGTCACCCCATGTTGCAACACGGGGCATGATCTGTCCATATACTCGAGTCCAGAGTGGTCACTGTCCTGCTTTTTGCAGTGCACCACTAACATGTTGAATCAAGCCTTGATGGCCCTAGCATATTTGGCACAATTTTGACCAATATATACATATTCATGTAGATCACAGAAACTCACTGCGTGGGTGTACAACAGAACAGGAAAATAAAATGCTCAGTACTACAGCTGAGCTGTAGGACTGCAATGTGCACATATCCCACTGTCTGAACCCTCTTTTAGCCGGGGTAAACCTTAAAGCTATATTCATATCTGTGAGTTTACCCATTCATATTTGACTAGAACGCATCATGTGGGTGGTCTTAAATCTCTGTTTAAAGTTGCGTTCCCCGTGCTACTTTCAAATTTCACCCAGAAAAACAGATTCCTTTTCTAAATTGCTATTTTTTCTAGCAATACAAAAGTTATTCACTTTTGAATAAAACATCCACAGGAAAAATCGGCCCATGTTTAGTTACTGGAATATAACTTTAGACTTTTGATTTATTAGCTGCCAGAAAATAATTCTCGTTCTTGCGGAGTAGCCTGGTTCCCGCCCCACAATCAGTATGGATAATGTACAGACTGGGAGCCAGTCTACTAGCATTAATCTATTAATAGAAGAAATCGTATTTGTTGAAGAGGGAAATGCAACTTAAAACACCGTTCAGGATGTTTAAAACCGGTCCGAAACGCTGCTCTCAGAGCAATATGCACACAGTATGTGCCTACTACAACTGGGTGCTTGAGAACCATTGATACAAAATTATAAAAAGAATGGGATGTTAAGCAAGCCACATGAGCGTGATGCATGTGGCCCAAACATGGAGTGAAACTGTGGACAAAACATTGTTGGAATTTTCAAGTTTTTGACCATTTATGAATAGGATTAATAGTGTGGTGGAACAGTTTTAAACGTCTGTTTTAAAGGGACATTACGTCCTAGGAAAACCCTAATTGGGATATAAATGGCATTTTTCAGGAAGTGGTATTAATTGGAAAGGGCATTTAAAAGAAGAACATATACATCCACACGACCATTCCTTAGAAATTGGCCATTCGTGCGAGAAAGAACTTCAGCGATCAAAATGTTGACTTTCAAAAATCAAACAGTTTGGGTGATAGTCACAATTCCCATCGCACTTTTTATTTAAAAAGCTTATTAAAATACCTGTGTTTTCAATGCTTTAAGGTGTCTGCTGAATATATGGGTTAATTTAAAATTACCGCAATTTTGTCAGTCTTCCTGGTAGTTTTCTAGCGAGCAAATGGGAACTTAGCAACCATAGCTTACACTTCCACCCCCTGCACTATGCGCCATGCAGTGCGGTACAGGTGCAGTCAGCTACGTGAGGAAAAGCTCCGTAAACAGGGCATTGTAACCATTGCCCTGTCTCAGAACTGAGTGAAAACAGTCTACAATATACCGTCACTTTGGGCAAATCCGCTACAATGCCTTGTTTATGGTCTACCTGGGTAAAGGCAGGAAACAACATTCCTGTATGTGCTAGTCCATGTACACACTCATGTACTGTATAGTGAATTTTCCGACATGACAGAAGTTGGGAAAAACGGCAAGTTGCCCTGAACTGGTTTTAAACCTGACATTTATAACTGCTCTACCAGTGACCACCACACTATAATTCCATTAATATTACATACACTAGCAAGACTCTCCTGTGTATCCTGGGCTTCTGATGCTTCACTGACATCGCCTTCTATGACATCATCAGTACTGTCCAACATCTCCTGTTTTACGTCACTGCATTCTGCAAAGTCTAAAGAAGAAGTATGCACAACTGTTTTATTGAAGGCTGTTGATTGTTGGAAGACATCAATGTCACTATTTAGTTATAGGTAGCTGGAGGAATATTAAAATATAGTATGCAATTATTTCTGCCACAAAACAATGTACATGTACAAGTTTCTTTGAGAGCGTTTGTTTTTGTGTTCCAGCTAGGCCAACCAGATTAATTTGTCTAAAGGTTCTTGATAAGGTTAGAAATGATGTAACAAGAAGTTGAAACCTGGGTCCCACTTATTATCCCACAAATGTTTGGATTTTCGTAAGCTAGCCTGAAGGAACAAACAACTGTTATTTTCATTTTGCAGACTCTAATCTAGAAATTCATGCGGCAATTTTACACTAAAGTATTTAGTGTGCAAACAAACTGTGCATTACTGAAAACACAGACAATGCCACGTGTCATATATTACTGGTCTTCTCCACAATTTGTACACATTTTTTTTGTATAAAAAAATATCTTTCATTAATCAACAACCTCTTTATTTAAGCATTACCATTCCAAGAAATGAAAGTTGAAATATTTTACTTTTTGGGGGAATTTTGACAGAATGTAATGAATCTGTAGTACATGTAGTTTATCAGTCCTCATATCCTGGTTTGGCCATGTTTCCTTTTTGTCTTTCATTAACGGCAATCCAAATCTTTAAACCACTACCCCACGTGAGGTAGATTACATTGTACCAGCACCAGGTAGGCTCATTCTTCAGGGTGTTCTCTTTTATTAGTAAGAATCTGCTCATGTACTACATTTTCTTGTCTTCTCTTGATGCCCCTGTGTGGCACTCAGTACTTTGCTGTAATTTGTCAATACGAATGAAGTTTCAATTATTTTTATTACATTAAAATGTCTCCGTCATTCCCTTTTAAACTTTTTAATGAAACAATGAGCCATTAACCCTAACCCACCTCACTCCTCCAAAATCCTCCTGGCGGTTTTGGAGGATTCTAGAGGATTGAGGATGAATGGTGATTGAATCAAATGAGGATTCTGGAGGATTGAGGATGAATGGTGATTGAAGCACATGAGGATTTTGGAGGATTGAGGATGAATGGTGATTGAAGCACAAGAGGATTGAGGATGAATGGTGATTGAAGCACAAGAGGATTTTGGAGGATTGAGGATGAATGCATTTTGAGGCAGGACTGTCTGATGATTTTGAAGGATTTGGCGTTGGTTATCCTTCATTTAAACACGAGTGCAAAGTTTTGGGATGAGGAGGATTTTGGAGGATTGAGGATGAATGCATTTTGAGGCAGGACTGTCTGATGATTTTGAAGGATTTGGCGTTGGTTATCCTTCATTTAAACACGAGTGCAAAGTTTTGGGATGAGGAGGATTTTGGAGGATTGAGGATGAATGCATTTTGAGGCAGGACTGTCTGACAATTTTGAAAAATTTACGCGGAGTTGAAAATTTTTGGAGGATTTTGGAGGATTGAGGATGGTTGTAAGCAACAAGGGCCTAGGGGGTTAGGGTTTAAGCTACAATTCATCCTTTTTACCTTAAGATTTTTGCTAATTTAATATTTTGAAATTAAAATTTGTATCACTATGATACATGTAGTGCAATGTACCACAACTCTCATAAAAAAATCAATGCATCAAATAAGTTTCCTGTTTTTCCTAGTGTTTCCTGCCATTTCGGAATGTACAGATTTCCTGAGAAACATGCCCAATCCATGTAACCTTTGAAACTAATGTACACAAGGAGTTTTCTTCATATACTCACCAGTCAGGATTTTCGCTGACTTTGTATCTTGAACAAATTTTGGTTTCCTAGCTTTGCGCTTCGCTGCTTTACCAAGTGCCTGTCGTTGATCTAATAAAGTACGATTAAAGAGAACAGTTAGGTTACAGAATGTTAAGAATCATACAGAACAGTTAGGCCTATTTGCTTACAGAATGTTTGTATATGTTCAGCAGACACACTTTATACAAATTGTACAGGAATCTTAAAGTGTTGCCATGTAAAAGTTGTGTCATAATAAAATTGCAACTCATACATACATGCATGTAAACAATCATTGCTTAAAAAAAAAATCACAGTACTGATTAATGGTTTATGAAATGTACATGTAAATTTTCTGCCACGTTCCAGAATATTCACTACATTTCTCAATGTTCTTCTTTTTTCAGTTGTTTGTAAGAACAATTTATTGGGGATGCAAATTGGGCAAAATGATGACTCTGAGTTGCCAAGCTGCACTCTTTCAATAGCAGAGAGGATGCTTGAGAAGAAAACATTCAAATGACATTCAAAGGATACTCAATTACTCACATTCACACATCTACATGGCAATCTCTCACCTGTGGTGCAAATTGTCATATTCTTAACAAATATATTTCTTTGATGTGAGATATGTGTTTGTAATAACTGGAATTTGTCCAAACCGTTTTCGCTATAACGGGAGCCGACTGTAACATGTTTTTGTTGTGAGTTGTAAAAGGAGAGAGCCTCGTGTAAGAAATGTTCCAGCCCCCCCAGCGCCCCCTCACTGAAAAATTCCTGGCTACGCCACTGCTTGGTTGTATGAGGCGACAGCTGCATATGTACAAACCAACCTGATGAAGTTGATGGTAGTGGATTGACTGGTAGTACAAGACATGCTGGTGATGATACCTCAGCTTTATCATCATCACTGTGGGAAGTCTCCATGATGTTTGACCCAAAGACAGTTCCCTAAAATAAAAAATAGAAATTGAAAAAATTCAAAGATCAGGTAATGATGATGCACATGTGTAATCATCAGTCCTTCTGATTTGAGGCGTGTGATCACATCCCCACGCCATCACACTCCTAAAAGCTTCCTGAGAAGTGTGAATAATCGCACGCCTGAATGCCTCTGTATGACACACCTCAGCATACATTTACGGCATAATTACACTTCTGTGAGCTCTTCAAATGGCTTCACTGTAAACCAAGATGAAGCGTACAAAATGACTACCAGATTGTTCAGTTCCAGTTTAGACCACAGAATCACACGCCTAGAAAAATCACAAACCTAGAAAAATCACACACCTAGAAAAATCACACACTTAGAAAAATCGCACACCTAGAAAAATCGCACACCTAGAAAAATCACATGCCTAGAAAAATCACACACCTAGAAAAATCACACACCAAGAAAAATTATACACCTAGAAAAATTACACGCCTAGAAAACTCCAGGTGTGCCTTTTCCGACACGCCTGTGATTTTCAAATCAGGACTACATACATACATGTACAATGTAAACATTTAAATCACAGACCATACTGCATAATAAGAGAGGACGATAGGGTTCGATCACGATAGACCAAAGGTCCTGTTTTGAGGTGTGTGTACAAAACATATGGGAGGTATGAGTTAACAAAAGAGGTACAAATGGGGGTCCAGGATTGAGGGTGTTTACAAAGGTACATGTAGGGTTCCTTATGGGGTAATAAGTCTTTAGAAATCAATCTACCCCAAAAGGAAAATGCTATGGAGTTTGAGATTTCAATAGGAACAAAGGAGAACAAAAGAAGGGGAAAAAGGTCTAGAGAACTGATGTGACTTTACTATAAATGTTATCCTGTTGGTGTTACGTACTTTCTATCAGTGTTGTAGGTCTCGAGACCGGTCTCGAGACCACTTTTTGCTGGTCTCGGTCTCGGTCTCGGAAGCTGTGGTCTCGGTCTTGGTCTCGGTCCCCTTTGGTCTCGATATTTTGGCTGGTCTCGGGTCGAGACCAGCAATATGTAGCTTTTACACCTCGATCGATTACTTTGTGTTCACTTCGTTCAGTACCATTGTTATTTAAAATATTTGCTAGCCCGTAGATCAAGCTTGTTATATATCGCGGTCGGTTTGGACTCGACTGCACGTTGGAAAGTCCCCAAAGTACATGTAAAGCTGCAGCAGTACCAGTCACTGAACGATTTGGAACAAGTTCGGCATTTATCTGTTGAGTCGGCCACATAAAGCAAAGTAATAACTTGTAACAATTTATGCAATAAGGGTCAACCATTTTTGGGGATTGTGTAGTTTAGCCCACCACTGTGGGCGTAATCACTTGCATTTTGTATTCTGATAATAAATGAGGTGCTTCAAATTAGTTATATTTTCGACCCCACACCATGTTCTCTTTAATTTGGGACAGTATTTTGAAGAAAAAGTAAATTTTTCTACCTGATTTTCCAGCTTTGAACTCACACACTCTTACCAGTTACCACTCACTGTTGCCATGAGAGTGTATGATGAGACCCCATATTCTGGCTGCTCATTTTAAAGTACCCCATTATTCCTCAAAAATTAAAAGTCCCGTTCAGAAAAAAATTAAAAATCCATATCTGGCACATTCTGGCTACCACCTCGCAACTTGTGGGTCTACATGTACAAGTCCACATTCTATGACAGAAATTTAAAAATTAATTCAACATTTTCTAGCTCCCATTTTTTTAAATCAAGTACACAAGTCTTGTTAGAAGTTAAGTCCTAAATTTATTTAAGGAAAAAAGAGGCAATGTAAAATTAAAATTGCATCTTTAAATATCCGTTAGAAGTCATAGCTGAAACCAAGGGGGTGACTGTGGAGTTTAGGATCCGAGTTCCTATAACAGATAAAAAAGCATCTGCCTTTAACTTTTTACTTTTGTCACGATTGGGTGTAGACAACATGTCAAAGCCCATATTTCTTAAGTGTAACTACTTTTTGCTCAAGTAAGGTGTCATGTATCAATTTGTCAACACTGCCACTGGTCAAAATTTTGGTCTGTATTCTTTGTGAATAGAAAGGTTACATTTTTCAACTATAATAACGTGTCTTGGTTTTTTTTATTTCGACTATTGTTATTTATTATCAGCGGTCTCGGTCTCGGTCTCGGTCTCGGACCATATTGGTCTCGGTCTCGGTCCGCCTTGAAGGGGCTGGTCTCGGTCTCGGTCTCGAATCTTCAGGTCTCGGTCTTGGTCTCGGTCTCGGACTATCCGGTCTCGACTACAACACTGCTTTCTATGTTATTTGTTGCAGACGCTGCTATCATTGCTTGAGAGCGAATAAACCACTGTTGGAAAGCAAATAGTGTCACATTTATTTAAGGTCTACTCCATATTGTAAGTACATAAGGCTGTGGGCATGTGTGTGGTGGTGGGTGTGTCGGGGGCAACATGAACAGCGTTGATGGTTTCTCCGAGTAAACTTTGTAAACATATGGGAGGTATGAGTTAACAAAAGAGGTACAAATGGGGGTCCAGGATTGAAGGTGTTTACAAAGGTACATGTAGGGTTCCTTATGGGGTAATAAGTCTTTAGAAATCAATCTACCTCAAAAGGAAAATGCTATGGAGTTTGAGATTTCAATAGGAACAAAGGAGAACAAAAGAAGGGGAAAAAGGTCTAGAGAACTGATGTGACTTTACTATAAATGTTATCCTGTTGGTGTTACGTACTTTCTATGTTATTTGTTGCAGACGCTGCTATCATTGCTTGAGAGCGAATAAACCACTGTTGGAAAGCAAATAGTGTCACACTTATTTAAGGCTACCCCATATTGTAAGTACATAAGGCTGTGGGCATGTGTGTGGTGGTGGGTGTGTCGGGGGCAACATGAACAGTGTTGATGGTTTCTCCGAGTAAACTAGTTACTTCTACTAACTACTATGAAATTATATAATATTTAATTATTTTAGTTATCAGAGGTAAATTTAAGTGCATGAAATTCCAGTGCATAGACTTTGGTACCATAATTTGCGAGTAAAAGAGTCACTAAAGGGCAAACACATACATAATGCACTACTCTGTGCATCAACTTTAAATCAGCCAATCCTTAGCATCGTTTTTCCATGCAATGATGCTTCTGCCCTCCTGATTGATCCTCCACCTGTCCACTCAAACTTAACTTTGTCGGGGAAATGTCTTTTTGTGATTGGTACATACAGTACTTATAAGTACTGAATTATAATATTGAAGGGAAAAGCAAATGAAAGTATAGCACAGGTCTTATTCTTATCAATATACTGACCTTGCTCCTGTGAATACTGAATACTTTTTTTGGTTTGCAAATTGCAAGAATAGTTTTCATTTGTAATATGCTTCTCATGCTCTGTACATAATGAATGAGTACAATACAGTAGGGCCTATGCTGATACATGTACCATTTTCTCATGAAATATGTTAATGATGATCAGTCATTCTAACCATACTAAGAAAATCTTTAATTTCCGTTAACAAAAATAGTAGGGATGAAGTCAAGTCCATCACAAGTTTATCACAAGTTAATCACAAGTCTAGATCCATGATTGAGGCTATAGGCCTACTATGGTTCATATCTCCAGACTTTCGAAAAATTGCTACAGACGACGTTCGTATGGGTGCCATTTTTTCTTTATTTCTTTGGAATGACAGATCCTATGCCACTCGAAGTTCTGGGATAAACTCTTATACATGTGACATACAGTGCTCGTTACATTTTGAGATTGTAAGTGGAAGGTCTCCTACCGGAATTTCGAGCACGTCCAGTCCTTCTGATTTGAAATTCACAGACTTGTGGAAAAAGGCACACCTGGAATTTTCAAGGCGTGTGATTTTTCTAGGCATGTGATTTTTTTAGGTGTGTGATTTTTCTGGGCGTGATTCTGTGTTCCAAGCTGGGACAGAACTATCAGGTATTTTTTTAAATAGGCCTAATCACCTTGGTTTTACAGTAAAGCCATTTCATGAGCTTACATTACAGAAGGGGTTTATTGCCCAGTTCCTACCAAATTCTTTAATTTTAATTTGTCTGTAAATGTATGCCAAGGTGTGCGGTACAGAGGGATTCAGGCATGCAATTATTCATACTTCTCGGAAAGCTTTTAGGTGTGCGATGGCGTGGGGATGGGATCCCATGCCTCATATCAGAATGACTGACATCAGTACTGACATCTCTGTAGGAGAACTGCAACTGCATATTTTACGTAATCAAGCACCCATTGCGCAGTGTTGAAATTATTCCAAACACGCACGCTTGTTGCTCGAAATGCATTTGAAGTGCGACGCAGCCGATGCACATTACGCCGATGCACATGACGTTCAAAATGTTGATGCACGTATCTGGTCTGTAGGAAATGACGTCATTTGAACGAGACCCGGCCATAGGCCTAAAATTTGCAAGAGCTGCATGATGTGTGCCAACTTACAATTAGTACATGCACAATATATCCTCGACCCTCCATTATCTGCGCAGGTAACGCCTGCATACACGCGCGCATTGTCACACACAAAGTGAAGGCAAATGCGTAGAAAAAGGACCGCATGGCTTTAGCATGTAGGGGGACTGAGGATAAAATGCTTGAACTAAAGGGACACCAGGATAAAAAGTTGTCTTGCCAGTTTGTTTTTAACAATAAAACTTTGTTGGTTTGCTGATGTGACGTAGTATTTTTGGTAGCTTACTTTCGTTTTTCAATCCTGTTGATGAAAATTGATGGCCTACACTACAGCCATGACAACCGTAGCAAAACTCACCCTCTCTCAGGCATTCTACCTCCATCATGTCCATGCTCAGGCAAAGGCATTTGCCTCATCAACATGATCGAACTTGAAAACAACTGTCATGACTGTACAAAAAGAGGTAGGCCTATATACTATATACTAGTACTACATGTATTTGATGTACCCTAACGTGGCGCGGCCCCTAACGTGGCGCACTTGGATTTTTCGCCGGTAGCGCCTACCTAGAGCAAAATTTAAAACTGAAATTAAACTGAAATTTCACAGAAAGTGAAATTTCATCAAGTTCTAAACGGTCCTGTTCATAAATCGCGAGTTTATTTACCCGTAACAAAGTTAGAAGGAAAAGCTATTTTGGCGTGATTTTCCGATTTTATTTTCAAGTGCAAAGTGAACCCTTTGAAAATGCCCTGAAAAATAAGAAAATAATTTTCTGACAAACATTTGGCTGGGTATGTAAGTAAAGATATAAATTATTTATCAGAATTTATCAAGTTTACAGGAATTCGTAAGTGTTAATTTGGAATTTTCCAAGATTTATTCAAGTGCGCCACGTTAGGGAACACTCCGCCAATTTGTGCCCAATTTCCGGACACCACCGTTTTTGAATTTCGGATTAAATTTTATGAAACTGAAATTGTTCACAGAGGTAAAATAGCAAGCATTGATAAGGTAAAAGTACTAGTATTTCATTGCATGAATTTGAGGTTTGTCAACAAAGAGGTTTGGCAACACTACACGAGGAAAGTCGGGTAAGCTTCGAAGTGCGCCACGTTAGGGAACACGACTATACGATGTAGGCCTATTTTCATCTAGATGAAAGGAGACACCTTTTAGAGTTTTGATGCTCCATACTGCTCTCTGATCGTATTTGTTTGTTTTCTTATAAAATTTGACACAGCTGACCAATGCAAAAAGTTTGCTTGGCTTGGCATTTATATTTACGGCGCGCAAGAGAAATAGGGGACAAATGCCAGGATGAAAAAGACCCAGGATGTCCAAGACCCAGGATGTACAAAATGGCTGCCCCCATAGCGATAGCAAAGACAACTCGTCTTAGCTGCTATGTATTATTTTTGTCGAAAAATGTGTAGGTAATCCTCCACTAAACAGTTTTTAAAAAGCAGGTATATTTTGTTTAACTTACCCAGTGCGTCTAGTGTAATTGGAATTTTGAAATTTGCGTCAAAATATATAGATTTATACTTAAGAAGGTTCGGGTGATCATCCGATGTATCGTTTCAATACGCGCACGTAGTGTTCCTGCTATGCAGCTAGCTGCTGGTACACGGTACTGGGACTACTGTATACAGTATACTATAGGATTAGAATGGATGGAAAATTTCATAGCTATGCTATATGCATCCAGGTGCGCGGCGTGCGCGGGAACCAGCGGTTAGCCAGCCAATATCAGTTGAGAAATTTGTGGATTTTGGAAGATCAAGGTTTTAAGTGGTAATTACATGTAATTATTAGGACTGTAGCTGGAATTCTTGGAAAAAATGTAGTATCCGGACGCCTCTTCTTTGGTTGTGTACTAAGTCTATGGAGAGTCCAGTAGGCGTACATTTTCAAAGTATTTTCTAACAAAATTGGAAATGTCTCTCACACTTCCTCACTAACTATCCCAGATTCATGTCTTTTCAATATTGACTGACCTTCACTGAAATAATGATGAAAAAGGGCATCAAGATGCAACAATCTTTCTGAATTCTTACTCTTAGGCCCAGGGCAAACTTGCTACGAGCACCGGATTGGGCAGAATGTGGATTCTTGTCATGCTCAAGAAATTAGTTCCTGAAATCTCTGGTTCAGTGAACACAGCCAGATGCAGTCGGGCTACGCTGAATCCAGGTCTAAAATGTTTTTATTTTTGGCTAGATCAAGTGAGTTTGTCAGCCATCAGGAAGCAGTAACTTGTCCTGAAAAAGTGAAATTTAGCAGAAAAAATATTGAAGCATTTAGTGAGAAAACACTTAAAAATTTTTAGACCAGTATCATACTGGTTTGTACACAGGGTGTCAAGTGAATTCTTTCTGATGGATATCTTTGCATTATAAATTAATAATTTGCATAATTTCATTTTTATTTTTGGAAAGAATGTAGCATCCAGACATCATGTCTTTTCAACATTTTGTGAGATATGTGATGTGATAATGTATGAAAAACGTAGCACCAGGATGCAACATTGTTTCTGTATTGTTAAATATTTTTTAACATATAACAAACACCATAAGTGAAAGTTAACTCAAACACTTGTGAAAGAGGCAACTCCCTAAAAAATGGTTTTGATCTATTCCTTGTTTATCCATTTTTGTTTCCTTGTGGAAGAGAGATAGTGATCTTGATGACATGTATTTCCTGCATTGCAGCCTACGTGCTGAGGGAGTTGGAGCCAGTACTTGGAGAGTCCATGGTGGCAGGAAGTTTTTCTAGGACATGCCCATGCTAATGAAACCTGAGTACTGGTGGTGATTGCATATCTTGTGCTACATGGTAGGTGACGTTTCCTGTTAACCTTTAGCAAGGACCATGCTTTGGCACTAGCTGCTTGTTTGTAAGTTCTTTGATTTCCTGGTTTGAACACTGGAGTAAGCCTACATCATATATGTTGCTGCTTTCTTTTCCTTCTTCAGGTTCATTAACTTGCTGATGTGGTATGTCATTATTCTTTTGATGATTTGTTTCTCTAACTTTGCATACATTTTGCAGTAATTTGGACCAATTTCTTGAGGCAAGCATGTTTATAAAAATGTCTAAGCATTTTGTTCGAGTGAAAAGTAGGTCAATTAATGGTATAAAAAAAATCTGAATCATAGATATTTTTTCAAAGTTCAATTTTTTGTTCTCAACAAATTTGTTAGTAAACAGCTCTAGGAAAATATTAGTAGGGTATTTGCTGTACTTTTCACATTGATTTATTGTAGCCTTATAAATTGGTATGTGGATTTACCCTTTTTCTCCATTGTACTTTGTTAAGCCTCATAAACGTGTTTCAAAAACTGGACTTCCTCCGGATTGTGAATATGGAGGAAGTCAAGTACAGTATTTGAGATACAACAAATGAATGGGGTGCTATGGTCCAATGGTTACGGTGTTTGACTCGTCTGCCGTGGTACATGGGTTCGAATCCTGACTGTGGGAACATGGTGCTTGTGCTCTTGAGCAAGGCACTTTACCATTATTGCTTCGCCCTTCGGATGGGACACAAAGCGATAGGTCCTGTGTGTTGTTTTAATGCACGTTAAAGAACCCATTCAGTTACACTTATCGCTAAGAGAAAGGGTTTGCCCCGGTGTTTCTGGCAGTGGCTGCAATATGCGCCGCAGCACCTCATAAATCCTTATAAAGGTGCTACAGATGGGTCTCATAGTTCTCATTAACTTGAGGGCCTCCATGGAAAGCAGTGCCTTGCACTGATTGGAGTTTACCCTCATTAGAGATGATGTTAAAAAAAAAAATACATGTACATTTATGGGGCTATACTTTCTGGTACATAACATTTGATGTTATATACATGCACTGCACTTATAAACATGAACCAATTTCATGGTGCTAAAGTGTACTGAAATATGAACGGATGTGGACTAAATTTATAACATTTTATGGATAATCATTTCCCCAACATTATCCCACTTGAAAGACATATTAGGCCTACATAAGGCCAAACAAAAAAATTGTTTTGTTGCCCTCAAATTAAAAATATCAGGAGGGTTGGTCGGTTGAAGAATTTTTTTAGGGGGGGGGGGTATTCATAGTACAAATAATAACTTGCCCTTTCTTCTTATTGAAGAATACATGGTAAGAATGATTAGACATAGCGACCAAAATATCTGAGAAAACACAATTGGTGTGCCTGGTATTGTACTTGTTGAATGAATCAGAAAATTTGTCATAGGTTGACAACACAACTGAATAGTTGCTTCGTTCCCAACATCGCCGTCATGGACACCGCATGGCTGTCCATCTTGTCTATAGATCGTGACCGCACAAGCAGCACAAAGTGCTGTCGAGCTTAGTGTACAAAGTGAACAGCGGGTACAGCGAACCATACTTTAAAAAGTGATTCTTAGAAGATTGATTTTCATTGTTGATTGAGTCATGATATTTCTTTTTAAATTTAATTTTTAAAATTTTCATATGACGTCTCCTATCTAATTGAAGCTTTTTGTTCATTTTGACCAATATTTTGTAAAGAATTCCATTCGGTTACCAGTTCCCCTCTACCAACTGGACACGAAATGTTTTAGGCATGGTTAAAATATGTGTTCGGCATGCACGCACCAACTCTTTCAGTATACTCTGATGCAGTACATTGTGTACAGTGCATGTGCACAATTATTCAGTGTACGATGCCCAAGGTCTCGACAACCACGCGTCATCCATTACACATACACGGTAAAATTAACATTTTTGTAACAAAATGCAGAATAATTGGCATTTCCAAAAAACAAAAAGCGGACCGGAGATTTCCATAATTTTTGGGAGGACCTAATATACGGACATTTAATTTCGCAATACTATTACATTATTTTACAACAATAATGACAGTGTTTTTAATGAACCATTTAACATTGATGAGTTGAATCATGCCATCGACGCCTTAAAATGCACCACCCCTGGTAAAGATTGAATAAGCAATATGGTCATCAAACATTTCTCCATAAACGTTCGGGAATATCTACTTATTACCTTCAATATGATCTGGCACACCTCCCAATGTCCCAAGCAGTGGAAAGACACCATCCTCATTTATATCCTCAAACCAGGGAAAGATCCTGTCAACCCTTTATCTTACCAGCCTATAGCTCTCTCCTCCACCTTATGTGAATTGATGGAATGCATGGTCAATTCCAATCAGCTATGGTATAGAAACGAATAACCTCTTCAGCCAACAACAGATTGGGTTCAGAAAAGGTCCCAGCACAAAAGATCACATCCTCAAACTTGAATCGTCCATCAACAAAGACTGAGCCAACACAGAAAGTACACTTGTGGTCTTTCTTGACATTGAAAAGGCATACGACATGCTCTGGCATAAAGGGGTAATTATTCAACTCCAAGTCATGGGCATCTATGGTCGAGTTACTAGTTGGATCTTGTAGACAACTTCCTTAGTGACAGGAAATCCAAGACAACTAACACCCTCTCCACAGAAAGAACTCAAGAAAATGGTGTTCCTCAAGATAGCCTCATCAGCCCTTTATTGTTTAATGTTGCCGTCAATGATCTCTCTCATCAACTGCCTGAAGTTCATGTGTCTCAATTTATCGAGAAGAAAATCCAAAAAAAGACTCAACAATATTTTATCTTGGTGCGAAAAATGGGATTTCAAGCTATCCTACCCCAGAACAACAGCGGTCCTTTTCACAAACAAAAAGAAGACTAATATTCTCTCCTTCTTCAAAACCGTGCAATCCAAACCCTCCAATCAGCCAAATCCTTGGGTGTTACATACGATAATAAGTTGACTTGGAAGCAACGCATTGACAATAACGTCACCAAATGTAAAAGGAAACTCAACCTTGCTCGCTGTATTAGCGGAACTACCTGGGGTGCTGACTGCAAGACATTGTTCTAGATATACAACCTGTCCTTGAGTATGGATGCGAAGCTTTCAATTCAGCCTCCACTACTGTGAAGCAAAAAGTAGACAGTGTCCAATCAAGCCCTCAAAATTTGTACTGGAGCTCTCCAAGGCTCTCCTCTGTTCAAGCTTCAACTTGAATGTGGCGACCCCCATTGACATTTCATCGCCAATTCTTAAGTAATCTGTACAGTATCAAAATTAAGGCCCATAAAGATCATCCTAATCAACATCTTGAACAAGACAACTGGCAGAAAAACTACTTTGAAGAGAAATGGAGACAAATTACTTACAAAACTCCCTTTGAAGCCAGAATTACCCTATACCCTCGATAAAACTCTCTTGGCTCTCAGACTACACCTTGAATGCAAGATCAGTTTTGAATGTATTGTACAAAATAAGTCTTTCATAGCAATCAAGGTGATGTACCTGAGGTACATAAGGCAAGGTTCTTAGCGTTGTTCAGTAGGTCATCATTCATAAACTTATGAAATTCATCACATGAACAAAAACTACCAATATAATTCAATGGTATAACAATTGGGTTTGAAATATGGGATATCCAGCATTGATGGCAAATGTATGAGGTATTCAAACCTGAGAAAATAATTGTGATCTTTGTTTAAATATTTAAATACATATTTGTATTAAAATATATTAAAGTCTAAGTAAACAATATTTTGTATCCTTTGACACAGATACAGAGAAAGGACGATGGCTGCTCTGCACGCATTCCAGCCTCTGAGGACCTATCCACTTGCCTCGTGGCATAGAGGGAGTATATTGTCAGTGGTTTCCATTATCTGTCTTGGTCTAGTCTTGCCGTCTTGTGCTTTGAATCAGCGACTTGTAGGAAAGCTTCAACATTTCAGCACTCCCGATACAGACTTACAAAACTTTGTTGTCCGCAGAGATAATGGGGAGATCTATCTCGGAGGAACTAACAAGTTGTATTATCTCTCGTCTGAGCTGGATAAGCTGTCAGAGGTGGACACAAGACTCGAGGGAATGACACACTTTTGCCCAACTGTGAATAACTGCCCACATGGGGACAACGTCAATAGGTTGTTGGAAGTCGATTATGAGAATAACCTGATAGTGTCTTGTGGCAGTGCTTTTGCTGGCACGTGCACTCTACACCATTTAAGCAACTTCACCAGTATTGCTGGTTGGCCGGCGTTGGCTTTTCAAACTGATGGCACTTTGACTGAGGATAGTCTGGCCTTAGGAGACACAGTTGTTGGTTTTTACGCACCGTTCCAGGTTGGCAATGATGGGCCAGAAACTCAAGCTCTTTATGTTGGTGCCACATACAACAATGATCTCCAATACAGAAATGTCACTCAGCATGCTGCTACTGCAAAAAAACTTGAAGAGACAAACCCTGGGGAGTGGCATTTTTCTTTTGCCTACCGAGATTCTACTTATCATCGTAACACCTTCATTGATGTTCGACCTGAATACAGAAATAATTACAAGATTAAATACATTTCTGGGTTTAACTCGGGAGGATTTAACTACTTTACAACTGTACAACGTGAGGATATAGATAGCAGCAGGTATCATTCACGTATTGTGAGGATTTGCACAAAAGATAAAAGTAAGTAACATGTATAATTGTAAGCAATTTTTCTCAAGGGAGGATTATACCAAACGTTCCTATGTAAACCAAAGAAGACCTCCATCAAAATGGCGTTATTTTTTTGTAATTGTTTTCTTAATTTACCTTAAACATTCCCAATTTCGAATTGAAAGGAGCTATGACAGTTGCCTTTTATTCAGCCTCGACTCCATGGGCACGTACACATTCCTTCACTAACCCCTGGCCGTGAGAAATACATGACGCTGGTTGACCATTCAGAGTGTACTGCACGTGAATTTCGATATATGTGTCGCGTTATCTCCTGCACGTCATGTCATGTGCACATTTTTTTTTCAAGACTGGGTGTTGACTGTATGATGGATTCTGGAAACCTCATTCCCCCCCCCCCCAAAAAAAAATCTGTATTTTGTGTTGTAAAGGGACGACAGAGGTACATACATTTATATAAATCCTTGCTGTATAATGTGACACCGAAATCTCATGTTTGAAAGGATGTTCTACAAAAAAAAAACGATTCAAAATTTAAAGCATGGCGTCACGAGTTAAACACATCAACTGCAGTCCTTATTGTGGGACATTTAAATTAAACAATTCCAGGGGTTAAGATCGCATAAGGCATGATGGGAACCAATATGGTGCTGGAAGATCGTATCCATGGTAAAGAGGTTGCCTTATATTTTACAACCTATCAGTTCTAAACAACAGCCAGTATTCAAACCGTCTCCTGTGCATTTTGAATTTCTATCACTATTTTTATTATTTAGAGTATGTTTGAGGAATCACCCACCTTTAAATTTCAACCTCAACTACATATTTGATGTGCACTGTGTATATTTTACAAACAGGCTTCTACTCCTACACTGAGATGGCACTCATTTGTGATAGTCAAGCTGGTGATACCTATAACATCCTGCGAGCAGCGTATGTCGGCAAAGCAGGTAGCAATTTAGGCTTTGATCCTGGAGAGGATGTCCTGTTTGCCATTTTCTCTCAGAGTATTTCTACTGAATCTGACCAACCTGGCAGTGACTCGGCCCTGTGTGTATACGGCATGAGTTATATCAATAAGCGGGTCAAGAAAGGATTACAGCAATGCTTCAATGGCGATGGAACACAGGGATTGAGGTTCATGTCTGAGAACCGTGGCTGCAATGACGTCGTGGTAAGAAACCTGCATTGTTAGTTTAAAAATGGAAATAAGACGTTATAAAAATAAGAGAATAGATGCATGTCTTTGGGCAACGTTCGAGTGCTGTGATCACATACTACTTTATTTCTATTTCCATAAACATACACAATAGATCTTTCTCAGGATATGCCATCTTGAAAATCAAAGCGAGGCATGTAAACCCAAACAAAGAGATAGTTGTACAGTGAACGAGTGACATCAATCCCTGTTCTAGGTAGGTCATGTCTCATTGCACTTTGAAGAAGAATCTTATAATGAATAAGCCTAAAACAGTGGCCGAACTGAAGTTTCCATGTAGTAGTTAACGTCGCAGCACCGCCGTCAACTGTACAGACATTCTATTTTCACTTTTCAAATTTTTTCAATGGTTCCTATCGGGCTCCGGTTCCTCTTATTTCTGCGAAATGACAGGTCCTGTGGAAATGACAATTCACAGCCTTATAATGTAAGTGCTTCAACAAATGCAATTACAGCTCAGAAAACACCATGGATGGAAAATTGAAAATAGAAAGTCTGACGTTGACGGTGGTGCTGCTTCGTTAACACAGAAACTTGAGACATGAGCTACGTAGAATACGGATTGATGTTTCGGGGGAATTTGAGCTATATCCTTCCATTTATAAGGTTGTCAATCTGTTATAATTTTGCGAGAGTCACACAGTCACAGCACACAGTATTTACATGCCATGCCATGTTTGTTTGTGTCAGTTGCAGTGCTGTAGTCGAGTCCACCCAGTCCGAGTCCGAGTCCTTGGTATCCGAGTCCTTGGTATCCGAGTCCGTGGTATCCGAGTCCGAGTCCGAGTCTGTGGTATCCGAGTCCGAGTCCGTGGTATCTGAGTCTGAGTCCAAGTCTGTGGTATTCGAGTCCGAGTCCTTGGTATCTAAGTCCGAGTCCGAGTCCTTGGTATCCGAGTCCGAGTCCTTGGTATCCGAGTCCGAGTCTGAGTCCTTGGTATGCTAGTCCGAGTCCGAGTCCTTGGTATCTGAGTCCGAGTCCTTGGTATCCGAGTCCGAGTCCGAGTCCGAGTCCGAGTCCTTGGTATCCGTGTCCGAGTCCGAGTCCTTGGTATCTGAGTCCGAGTCCGTGTCCGAGTCTGAGTCCTTGGTATCCGAGTCTGAGTCCGAGTCCTTTGTATCCGAGCCGGAGTCCGAGTCTTTGGTATCCGAGTCTGAGTCCTTGGTATCCGAGTCTGAGTCCGAGTCCTTGGTATCCGAGTCCGAGTCCTTGGTATCCGAGTCTGATTCCGAGTCCTTGGTACCCGAGCCCGAGTCCGAGTCCGAGTCCTTGGTATCCGAGTCCTTGGTATCCGAGTCCGAGTCCTTGGTATCCAAGTCCGAGTCTGAGTCCGAGTCTGAGTCCGAGGTATCCGAGTCCAAGTCCTTGGTATACGAGTCCGAGTCCAAGTCCTTGGTATCCGAGTCCGAGTCCTTGGTATCCGAGTCCGAGTCCGAGTCCGAGTCCTTGGTATCCGAGTCCAAGTCCTTGTCGCTGAGTCCGAGTCCGAGTCCTTTTTGAATCTCAAGTAGTGTTCTCATCGACACCAATACACTAACCCAATTCACAAATATTACACATCATCGTGGTTGGGAACTAGGACAAAGTTCATTGTTTTACCCCTTTAATACAAAGCAAAGGTCAAAGATAACCCCAAAGGCTCAAAGGTACTGTGTAGTATACACTTTTACCAAATTCATAAAAGGTTTCGCCCTCAATATTTTTAAAAAAGTGAACTTCAGGATTTAAGGGCTTCCCAATTGTAAAATCCCAAATTCAGATCCTCATTTTACAAAAATGTTGCTGGAAAAGTGTCGCTGTTTGTACTCAGAATGCCGTGCCAGGTCACAAGTATGAAAATTATGTTCTGGCTTAATTAAGATTTAAAATAAAACATGCTCATTGCATCTTGTTTTGTTTTTGTGTTGATGGGGAAGGGGCGTAATCATACATGTTGCCACTACAGGTTAAGTTAAATGGAATGGAGTTTGGCCGCCACCATGCATTTAGTTTTCCTCAGACTTGTGTTTTCTTACAAAGAAGTGGTTTTTAAGCTGAGAAAATATTAAGTAAGAACCAGCTTAATGCGAGCAACATTCAGGGAATAATCCGTTGATACTAATATCTTGTTGGAAAATTCCAAAATCATTCCAAGAAATAAAAATATCTCACACAAAAATACAAACTTTCTTCCCTATGTGGCATGATGGCAGTGATGCCACATGTACAGTACATGTACATGATGTAGGCCTACATCATTATCACTATCAGTATGATGTAATTCACAAATGGATGGTCATTTACAAATACATTGTTTGGCTGTTTTATTGATCGATTTTGATGGGGTATAAATGTAAAATATTTCACAAAATTGTATAAACGCACACCACAAATGGTTCAACATTGTTTTGGTGGGGTTTTTTTTTTTGGGGGGGGGGGGAAGAAGAAAAAAATCTCCCCCCCCACAACTGGATCTGTCCCATCATTTACGAAGTTCCTCAAGCTTGGCAGGATTTGTGTACACGCTGCAGATGACTGGTGAAGTTCGAGGTAGTTCCACTACTTTCAGAAATCGTGGCTTTGCAAAATTTACAGTTTGCAGAATGTCTCTTCTTGCCCATTTTGTGGCATGAATACTCCTTGTGATTGGTAAATCCATACTTGATCATGGGCAAGTGCCGCCATGATCTGTGGTATGGAGTGGTAAGTCAGACGACGCGGGATTTGACAAGAAGTTGAACACGTGTTGGTAACGATCTGCGGGATGATCGGATAGACTGCTCAGTATGTGCGTGTGTGTGTATGCTGGGTACGTGCTGCGTGCGCCCAAACCACGAACTGTAGCTAATTTACACATCGTTTTGCAAAAGATTTTCATTTAAATTCTAGCGCACGCAATATTTTAGCAGATAAATTTACGAGAATGTATCCAGGGTGTACACATTGAAAAAGTGCTGTACAATATAGAAATTTAACATTAATCATGTCATGCAAGCCACCAGGCCAGTGAACGTGCCAGTTAGGCACAGTCTCATTAGTCTGGTTCCATGGATGAAAAATGCCTGTTATCTCATTCAACAGTACAGACCAGTGGGTGATGACTTTTGTGGCACTTCAGATTTGCAACCAATTGAGGGCAGAAAGCCTGCCATAGAGAGAGACATCCTGAGGGGTGGGGGAGCAGGCAAGTCATTCACATCCATCACAGCTATGCCTTTGGGTCTTGACACATTGGCTATAGTGGGTACCAATGATGGACACATCATGAAGGTAGGTCAAAGGTTAAAATCATTAATGTCATTCAAACATTGATTCATATACTCGGTCTCCATTGCTTAAGCAGTAACAAGTGGATGTTTTAGATTAACTCTAAAGTAAGGAACAAACAAATTGCAACTGTCAAACTTTTGCAAACTGTATATGTTAACAAATACAATGAAAAACGAGTGTCGCTTTTCATGTATGCATCTACCCAAAAGGCTGATTGTGGGGTACATATGTGAATCAAGTGAAAACACCAAAAGCATATTTTCTGTTTTGCATTTTTGATCTTCTTGTAAGAGGGTCCAAAGCTTGACATTGTTCTTGTCCCTGTTACCTTGATATGTTGTAATTTGCCAAATTTCAAGGCCAGTGAACGTGCCAAATTTCAAGAATCATTAAGAATGACTTCAATAAAGTTTTTATTTGTTGGGTAAGTAGTTTGCTATTCATAACCACTCTTGGAGGACGACTGCATTAGGAGTGCATCAGAATTATAAAATCATCAAAGTCAGATGTAACAGGGACAGGGAAAATAGTGGACCCAAATTTGTAGAATGAACATTACACAGTGCAAAATGTACACCAAGTTTTTAGCCGACATCTGTACATAGTACATGTACATACTGTGTATATGAATATAACGTGGCAGTGGTCAGGGTGCACTTCAGTCCCTTACTGGTTCCCAGCGGTGCGTGTGCTCTCACATGGAGTGCGGGGGCACCAGCTTGCAGTCTATAAAAGCAGCTACACGCTTAGTGTCGCTCTCTTTTCCACTGTGGCTGTTGTATTGAGCGGAAGTCTCTGTGCAAGCATGTGGTGGGTAACCATTGTCCCGCCGAGTCCCTGATCATCAACCAAATCATTGCCAATCATTATTTAGTCACTGTGGGGAGCCTCGTGTGTTGTGTGGGTCAGATTAATTAGCTAATTCACGTTACATGTAATAATTACCAAATCAGTAGTTGAGTGATTCTTATCAGGAGTGCTGCAAATATAGCTGAGTATAGGATTTTGGTAGTGTGCTTGGGGCCTGGCGGTAGATTTCCACCAAAACGGATGAACCTAACAAGTGAACTTTTTCAATGTCCTAATGGTGTATCAGAATTTAAAAAGTCATTTCCAACCTGTCAGGCCAATTAAGTAGGTCAAACTGAAAGCAGAATGCACACATTTCAGACATTCTTCCAAGTAATCCTGACAATCAGCTTTGTCATTTCCTGTGATACCTTGATAAAAGGAAGTGCTAGACAAAAACAAAAAGACAAGGGGCCTTGAATATTGTGTCTCTTTTGATATTGCAATCATGTTCTGAACCAGTGGCATATCAAGCATGGAGTTTGGGGCTAGAGCAAGGGGGCCAACTTGGCCCCTCCCTTCCCCCTCCCCCTACCCGCGACATACATGTACTGTCCATTTTCTTGTCTTTTTGTTTCACTTTGGCTTTTAAAAAAATTGGGTCTCTTTTTCATAGAAAAAATTATCCATTTTGTTCCACTGGACCGGTGGACCCAAAACCAGCATATGCCACTGTTATGAGCTTTGTGATGAAATTAATTATTTTAACTTTAAAAGTAAGACAAAGGACGTGGTCTGTGTTTTGTTTGTAGGGAGATGAGTGTTTTGGTTAAATGACTACTTACAAATGTACTAGCATTCCAGATGAAAGACAAATGGTCATCGACACCAGTCAAAGACTAGATACAGTATTTTGTTTAGTCTCAGTATAAAGTACATTTGTTACTGTAGGATACAGTTGCCAATTGTATAGTCTTGTTTCATCAGTATGCAAATCATTGTAAGTTTCCACCCAAGGGTGTGGGTACTTTTCATAAAAATTAAAACATGTTTAAATTAAAACATGTTTTCTTGAATAACCGAATAAAGATTATTTGTTACACCAATGGAATTATCCACCCTATTTTGTTTGCTGTCTCCAATGTCCTTCTTTGGAGATGCCACATTGTACATGTACATGTATATGTAGATGGAATTTGATCCGGACTTCGTAAGGGCCACACCCACTGTACATGTAATGCCTTCTGGGAAGTTACAACATAGAGAATTGTAATTTACATACATAATTTTTAGAATTACAAACAAAATGGTAACACAAATTCCAAAATATTTTAATTTGTTTGTTTACATCATTTGATTTAGCAAAGTTGACTAATATGGTACTTTTTTTGTACAACACAGTCTGCAAATGGTGCTAGACTATTCTGTGCAAAATATATGGGAGCCCAGAAAGGCCACATAAAGCTTATACTCAATGGCAACCCCATCTGAAAACACGTTAAAATTGCGCAGCAGCAGGATTCCAGTCAAACCAGTGAGTTTGGCGGTTTTGAGACTTCATCTTACATTGAAAAAAAAACTTTTTAATTTTGCTGACGTGCATGGCTACGGCGACGCGTGCGCAGACCAGAAACCAGAGCCTTTTTTTTTGGCCTAAAGGTGCATTTAAACAATGGGACCTATGGAGTACCATATCAGTTCTGGAAGTCGCTTTTACTTCATTTGAATTTGTTCAACCTCCATGTACATGTACCTAGTCAGTTTCCCTTTGTGGTAATTTAATAATATTTGTTTGTGTTTATGTAGTTTCTGTTACAGCCTCTAGATTCACCTCCAGATTCCAACTTTCCTCCTGGATTGCCATACAAGGATCTGGACCTATCCAATAGCCCAGTGCTTTCAGATATGGCTTTTGACAGAACCAAGGACAATGTGTACGTCCTGACATCCCATGAGGTACATGTAGGATTGAAGATGATAATACTTTTCATGTAGTCCTTGTCGTTATTACCTATTTTGAAAGATCAGTGTAAAATTCAACTCCTTAAACAGAATGAAACAGAATTTTCTTGAATACGGCCTGCTCCCAGTTTTGTATTTTGCCAGAATGCCTCACATATGGCTAAATCATACACACCAACTGCCTCTGCCCTTACAGCTATCCATTTAAGTGGATACAAAACTAAACCTTGTGGGGAAAGCAATGAATGACAAAGTGGCTTGCCCAAGGCCATAAGCATCACAACCCCAGACTGCATGCAAACCCACAATCTACAGAACTATTTTGATGAGAGATTTGCTGACATTACATCTCACTGAATTGAAGGGCAAGTACATGTAGATGTGCATGTATTCGAACACCATCTTGGCAACTTAGAGTGTCATGCCAGTGGCTGAACTCAAACAAATGACTGCAATAACGAACAATCTTTTGTGGATCCAATCGTGTTTGTTGTAGTGACATTCTAACAGAATGCATTTGATTTAAAAATATGCTACAATAATGTCTTTCCCTGCCAAAACTTACTGTGAAAATTGGCAATGTGCATTCATGTATCCTGTCTGTGCATATCCAAACTGCTATATTCTTTTTCTGTAAGGAATGTTAATATTTTGTTTGATGGTATACTTCGTGCAGATTTTCAAGATCGCAGTGAATTCTTGTGAGCACCATGTTGACTGCTCTGTGTGTGTTGTGACCCATGACCCCAACACCTGTGGATGGTGTGGGTTTTGTTCAACTGAATCTGGCTGTGCAGAGCAAGGTGGTACCTCCCCCTGGCAACGAGAAAGCTGTCCTGCTGCAATATATGATGTAAGTAACTTTCAAATGTTGTGTATTTTGACTTTCTGGGTCTAATTTTATGGTAATAAGATATTGGTTGATTCAATGTTGGGTTTTGACCTTCACCAGGTATTTACAAATGCTGTATACTTAAATGTTATCCCGAGTGATTGTGTGAAAAATTCATAAATGACAAAAATTCCATCATATTAATATATGTCGGTTGATTTTCTTTCTTAATAACCCCATTGTATCTGATTTTAGAAATTTTATTTTAGCAGCTTTTAGAAACTGTCATTACCTATTGTGGGAAACCATAATACGTTGTAAAAAAAGAGAACTTTGAAATGTCACTCGGAGACTGCGGTTTCATGCAATTAGCCATTATACATATATCTATAGACCTAGCCCACATTTGTTCTCCAAAGTTTTTTCATTGTAAAGGTAAAAATAAAATGGTACCAAATATAACTTTTTTTCCCAATACTTTTTGTTATGTGGCTCGAAAGTGAGGCATATACAGGAAATAGTTGGAAGAATTGTGCCTTTGATGATACAAAGTGCATTTGGCTCAAAGTCAGAGTATGTCATGAGAAAGATATTTAGCTTCAGGGCCATTGTAGATTTGCGCCATGACAAAATGTAGGTAAAACAACAAGCAATTTTGAAAATGGCCACCATTGCTTGTTATTTTACTAATATTTGGTCACATGACAAATCTGCAATGGCCCTGTGGTTAAATATCTTTTTAAAAACATACTCTGACTGGAAATGCCATGCTTGTATCATCAAAGGCACAATTCCTGCACCTATCTGCTGTACTACTAGTATTTACACCATGCACAAACTGTTAATGAAAGGGACTTTTAAAGGAGCATTGGACACACAGACCTTAAGCATTGTAAAACAAGAAAACATTCGCCAGCGATTAGTCCTAGTGAATAAAGCATAGTCTTAGCATTTATGATAGCAGTCATAAATAGAGCTACTTTCTTGCAGGTGACGCCCTTAGCTGGCCCATTAGAGGGCGGTACACAAGTGACCATTACAGGTGATAATCTAGGGCTTACTGTGGCAGGTAGTCGTCCGCCTGAGGTTAAGGTTGCTGGGCAGCCTTGTGATGTCATTCAGCAGTTGAGCCAGATCTCTAGGTAACTGTTCAAGTTTCTAACATCGGCATCTCTACCTACCAGCTAATCATCATCATCTGCATCACTTTCTAACCAAACACTACCAACATGTTTAAGAGTCGATTGGAAAAGGGATTGAAATTGTACGAAGTTGTCCTTGTGTTTACAATTTTAATGTTAACATCATCTTTACACTAAGCCAAGTTCACTTGCTTACTTTGATTCTTGCCTGAATATCATTAACACATTTTCACACTGACTTCCATTGGCCTCACTGACAGTAACTGGATTTGAGGATGCCTTGGGGAGGGAGTAGGGAGTATAATTATCTATCATAATTATCCATTCAAATGTTTTGGAGGAATTGTTGGGAATATGGCTTAGCCTTTTCAAGGTCTTTACTAATTTCACTATTACAGTATAATTAATTGTTATAAGTGCCACTTAGAGAAGCATCATCCATCAGGTCTGGAACCTTGCTGTTTTAAAAGCTAAGCAGTTTGCTCAAAGCATAAGTTCAGTTTGAAAAGTTCAATTGTCTTAGTGGAAATTTTTAAGGAGAACAAGACAATAAATGCCTCTTATGTTGCAGTAAACTTGCAAGGCTGATGAGTATCTATCATTTTTCTTATCCCTAGGGAACTACTAAAATATGTTGTTTTTGTTTGTTCTTTTACATTTAAAATGCCAATTTAAATTAACCCTAACCCCCTAGCCCTTGTTGCTTACAACCATCCTCAATCCTCCAAAATCCTCCAAAATTTTGCAACTCCGCCTAAATTTTTCAAAATTGTCAGACAGTCCTGCCTCAAAATGCATTCATCCTCAATCCTCCAAAATCCTCCTCATCTCAAAATTTTGCACTCGTGTTTAAATGAAGGATAACCAACGCCAAATCCTTCAAAATCATCAGACAGTCCTGCCTCAAATGCATTCATCCTCAATCCTCCAAAATCCTCATGTGCTTCAATCACCATTCATCCTCAATCCTCCAGAATCCTCATTTGATTCAATCACCATTCATCCTCAATCCTCTATAATCCTCCAAAACCGCCAGGAGGATTTTGGAGGAGTGAGGTGGGTTAGGGTTAATCTTCTACAACTAATAGCCGAGAAGTGCTCAAAAATATAATTTAGGAACAATTTCGGAGTCTTGCAACCTAGTTTTCATGCATTCTACTCCCCACATCAAATGTGCTACATAAAAAGCAATACAAACTTTCAATGTTTCATTCACTTTTAACATCTACATGCCTTGTTCTGTCAAACTGATTTGATATTTAAGCTAGATGAATGACATCAATTGTTTTTTAATGCTCATTATGCTTCTTGCAATATGTATGAAAAACTAATAACCACAAAATATCCTCACTTCTCATTTGGGACTCACTTTCATTAACCGTAAGATTCTTTGTTCACATTTTTTTTTATTTTTAAAGAAGCCTTGCTAAAATTGCATCCCAGACTTTTAAAATGCTTGTCCTTTTACAAAACACTTTGAGCCAAGCCTGAAACAGTTTTGTTCCAAACGAAGTTTACGTTTCAGACACAAAGTCACACTTAACATTTGTAACGGTGACATAATGTCAGAAATGTAAACCTCATTGTGTCAGGTATTCTAGGTTTAATACAAAAGTGAAAGAGTAAATAAAATTCAGCTAGCAACCAACAAAGTAGTTCAAAGCTTTGGTTTGGATCTTGAACACCTAGTGTTAACTGTCGTGTTCCTTTTCTACTTTAAAACTATACACTGTATTTACTTTTTCCCAGTTTTTATATGCAAAAAACTGCATTGCCTAGAATTAAGCCTTATCATCTGCAGCAAGCTTGGGATCCACTGTGTGCACTTGTGGTCCATTGTAAAATTGTTGCTGAAATGCTCTGGAACTAACACAGTGCAGCCACCATTTCTATTATATATTGCTCTATATATGGGCTCTGTGCACAAGTACCCCCCTCAAAGGTAAGAAAGGGAGAATTGGGGTAGACCACTGGGAGAGACATTAGAACGCATTGCCGACAACGCCTTATGCTCACGCAAAGACGCTATCACTTTGAGCACATTTAGAATTAGATAAGTCGTTCATACTTTGTGGTATATGCACAGGAACCATGCATCCTGTCCAATGGGGTCTCGAAAGAGGTAAAAAAAAAACTCTCTTTTTTCGCACATGAAGCCCATGATACCCCAAAATGCCGTTGATTTTTTTTTTTTTTTTTTTTTTTTTTTTTTTTAGGATTGTGTGTGTCACATCTGAAGTGTCATCACCTAGCATCGGACCCATTGAAGCTAAGATTGAGGTCTATGATGACAGTTTGTCATACAGAGTGAATGACACTGTCTCATCGGCACCAGACTTCAATTTCACATATGTGGTAAGCAGGTGCTGGAAAATGCGAATTTGTTTGAGTCAAAGAAAAATGTTTATTCCTCCAACACTGAACCCCATAAGAAGCGGAAATAGGCTTGTTTATTTTTCAATGAGTCAAGTGAAGGTTAGCCATGTTTATGGGCACATCCATGGTAACTCATGTTACATCTTTTTTATAAAGTCAGTGCATTTGGGGGGGGGGGATTTCTTACAGAAGATCCCTTGAAATTAAGTGACTAAACTACAAAAAAGGCCAACAACATTATTTTTACATAATCAAGAGCGTAGAACAGTTGACAGTTTTCAACCGGTAAATAGAACATAGCACGTAGTTTTGTTGCACGCGGACGTACGCAGCGTGCAGCAGTGTATACGCGCACTGTTGTCATCACAATGGCCGCTTCGAGCAAAAATCTTGCGCAAAATTTTCTTTGGTAAGCGAAGAATATTCTATGAAATAAAAGAAAAAAGACAGTATCCTGAATTGTATTCTTGCAGATCAAGTCAGCCTGATCTAAACAATAATAATAATAATAATATTGGATGGCTTTTATATCGGGGACACAAGAATATATTGCATTCACTATAACAATATTGCGCTCGTCTTTGACTCGTTCAATATTGTTATAGCTTTTGCATTTTATTCTTGTATTTTTCTGGTAATGAAACCAAGCATTCCTCAAGAGCACCCTAAGCACTGTATCTCGCAAGCCTGAAGAATCCTGTAGAGAGGAGACAGTCGGAAGAAATTACAGTTTTAGAGGTGGGAGGAAAACCCCAGAAGAATATTCTGGGGAAAACCCACAAAATCATTTAGGGACTGGAAACCTAATCCACATATTGGCCCAGGCAGGATTTGAACCTGGGTCACAGCAGTGGAAGGCGAGGAAAGAACCGCTACGCCAACCTGACTCCTGATAACCTGATACTGCACTATTGAAAGAAACACAATCTCAAGACAATCTCATGCATTATTCCCCAGACATACTTTTGAGTTAATCTGAGGTCAGCATGACACTACATAAGCATGATGGTTCTCATTATTTGTTTTCAAAATAGAAGCAACACAAACACACATTAATAAAGAGCAGGGTGGAAATGGTTGGAAATAAGATAATAAACAAGACAGTCACATACATAATGATAAAACTATTGGCTTCTTGTATCTAGCGTTCATGACCGTCATGAAGTGACGCTCCTGGCACTCCAATATTACCCTGGCCTTAGCACGGCTGCCATTTCGGCGCTCATAGTTGTTTATGAGAAAAAGTATGTGGTTGTTTAAATACAAAATGCTTGCTGAAGAACAGATTGTCAGAGTCAATACAACAAACATATGCAGACAAGTTTGGTATTGTTTTGTGTTGCTTTTTCTCAGGATCCTGTAATCACCAACATTGACCCTATGTATGGTGGGCAATCTGGAGGGACATTACTTACCATCACTGGCAATGGATTGAATGCTGGCAATAACATCAGTGTCACTGTACAGGGAAGAACTTGTAATGTTGAAAGGTTGGTAAAGCACAGCCTTTTATCATACTAATCCATGGTGTTGGTTCCTGCAACATTTTGGCATTGTCTGATGGCTTAGGATGTGGCCTGTTTATTTTTAGCAACCTGACCCTTGACCATTCCGTGAGTGTAATTAAACACGGTTTTCTCAAAATCTGGTCTATCAATTTCAGTAAAATTGGAAGTCTGATTTTCTTTACTGAACTCAATGGGCTTTGTATGTGAACAAGAGAGGGTGCTTATTTACCACATTCCAGAGCCCATTGGACGGGACACATGACGTGTACGTACTGGAAAGCTTTTGTTCTGCATGTTCTTTTGGTTTTCCCCACTCGCTACCTGACCCAGGGACCCAACAAATCTGTAATCCGAGTTTGAAATAAAACGGTTTTCCTGTGCCCTTTTTGTCTGTAAATCGGATAGTTAAATCTTTCGCTGCATAATTAGTCATTAGCAAAGGTTTTAGTTATATCTCAGAGAAATCTGACAAAAAGAAAAATTGATCAGATTAACAGTGATTGTGACATGAAAATTGACTTGCGGAATCATAATTGGTTGAGCTAGAAATTCAGCCGTTATCATTATTATGACAGGACTATTGACACCAATTACCAAAGCCTATGATGCCAATTTATATTTCCCATACAAGAGTATGCTGGGATGAATAACTTAACTTGTTTGGTATTTGACATCTCCCCTCTTCCTGTAGCACAAGTATGAGCACATTGACATGTCTTACCACATCAACTTCTGTCACTGCAAGTGGGAAAGTTGAAGTGAAGATTGACGACATCACAAGGTCCAGCCCTCAACAGTTCACTTATGTCAGTGATCCCACATTGACAAGTTTCACACCTAACAAGGCAGTTGTCAGGTACGTTTGCCAGGTAGCATTCTTTAGCTTTTGTTGTATCTCTTCACTTTAAGGGAAAAAAAAGTTTATTATAGCATGCTGGCTATAAATAAATATTGTGGCGGCATGTGTGGATGAAAAAGCCATAACATGTGTGACAAAGTCTTCAATTCAATATACCACTAATTGTTTGTTTTGCCTTGTCTATCCCGGAAATCTATCTAATCTAGTGCTGTCTTCTTTTTTGGAGGGGGGGGGGTGTTTAAATGGAAAAAAATGGACTAGTCTATGATGGGCGTGTACCTTGCATGTGATCTAACCTTTGAAATTCAGTCTCCATATCTGTACACGTCAACCTGTTTGACTTTTAAAGGGAATATACATCATTTGCTTTTGCTGTAATTTTCAGAAATGGATGGAATTGGAGGGTTGTAAATATATAGCAAATATAGTTAGGCCAAAAAAAAAATAAGTCGGTCTCTGGTCAGCGCGCGCCTCGATTTTAATCATGCGCGTCGATCTTTTTTTTTTCAAAAATGTTCCGCGGTAGCTCCAACAGCGCCCTCTATTTCCGCACCTCAATTTTTTTTACCAAAGAGCACCAAGGAATGGGAAATTGCACCAAGGCAAATGATCGAAAGCACCAAGGCAAATTATGGAGGACACCAATGTACATGAGGACACCAAAAAAGCAAAATAGTACCCACCTTGTCTGTACAATCCAAGCTTGAAGAAAAAAAATAAAGCTGCGTGGCCGCATCAATTCCGGAACTTTGGTCTGACCAGAGACCGAATATTTTTTTTTTTGGCCTTACACTGACTTTTTTGAGGTTTTGGGTTCGAAAATGCAATAAAAACCAAGAAAAATAATCATTTTCCTGTAGTCTGGTTCCCTGACTCCATATAAGAAGAAACAGAGCAGTTTACATACATTGGGGAATTGTAAGGTCAGGGAACCAGTCTAGCTGGCTTGTACCCATTCATAGGTGTGTAATCGATTGCAAACAAGTGCGATGGTCAATTGGGGCCAGTATTTGAAAAAAAGCCTGGTTGGCCGACCAGCGTTGGAAATTGATACAAAAATACCACTTTTCTTGAAAATGACAGTATACCAGGTGCCATGATTTTACAGGATGCTTTACTCTGTCATTCACTAACAGTCCAGCAAGGTATTTCAAAATGATTTGGTAGTTTTATTTTTTGATGTTTGCAAATGTTGTATTTTCCCAGTACTGTTCTCATTCTAGATAAGAATCTGTATCTATTGCATCGTTATAAAGAAGTGTCATGAAATCTTCAAAATTGTAAATTCAAAGATTTATTTAGTGTAGTATTGAAATAATTTTTTTTTACTTGCGACTCAGGATAGCCTACAGAACCTGGGGCTGTACTCGGACCTTGCACCTAGTATTAGTGACTTTGAGAATGGTTCTGTGGACTCATTCAGGGGCTGTTTACTGAACGCAAGCACCATACTCTGTATTGTTGCATTCAAATTGCTAATCTTCCATCAACATGTTCCTGAGTTTTGTTATGATTATTAAATTACTGTTTCTTTTACATACACGGTTCACAGTGCTTCCAGCAGTTGCTGTAATTGTGTCACTGTGTTCACTAGTTGTTTTATGATGACTTGAATGGTGGGGAAAAATGCATTAAACCTCTGTTTCTTTGTCATGTCTAGTGGCGGACAAGCAATTATAGTGTTTGGTGAGAATCTGGAGTATTTGCAAGTTCCCAAGATGCAGATCACCATAAGCAGTGAAGATATAGCCATGGAGAAATATAATAAATACTCAACGGTATGTACTTACATTTCCACACCAGGAAATTTGGGTGGTTTTGTTTGCAAGCGTGAATATTTTAACTAGTTACCTTTCCAGCTACATTTGTGAAAAGGCCTTTTGGAGAAAAAAAATCTGGGGCAATTATATGATAAGCTACAAGCAAATTGAATACATCAGAAAATCAATATTTTTCAAGTTGCATATAAATGTAGTATCAAGGACTTTGTGATTTCTAACAAGGACCAATTTTGTGAAAGAGAAAACATGGAATTTCAAGGACCCTTACTTTTTGTCACTGTGCCAATGTTACATTTCCATAAAGTGGTGGTTTTTTTTTACCATACACAGGAGTGTACCATCATCTCAAATGAAAACATAGTCATGTACATAAAATGTATGTCACCTGATGTCAGCCAATCAGCATCCGGGGCCACTTCCACTCAGCCAGTCAGGGCAGAGGTTGTATTTTACCTTGATAGTAGGCCCGCAGTCCTGTCATCAACCAATAGCAACACTACCGAGTTCCTGTTTTACCCCAATCCTGTGTTTTACCCATTTTCTGGGAAGAATGAGGTCATTGTGGTGAAAGAAGGCAGTTCTACTCTGACCATTAAGGTGGGTGATGAAAAATACACATTGTTAATAGTGGCATGGATGCTTGCATGGCTTGTGAGTGCATGCTCACAGTTTGAATACTTTGAATGATCATTACCATATTGAGTTAAAGCAAGATTACTCAAAATATAAAGTCCAGAACTTTGTGATTAGGACTAAACTAAGAACCCATTACTCCCAAGAGTTATACGTAGAAGAATGGGGTTAAGTTCACAGAAATGTCATGAACTTAAGGATGAGAATTGGAACCTGAATAGGAACGTTGGAACACATTGACCAAAGACTCATCACAGCAGTGTTGTACTCGTACTCGTACTCAAACTCATGACAAAGTGCTCGTACTTGTAATTGTACTCACATTAATGTTTTCCCACTGAAATGAACTTATTTTGAGAGGTATCTTACAGGTAAGAACTCCTTTCCCACTGTTTGATTTAGCAGGGTTTAGCATATGTTTAATGCCTCATCTGATGGTAAAAAGTCCTTAAGAATATTGTGTTTATCAAAATGTGCTCGTATATGGAAAGCTGCTTGTACTTGTGGATATTTCATACTCATATCCATGGTAACTTAATACTCACACTCATACACACACTCATGACAATGGATCTGACTGTATACTCATGGTGAGTTGAATATGCAGCATCTACAGATATAAGCATGAGTACTGTAGTACCAGATTTGCCCAGAAATACAGTGCAAGAATATGTGCTTGAGTGTAAGTATTCATGTATTAACTTATTAAAATGTTTACTTAATTTGGGTTTAAACTCTGAGTTAGTGTATACGGTACTTTTCAACACCAATCATACATGTAAGTGAAATAATTTTGTTTGATCTGACCAGGGTAAAGATGTGAACCTTGCCCTGACACCTGCAGACATCCAGATAACAATTGGTGGTACAGTGTGTGAGGTCATTGACCTCAAAGCAGATGCATTAACTTGTGAGATCCCAGACATGAGTCAGGCTGTGCAAGATCCTCTTGGCTACAAGGTTCAGGTATGTACAAGGTTCAGGTATGTAGGAGGTTCAGGTATGTACGAGGTTCAGGTATGTACGAGGTTCAGGTATGTACAAGGTTCAGGTATGTACAAGGTTCAGGTATGTACAAGGTTCAGGTATGTACAAGGTTCAGTTATGTTCAAGGTTCAGGTATGTACGAGGTTCAGGTATGTACGAGGTTCAGGTATGTACGAGGTTCAGGTATGTACATGTACGAGGTTCAGGTATGTACGAGGTTCAGGTATGTACGAGGTTCAGGTATGTACGAGGTTCAGGTATGTACGAGGTTCAAGTACATTTTGTTTTATTGAAAGACGTCGTTTTAAAGGTGCAGTATCTTGCAAATTCCATAGTTAACAAAAATTGTACATTTCCTTCTAACATATCAAGACAGAAGTATTTTTTTACCAACATTTCTTTTGCACAGAAAGCATAAAATCACAATATTGAAAATGAAAGTTTCCAAAAACAATATTACGTAAATGTTTCTGCAATTTTTCACATAATTTGTAGTGTTCAATTTTTAACCCATCACTTCAAATATTTCATGTTTAAATGAATACATAGCTCCCTAAAGAATATTGAAATCATCCATTTTTAGATTATCAAAATAATTAAGACAGTATAACTTGTTTACATGTAGGAGATAATTGACAAAAAAAAGGAAATGTTCACAGGTTCAAGGATTTATTAATAAACCAATGATTTCTAAGATGCTTTGAGTTGTCTTCCAATAGTTGAATTCCATGCTTGGCTGTTATTGACTACTTCGGTCATTGCCCCCTCTCATCATGCTCTCCTATCCCCCCTGCAGCTTCAGGTGGCATCCAGCTCAACTGTGATTGGCTACATGAAGATTGACCCTCGACCTTTCCCATGGTATGCCATTGTCATAGTCATCTTAATCGTCGTCTGTATCATCGTCTTCATTGTTGTATGGCGTGTCCGTCAGCAGTCCAAAGAGGAAGGCCCAGACTTGGCAGCAGGGGTGATAGCGCCGTCTATCATGTTTCGTCAGACCAGCAGCACAGGTGGTGAGTCTGCTGAGGCTAGGGTTATGCCTGCTTTCACACGTCTCAACAGTGAGTGTCTTTCTCTCCTTTTCCTTGCATGGGCAGAGTAGGCAACTAACCAGGTTTGGCTACCGATTTGGTTTCTTGTTTCTTTTTCATCAACGACATTTGTTTTTATTCATTTGAATCCATGTTTACATGATCCTTTCATTTGCTGCTTCATAGTACATCTAGTAAATCTATCTTTGTTTTTAGATAAAAACCTTATACATGTGAAGAAATTTCAATATTTAAATGGCTAATAGAGTAGGGCAGGCCAGTAAAGTTTGTTAAAAGTGTTGAAACTCTAACAGGGTGGTTCCAAGATTGCAAAAGTGCTACTACAGTTTCTTTGCCCATCAATAATAAGTCTTATTTGTTTAGTTCATAACATTAGTTCTACATTTGTTTTCGGTCACATACATCAGCAGCAGTTTGTACTTGTATTGGTACTCGTACTTGAGTACATTTTTTGGTACTTGTACTAACACTTGTTTCTCATATTTATGGCAGTCTCGTTTTCCATAAATAGTTATTTTTAAATGTACTCAAATGACATTACCTTAAGTTTTATAAAAAAACAAACCGATGGCAGTAATTACCAGCTTCTGAGCATTTCAAAGTCTCCAATAGAACAATAGTTAATATGTCATTTTCAAATTTTCTTTCCATGTCATTTGTTTGAGTTTGAGGATTCTAACCAGGTTAATTGTTTTAAGTTTTCATTCCATCTAATGGTTTTATGTTTTTATTATATTCTGATACACATAAAAAATGTGACACAGTAAAACAGTTGTGACATTGTACATCCTAGTTTAGTTTGATTATAACCTATGTTGAAGCTGGTGTATACATGCTTTCTGGGTGTGGCACCTTGAAAAACAGATGTTCAAATCCAATTGATAATTTTCTAGCGTTACAATTAGTTATGAGCTTTCCAATGAGACATCACACAAAAAATCGGCCCACGACAAGTAATCAATTAATTAATTTCAACTTTTGAATTAAGAGCGGGACACTCCTAATTCGTTCTGGATAGTGTGCGCAATTTCTGAACTGAAGCGCGCCGTTTAAAACCACGTTATAAAACTGGGATAAAGGCCTGCAAAACAAACAAGGAAATGTATTTGTTTCAGGAAATTATATGCCTTTAAATTTCATTTGGAAAAGAAAATCGAAATTTAGAAAAAAAACATGTATATACCAACTTTAATTTTTAATTGGACAGTAAGTGTGAATGACTTTTCATATTCTTGCAAAGAAGAACAGATCACATAGAGTTTGAAAAGTGAAGATAATGTTTGTTTTGGAACGACACATAAATCAATATATACATATTGCATGTAACCTCAGATCTCCTACCTTTCTACAAACCTTGTAATTTACTCCGATTTATCTAACATGACACAATTTGTTTTCCTCCCTAATTATTGGTCAATTAGATTACATGAGAACACCTTCATCGTCAGCAGAGTCTGCCTTTGCTGGTATCCCTGATGAGAACAGACCACTGTTGGAGGTCATTCATAAGGATCTAGCCATGCAGATTAGTGAGGTTCTCATCAATGAAGATAACCTCAAGCAAGGAGATATGGTCGGTCAAGGTCAGAATCATGTACTACAGTATGCCACCCATCACCAGTAAAGCAGAGCCTATCTAGTCTTGGGTCTTAATATACCCAGGGTTGTGGGAATTCTCTCTTCTCAATGCACTCCAATATTTACTTCCTGCTTTTGTTCTGTAATGACAGACCCACAGAGCATGCAAGTGTGTACCCCATGTATAATTTTAAGGTGTGAACCTTGGCAATGTATTATGCCAAATATGTTTTGTGAGTATGACCATTTGGTATAGTGTAATGTATCGTACTGATGTATCACCTGTGCGCATCATATGGTTGTGGCTTGTTTTGAAGCATGTAGACCACAGTGTATCACATGTGTTACAGTTTAGTCCTACTACAAAGAATGGTCCCAGTTATCTCGGGGGGGGGGGGGGAATTAGCAGCTACAGCACCCGATTTCACGAAACTCTTCGTAACTTACTATGCGTCGCAGCGATGCGACGCATCGTATCCCTAGGATGCGTCGCAGCTGCGACGCGTCCTGCGATCCATTTCACAAAACGCGTCGTAAGTGCGACGCATCGTATGTGTATTTATAGCACAACTCGGTGACTGTTTTATGTATTAAGTCAGCATACAGTAAATAGTCGTCTGGTATTCAACAAAGAGTCGTCGGATCTCCGCTCGAAATTTGTTAACACGTAGGACAAAATGGCGGCGGTGCGATGCAATTTGAAACGAAAACGAGCTCTCAGTGGACTGTGTAGCTACTTTGGAATTTCAACTGCAATATTCTAGGGTAATTCATAATTGTTCAATGAATTTTCTATTTAGAACTTTACACACCTTGCCTCGGTATTAATATCTCGTTTATGTAATGTTTATGGCACAAAACTGGCTAAAAACGGACTCTTCTTATTTTGCGACGACCTCTAGACATGTCGTAACTTGCGACGTGTTTTAAGCCGTTGTCAAGCAACTTACGAAGTGTTCAACACATCGCAACTTTCGTGAAATGGATTATACGACGCGTCGCGAGTTGCGACGTGTAACAAATCGTAACTCGAGTTGCGACATGTCGCAGCGCTTTGTGAAATCAGGTGCAGGGTAGTGAATGTCTCAACTGTATTTATTTAACTTGTGCCGCACTGTCCCTCTCTCTCCCATACAATGAGAGCCAAGTCAGACACCGTTCAATCTTGGCAGCAGTAGGATAAAATCAAATCATAAAGAATATCAAATGTCAGACCAGGTCAACCAGGATATGCAGTGTTCCTGTAGATAAGCCTTGTTTCAGAGTGAAATATTCATATTTCAAATCCTCACAGTGTTTCTTGCGTTAGAATTTGTCAAGTGGCATAAGTGAGGTCATCTCATTAATTTGTCTGATTTCTGAGGCAAAAGGCAAGTTAATTGCCTGTTGGTTTGTGTGTTTTGCACAGGTCATTTTGGTTGTGTATACCAGGGCAAGGTATGGCAGGATGGTACCTCCTTCCCTGTTGCCATCAAGTCCTTACTGCGGGGGGAGCAGGAAGATGTCACTAACTTCTTACGGGAGGGCATCATGATGAAGGACTTCAAGCATCCTCACGTCTTGGAGCTGATTGGTGTTTGTATCAATAGCAATAATATGCCACTTGTTGTGCTGCCATTCATGAAGCATGGAGATCTGCTAACCTACATACGGGACCCCAAAAATGTGAGACTGTCTTCAATCTCTCTGATTTTTTGTCTGTTGATTTTCAATTGAACAAAGCAAAATACAGACTTTGGATGGGCATAAACACTGCAACCATCTAAATAATATTCCATTTTGTTTATCCTTTAAATTATAAATTGCAATTTTTTTGTGTTCATTTTTTTATATATAAGTTTGATGGAATTTTGTGCATGGAATTGTGTGCAATTTAATACAAGGTTTGGCACCCTGTCACTGTGTCAGTTTCCATTGTCTTCTGAGTCTTTTCTGAATGCTAGCCAAGTCCTCAGAGCCTCCACTGTCTTGATGCTTTAACACAGGATTTCCTGCATTTTAAAGTTGCTGTGATATTCTTTTCCTGTAAGCCTGACATTTCTTGCAAAAATGCCAGAGCCCATCTACATCCTTGGAAAGTTCTTTTTGTCACTTCCTGATGCATGTAGTGTTATTTTTCAACTGAATTGCCATTACAACTCTCCTTGTTCTTCCATTCAAATGAACGAGTGCAGGAGCTAACAGCCAGAGACCTGCTTGAATTTTGTCGGCAAGTCGCAGAGGGAATGGCCTACCTAGCCAACCGGAAATTTGTCCATCGAGACCTGGCGGCCAGGAACTGCATGTTGGATGACAACCTGCGAGTCAAGATTGCCGATTTTGGCCTGTCTCGAGACCTGTATGAAAGGGATTACTACAGTGCTAAGGATAAGACAGCTAAGCTGCCTGTCAGATGGATGGCACTGGAAAGTCTGGAGAGGAATGTCTACAACACTAAGACTGATGTGGTATATTCATAGCATTGTTCTTTTTGGAATCTGCACAACACAGCAAATGTTAAGGCCTCCACTCGATAGTACTTGAGTAAATGTACATGTTGTTAGCATCAAACACAGTGTAGGCCTATTTGTTTGTATTTCTTGCACTTTACAGAACATGACCTTGACATGCCAACAAATGAAACTAATGCCTACATGTATGAAGTTCACATTGTGTTAAGCAGCAAGATGGATTTGCAGAGCTTCATCCCCTCCCCCAACAAAACAAACCCTGGCTTTACTTTTGCCTCATCTTTAGTATTAAATTGAAATTTCCAAGAAATTCCAACCCTCCAACATTAACTCCAACAGCATATTTCTAATGATGTCAAAATATTAAGTTGCTCTTAAACTAGAGTCCTGTGATGGCAGCACATCAAACAGAGCAAGGAAGTGAGGCCTCACCAGAGAGGTAAAGATGTAGAAATGTACATCCTGAGGACTAGAACTAAAACAACCACACAATGCTCAAGCCCAATTTGGAAGGGGGCATCGCAATGCTGATTCATTGCCAATTGACCAATGAATTCTGCATGAGATACAAGTATATATACATGAGATATTTAAGCTTGGTGAGCATGATGTTTAGTGGCCAAATTGACCAAGGCATGTCACTCATGTATTGTTTGAAAATGGGTACATCTGCTGAACACCCTTGCCTGCAGGCCAAGATGATATCCTTATTGGTTCTTGATCACCCTTTTCTCCTCTGCAGTGGTCATTTGGTGTGGTGATGTGGGAGTTTCTAACCCGTGGCATGACTCCATATCCTTCTGTGGATAACTGGGATATCAGTTCCTACTTACAGAGAGGCCGCAGACTGCACCAGCCATTGCATTGCCCAGACCATGTGTAGGTTCCCAAGTTACTGTCCCTTTCACTGGCTACACACTGAAATCCAACAGACTGATACATTAAGCCCCACCCCATGGTGTTTGGACCAATCACGGGCGTGACTCATGTCCAACATGCGTGCACACAAGTCTGACATGCATGCTGCACATGCATATGATGTGCACAGCTGGAACATGCAGTGTGGCATTGCAGAGGAGCATGCATTGGTTGCCTAGGTGCGCAGTGGGCGGTGCTTAAAATATCAGTCTAACATGAACAGGAGGTCTTTATTAGCATGGGGAAACATCATTTTTCAGAATCTAAAATTGTCAAGATAAGTCTTGAATATAACAGTTTTGTGTTTTAGACATTTTTAAAAAAGTTTCTGTTTGAAAACAGTTTTTAAAAATTCTAACATTTATTACCAGCAGTGTGAATCTGTCATTGTTTTATCACTGAAACTTTTTTAGTATAGACCGACATTTACATCGAATTACACTTTCATATACAGCATGTCCCAAAGTGTAACTACAAAACCATGACTTCAATTTGAAAATGTTTGATTGTGCAAATACTCCAGGGATTGAGGCCTTGCCCTCAATTCCTCTGAGTTTCATTTAATTCCAGTCACGCATCACTGCACAGTTCTCAATTGATCACAACAACATTTTTGGACACTGTGACCAAGTCCCATGCCTTAAGAAATTTCAGTACTGAGGTATGTAAGCTGTGTAAATCCTGCATGTTGTGAAAAAAGGCTGATGTGGTTTGGGATTGGAATCATTTGCCCTTGAGCATTAAACTGATGTCTTGCCATGATGACTGATAGCCAGGCAAATGATTCCAATCCCAACTGCAGCCCTTTTCACAACATGTAGGATTTTACACAGCTTACATGACACAGCACAGAAATTGATTAAGGCAAGGAACTTGGTCACAGTGTCCAAAAATGTTGTTGTGATCAATTGATAATTGTGTAGTGATGCCTGACTGAAATTAAATGAAACTCATAGGGGTTTGGGCCAAGGCTGAGGAGTATCTGCACAATCAAACATTTTCAAAATTGACCTCATGGTTTTGTAGTTATTTCTAAAATAGTCAGACGGACAGTTTTTTTGGGGACAAACTATAGTATAGGATCATCCAGGGATCTAAAGGTGTGTGATCTAGTTGGGATTATTTCGGTGTATAGGATAAGATTGACAGAGAGCCATTTAAATCATCAAAACTTGTTTCAAAAACAGATAGCGGGGCAACTATTCATACATGTTTTTTACTGACATCGTATATTGGCCAGGTATCAGATCATGATGAACTGTTGGTCCGCAAGTCCGGTGGATCGGCCAACCTTTGAGGATCTGGTCAGGGAGATAACAGACATCCTGATGGCATCCGTGGACCAACAGTCGCAAGAAAACCAGGTCTATTTCAACGTTGTACCTAGCATCAACTAACATACTCCAGAATGCTCTATCCAATATCTTCAGAAGATGACTGGTAGCCAGCATCAACACTCAACTTGTGGGTAATCTTATTATGAACCAACATTCCATTCACATGAGTTGAATGTTGTCATAAGACCAGCAGCTTCAGAAAAGGACCAGATGTGTTTTAAGACTGGTACCCAACGTAAACAAAACTAATTATGGATATATTAAATGTAGATTTTTTTTTTTTTTGGAAGCAACAAAAATGTTTAAAATCTAGAAGGAATTTAACAAATAACCTGATCAAGTGTTGGCTCTGTGAATGCTGTATATTTCTAGAAAACACAATATTCTGGATATCTCGATTTCAATTTAAAAGACGCCGAGTCATGACACACCCGGAAATCAACATTCGGGACATGATTCCCAATCAGCCGATTGTTGCTACGTTATGTCATACACTGAACTGACGATTCTCATTTATAAAAGCAGCCACGTGTGCGTCATGTCAACGCGCTTGCACCCATTCATGGATTACAAACCAACTGCCAGCGGAAATTTCCAAACATGTGTCACTTGATGCATCTTTGGGAATGACCTTTTTATTATTGTTTTCTTCAAAATGACAGCATGCCAGAAGGAATAATTTCACAGGGAGTTTAGTGCCATTACTATCTTTAAACCAAGTAAGCTTTTTAACAATAATTTGGGCGGTTACTTTTTGGATATATATTCAAATGGTCTACTCTACCTTTAAAGTAAATCTACACCTTGTAAGTGATATTTGGTCTGGAATAGTTTAACCAGTTCAATTGATCATTTTATCAGAAGTAACAGTTATCTGCACACATAGTTCTGGTGACTCAGAGGTATGACAGCTAGTTTTGTGTAAACAAAACCAATCTGTCCTTCGTTTGTACACGCATGCCAATATTTGTTGCACATCTGTAGCATTATTCAAATACAACATGGGTTGAGCAGAAAGTTACTGAACCTGTATTTTCGAGTTACTGAACCCATATCCAGAGTAGGGAATAGCAATGTAGTTTTTAGAATGACCTCCTCCTTCAAGATTTCTATGAACCTGTCTGTGCTTGTTTATTTCACACTAAGTAAATAAAATGCTTTGTACAGAAATTGTGTACATTGAATGCATGATTCCAAACTTTGACTTTCATTGGAACCGTTTTACATTTTATACCTGCCTCTGCCAGCAACAACCAACTTGGACATGCACATTCCACCATTGTACAATATATATTATTGGTGTAACATTATATTTGATGGACAGTAACACTGCTTTAATGAATTGAGAGTAAGCCAATGAATCAAAGTTATAGACTTAATGTAAATATTATTCACCAATATGAACCATTCCATAAAATAGTACATTTCCATGTAGGTAGTGTTTACATCTTGTCAAATTCTGATGCCATAGTCATATTCATGGATTTAGGCTCTTGCCATGTAAATAAACTCGTTTAAGGCTTTGTAAATAACAAATAAATTTTGGAACACTTCCCACTTTCCCAATTCATGTATGTCACAAGGCTGAAAGCCTAGTGGGCGATGGAAAACTGACGCACTTTTTTCCATGTTCCACGAGCACAAGTGGGATAATAATAAACTTGACCCACAGTAAAGATTGAATGTGAATGCTGTACACAACTGTTGTATTACATGTACGTGCAGTAGGAATAGCATGTGTACACCTCACAATAGTTTTATATATGGAGTGTGATATGGACTGTGGCGTTCGGTATAATAGCAGACAATTGTTGCTATGGATCAAACAATTAGGATCGAGGATTCAAGTTTACTTGAAGGTAAAGGACGTACAAATGGGAATTGTTGAGTCTTATCAAATCCTTGAGAATTGCTTATATTAATCTTGAATTTTTTTAATATTCTTTTTAAAGATATTTTAATTATATTGGCAAACATATTTTTCTATTAATAAAGGTGCTGTTAATTCATTATTCAATTTTGTCACAGAGAATATTTTAAAGATTAAAAATAATAAAACCTGATGAACACCATTTTGTTCCCTATTAGAATCCCGCTGTCTCCTGGCTGCCCAGAGTCAGGGTTGACAGGGTTTATATAGTTTAATGCAATTTAAGAAGACAATAAAGTGAAAAATGAATTACATTTCCTGTGATATGTTGTGCATGCAACTTATTGACAGCATATTTTTAGTGATTAAGTATGGCAAGCATTTTTTTAAAATTTGCTTTGCAGCTTTATGAAATATGGCCAAGATGCAAGTGTTCGGGGCAGTCAGTATGTCTACTAGTTTGTTACACCCATGATTCAAGTGTATAGTGCATGTAGTTGGCATCTACAGCATGAGTTCCCATTTAGTATTAGCAGGCCTCCACCAGGCAGGAATCAACAATGGGTTATGCATCCTACACGTAGTTGTCTGTCTTTCTGTGCCTTTATCTGTGGCTGGAGCGGTGTTTACTGTGGCTGATGAGGCCAATGGGAGAGTAGCAGATTCTGCTGCAATGGCCACATTGACGCTCTGCCTTGCCCTTCATGAGCTGGTGGCAGAGAACACCTCTCCATTTGATACCGTCATCTGTGAAGTCTTTCCAGCACTCAGGGCAAGATGGTGTTCAACCCCCCCCCCCCCCCCTAACATCCATCCCCCACCTCCCTGTTGCGAGAGCGCTGGCTACACTGCTGGAATCAGACACAAAATATCCTGAAGGGTATTGGGGCCAGGACGCAGCTTTCTTGGACACTGCTGTGGATTACACTACATGTATGTGATCAAGTTGAATATAAACATGTGAATCAGATTTGGTAAGAGGCCTAAGATCACCAGTAGTGGCCCGTCCTACTCCCCGTTTTTAGCATCATCTACATGTATACAACTGCTCAATCGCACTATTATCCCTATTCATATCTTTTTCGGTCTAAACCACCGAACAAGTCCAAGAGTTGACAATTTTCCAACCACTGAAATTTGTTTTATTTGGCCTGCTGGTTTCCATTTGAGGTCATTTTATGGTGTGCATGGTGTACTCAACACTGATCTCCTTAATGGAGACCATATCCGTGGTTTTCTAGCACTTGCTTGTAGCTAGCATCCACTGTGCATACTGCGCGCAAGTGGCGTGATGCACAGGGTCTCCGGTTAACACTCTTTGGCAGTGTCAAATAATGAAATAAACTTGTGCTTGGCCAGTTGTCTGCCATCTATGCCCCCAGCCTGTTTTAATCGTACTTGTTTAAAACCGGCCAAGCACATATTTATTCTCATTCATAAATACCTTACGGTCAAAAAGTGTCAAAAGATTATCAGTTTACAACAATTTTGTTCAACAAGTTTACTTCATGTTTTTGTGAAACACCCCTCCAGCTATGTTTATGGTACACGTGTGCGCCTCGTGTAAGCAGATGACTAAAACTCTCATTATATGGAGATTGGCGCGTACTGTGCGATGTCACTCAGAAGGCAGAAGTGCCAGTGAAAAGTGAATTAAGGACTCTTTGTATTACCTATTAGACTTGTTTTGACTATATAATATCAGCATCCAATCTTAAACATAGTGTTAAATACCTCCAAAGCACACGTTTATTCCCTTATTTAATACCACCCATGTTATGGGTTCTCAACCAAGGTATTTATTAGATTTATTAGTGGGCATATCAGCTGATTTGAGCAAAGTGGAAGATGCCCTGGAGAGTGGGCTGTGCACTTTTATATCACTTGAAAGGAAAGTAACAAATAAGTTAAAAGACTGTCTTTTCCAAAAATTAACCAAAACAACATTCCAAAAATGGCACTGTATACATGATCTATCCTTCACAATGAACATAGGCAAAACTTTATTCAAAATGCATGGATAACTTAACTTGTCTGTATGAAAACAGCTGATAGAACGCTGTCTTATTTAGACCTGGACTAATTCTGAGAGAACTACTAAATAGAAAGTATGGTACAACTATGGTCTGAATGGTGTTATATACACATATACGCCATGCTCATAGTCTTTGGCCTGTTTTAATACAAACATTCAAATTCTGTCTTGTAAATTCACTAGCCTACAAGGTTTTAAATTATGTCTAGAGATCGTACACAGAATGTATCAGAAATTTAATTAACTGTACAATATTTGCCTTTCAATAGTTTATAGCTTTTCTCTTGAAAAATTGGGCAAATATATTATTCCTCTGTAGATTCTGTACAATTTTTTGGAGTCAAAGTTTTATACATCTATCGACACTCTGAAAGGATTGATGGAAATGAACCGATTTGGGTTTTGTTTCAAGACTTATTTGCTCCTAAGACTAACTGGCTTTTATTTACAGGCCTATTTGGAGAAATCTATCCAATAAAACTTGTCAGGAATTACACAAATGTATCACACAGCTGCCAGAATTAAGATGATTCAAACAAGAAAAAAATGATGAAACCTGAAACAATGTAAACTTTAAAATAATTTAATAAAAAATTTGCAGATAACATATAATCAAGTTTGACATTGAAAATGTGATTGTTAAATCATCTCAATTTTACAAGTATTGTATTAAACCCTCAATATTCAGCTGTGAAAACCTAATCAAGTCCTGTGGTATTCATGTGATTTTGGGGAAACAAATCCAGGGCTTATTTGCTAAGTTGGGTAGCTCAGTCACAGTACGCAATGATTCGTTTCAGATGTGAACAGGATTACCACCAAATTGTCAAGGAAGAATACAAAACTGTATCCATTCTACCAATATTTCCTTTTGCTAAATGTTAAGTGTTAATTAATCCTATTTGGGAAAGGAACGTCTACATGTACATTCCTCAACATCATCAAATACATTTCTTTCCTAGTGTAATCACTGAAGGGCATTTGGCCATAATTCAACTTCAAAAATATACCAAATATATATGAACATTACAGAGAAATAACAATTGGTTTCAGTACAAAGAATTAATAATAAACATACACACATTCTAATTCACAATCTACAAATAGAAAAATTACAATAAAAAAGCCTCTTCCCTAGTTTGAGAATTGGGAAGATTCAACTCAATTTGATTCCTTTTTTAAACAACAACTTTTTGAACTACACATCTCCAAAAGTTACACATTCAATTTGAGATCTGTCAGGAAATTAAGCACCTTGTCCACATTTGATCATACATACATCCGTGATGGCCGTACAATAGGTATTGAAGGAACACTGACATACACAATTGTCTGCTGTGGTATCAATTCAAATTTTGAATTTCTTTTTCCAAACACATTTCCATGTCTCAATTTATTGTGCGTTTTGACCTCCCTACAGCTTTGGTGCTACATTCAAATACATCTTCGTTAAAACTTACTTACAAATAAACAAATGAAAATTGAAAAACAAGATAAATAAAAATATTGTTAAAATTTAACACGCATAAATTTAATCAAGTGTTTTTAAACAGGACCAATGTGTAATTTTGTTTTTGGCATATGGGAAGAAAAGCAAGCACCAAGATACAACTATGGGTCCCTACAACTGAGTAAAAAAAAAGTAAATCTTTCCTACATTTACTGTAGCAAGACTAGATTTCTGGTAAACATTACAGCAAGTGACCCTGTTGTTGTTTTTCCACTTTTTGGTTCTACACATCTATATGGATAATTTAATAAGATTTTATTACAAGGACACATGTAGCATCTTTATCAGAACCCACGCTTTTTAATTATACACACCATACGTAACAGTAACATATGACTGCCCCCATAATAATACGATTTGAAATTGGAGATGGTTGAAGGACACAAAAGGTCAAAGTAAAGAAACTGTGCTGAGCAGACCATATTAAGGCCTATCACCTAAACCGTCACTGGATTCACTGGTTGATACCTCCATGACCTCTCCTGTGACCCGACAGCGGTGTTTCAAAGCACGATCATAAGCCTGCTGGACTGACTTACGCACAGCTGACTTGCGTCCCTCTAAGAGCTTGACTTGGTCCAGGCCAGAGTCCACACCCAGGGGTTCTAGCTTAGATCTAGGTAGCCATTGCCTATGGGAAAGGATACGCATAATGTGAGTGGAGCTAAACAAAAAATGGGCTGAAAATAGCTGAAGCTGAAAATAGCTGAAACTGTAAATAGCCGAACCTGCGAGCGCCAAGAGCGAAGTCCTTACGGCGTGGGGTCTCGGGCTCGCCCAAGGGCCCCAGGAAAATTTTGAAATGTAGATGCTCTGTGGTGCATTTTACAGTCGCCTGGGCCAACTTTTATTCGAAAATGTGTTGCAATTTATGCATGTTTTTAAGTTAACTTTTCCTTCATATTGGCTTGAAACTGCATAAATGGCCAACATGTATATGAAAACTGCGTTGAAATCGAAGTTTGTAGTGTGAGTCTGCCAAAGCCCAGCCCTACAAAAAAAACTTCCTTTAAATTTAAATCTAGCTCTTACATAAGAAAAGAATGCACATCGGACGTCCGGGCTTCTGGATTTTTCTGATCGTGTCGCCTAATTTCTGCCCATGAATGATGAATGGTGTTTTCCATCCAAATCCATTTCCAGGGATTTGTAACTTGAGGATCGGTCTTGTCAATGTCAGAATCAAACTCCGAACCTCTTTGGACAATTATGCATTTGTGTTGCACTGACATCTTGCAGAATTAATAATGTAAAATGTTGTCGGAAAATACGTACAAAACAACACACTATTAAACGTACATACGTACATTAGCAGCATGCAGCGGAATGCAGGATGCAGATGAAATACAATATGCAACAACATATGCAAGTCTTATTTCAAGGCTTCATTTGCAACAAGACGTGTGTTAAGTGATCTTTTCGATGTTTACAGCGAGTTATTGTGGAGATAATTGTGTGTCACTACTTACACAGACACAGGAATGGCTGCAGAGTCCCAACGCACTTCATGGCGCATTTGTGAATATTCATATTTATCTGCAGCCAATCACAGCGCAATGACTGTTGGTTCCCCGGATGCTGTTGTACACACGCACGCGGCTTCGACATGTAAAATGCATGCACATCGCATCGTATATGGCATACAGTACACGTACATGGGTGATTGTACATTGTATTTGCTTGAATTGAATACTCGCCTGCATTGCATGCACCACAGAGCTACGTGTAGAGCAGATCAACTGTGTTTTGCGCGAGCGTTCGGCAGCGGCGGAAAATAAAATAAACGGAAAAAAAATCAATGCTTACATGCTGGGGAAATGCGGGGGAATTCTGGACCAGCGGAAAACCAAATATGGCACGCTGAACAAAAAAGCGGAAATCCGCTGAAAAATGGAGATTTCACACCCCTGACATATACATGTACAGGGCGTGTCCAAAAAAAAAAGGCAATCCAAAAACTAATAGATTAGTATATAAAAATAGGAAGCGGAACACTATCCATGTGGTTGCTTCTGAAAGGTTGGTTGACCAGCTTGCCATGGACAGCTTACTTACACAGCTGCAGTCATCGATAACTAAGCCCCATTTATTGCACAACACGAGCTATAAACCATCTTTTTCCAAGTTGGGCTGATTTAGTGGAGCACGAGCCGACCACACAATGTGCATCCCTTTGGAGTGTGTGGGCCTTCCCTTTCAATACACAGATGGCAGTGACGGTGAAGAAAAGGTCAGGTTACAACTGTAAACTTGTGCTGTGGCTTACCATGTTCTCTTGTTATCAAAGAAGAGTACAAGATACAAATGTTCATCGATGACAGCTCGTTGGTTCAAGACTTCCATAGGTGGTACAGGGATAGGGACGCCATTGTGAAAGAAGCCAGACCTGGGCATCTTGGGGTTGATGATCTGTTGACATAAGAAAAACACTGTGACTTCTTCCAATTTAAAATTGATGATTTGTCATCATACACAGGAAAGTTTATGGAATATGAAAAGAAACACATCTTTGAATATACAACCCAAGCACGATTAATGACAAAATCTGCTATACTCCAACCAGACCCAACAGCAGTCTGGTTAGATCATGCCATTCTATGCTACGCACACAGACAATAATTTAGCAAATGTATTTTGTTGGATTTAACAGGCTTCAAACTTTGTTGCTGTTGGTGGATGGACGATTCCTGATCTGGTTTAAGGCAACAGACCCTCAAATCACTAATGCCATTACAAAAGTCACTTTCAAAGTTGCATTAACTCATTCAAAACCTATTTTAGGTAATTCATGTATTGCTACTTTATAAAGAAAGATCAAATGTTATATAATCTTATACGTACGTCCACCTTTCATGGCAATGTGTCTAAAACCTAGCCTTGATACCTGTAAAATATTTGCAATAAGCGAGGTCGGTATTCCAAAATAGTCTAGTGCACAGCAAGATTTGACGATTTTTTTCTGGGATAACCATACATGTAGCAGATATATGCACACAAGGCTATGGGGGACATGGTAACCAAATTTGCATTCTGTGCAATTTTTCTTACAATCAAAAAGAGATGGGACTTTCGTTCACACAAAAGTTTTGACACACAAGACACCTAAAAACACTTCGCTGTCCAAATATTTTTTGCAAAATGTTATCCTCCAGAACACGATGATCTTTTCAATTTTGCTGGTACCCCGCTCATTTTTTATCCCGAAAGCAAAATCGGCAAATTTTGATGTGCACGAACTCGCTTATTGTTGAGGTGCGATTTGTGACAATTTCTCTACAAAGGCATGGGCCTACATACCAAGGCTGGATAGGAGGGGTAGCCTCGGCATTTGGCCCATACTAGGTCTAATGGGCTGAGAGGAATGTCATCTTCATCAGAGTTCCAGCTTGTGCTTCTTGTCTTACCTAGTACCAAAAGGTATTCAAAACCAAAGAGTTGAACTATTTGCTTGTCCAGTCATTGGCAGCACTGCTTCTCACTATAGACAAAATAGGAGCACCTGAATGGAGAAGACGCCTATAGGCTTATCCATTAGGCTCTACCCACTGCACCTCTGCAATACATTACTGCATGCTCCAGACCTGCACGTCATATGCATGTGCATGCATGTGCACGCATGTCAGACTATTGTACACACATGTGGGACATTAATCACAGCTGTGATTGGTCCAAACAACATAGGGTGGGACTTACTAATGCATCAGTCTATTGTGGGCCTGAAATGGAGGGATTGGCACAAACAGTCAACAGATACCACAGTAAGGACAGAATGCAAAATTAAACAAGCGGTAGCTTGAGGTTGAACCCCGAGTTAATACCCTGTAAAACCCTGTCAAAACTTCAGGTAAACCTTAAGTTACTGCCTGCTTAAACTCAATCTGCACTCAAACCTCAGCATAAAGCCCGGTTCATACTTCACCCGAAAGCAAGTTCGAAGCGAAATTCATGTCATCAACAATGGTGGACGCGCTTGGAACGTATTGCTTTCGCATGAAGTATGAACCGGGCTTAACATGGCCCTGTTCATGATTGTCCACACTATGGGCGTGCAACATACACACACCTCTGAAAATGGTGCCCAATTGCTGTTAACACACATCACATTTCACATCCTAGGGGCCATAAGATTATTCAGTACTACACACATGAAGCTCATTGTACCGATGTCATATGTGGGAGTGTTGGTGCCAGATCACCACACCAACACAATATCAACACAACAGCTTGTCTTGTGGACTAGTGGCATATGAGCACATTTCCCACTGCTTAACATGTGTGCAAGGTGTGATGCACTACGGGGATATTGTGTAATGGCCAGTGCTGCAAAAAGTTCTCCTAGAGATGCATAAAATGACATGACACCAACTGCATGTGGTCTCCTTGTGTTTCACAAATCTATTGAAAACATGAAAACCAAACATTTGGTCAACATGTATTTTGTAACCGGTTGTATGTAAAGTCATGATCACATTCAGGAGGATTTCCCGGCTTCTGTGACAGCCAATACCAAGTTGGGCAAAACAATCAAATACAGCGATAACCATCAACACGTAGTGTATCAACACATGCATCATCAACATGTGTATCCACATATGAACAAAAACCCATGAGAAACACCAGGTAACAGTCATGAATATAAAGTCATTTTGAACAGTGTGTGCATAAAAATACTGTTGAAAGGTGTTTTTTAAACAAAAACAAAAAAGTGCAAAGACAATGGACAGAAAGGTTTCGAAGACAAGAAAAACCCAATGCTTTTTTTGGTTATTGGACACTGACTTCATGACTCTGTTACCTCGTTTTTCTCTCAAGTAAGGACCCGCACCGTGATGACGATGTCTGCTTGTAGTGCTAGTGCTCTCGCCACAAGATGTATCGCCACTGCTATCTTCAGGCAAATTAAGACGGCCATGATGTCTGCGATGACGGTGGCCCTCTCCCATAGTAGAGGTAGACTCTGATATGGAGCCAGAGCTAGTAGAGCTAGTGCTGGATGTACTCTCAGAATCTGAGCTGCTACGTGTACGATTGTGTCCTGAACGGTAGGTTGTGAAGCTGTCACCCATGGGCTTATCCCCCTCAAATCCATTGGGTAAGTTACTTGACGCATTGGACTCTAATAGTCTTTTTGCTGGGCTGCAGTCAGCATTACTTGCACTCAGGCTTCGGGATCGTTTCCTAGTGTGGTTCTCATTAACAACAGAGGATGTAGTTGGTAGGTTACCCTCATATTCTGTCTCTATATGAAGGCTTCCTTCTTGGATAGCTCTGCGAGTGCCTCTTGTGGTGTTCTCTGTGTCCATGGACAGGGACCTTTTGCCCAAACGGCCTCCTCTTCTAGATCCAGGACTACCAGCGGGCTTACCTCGTCCCGCTTTCCGAAACAGTACTGAAGTCCTTCGGCCGACTCCGCCTGGGGAGGGGCTCTTGTCGGAGGAATGGGACGGACTCTTATTGGGTGTGGCTGTAGTCTCAGATACCTCATTGGGCATGAGTGTAGGAGCACAGTCACCACCGCCAGGGTGTGGTTCAGACATGGAGCGGGATACACGTTGCCGGCCACGACCCCGCCCCCTACCCGGGGTCCTTGGTAAGGGGCGTGTCGGTGATGCCCTAGTAGGGGAGGATTTGCTACGTCCTACTATTTGTGCGGGTCTGGTAGGAGAAAGTTTGGGTGGTTCAACTGACTCGCTAGTTGCTGGGCAGTCACTCCCTTCATCATCTGGATATGTAACCAATATAAAGAAATGACTCAAAAATATAAACAATCTTATTGGCCAGCAGCCGCTTCTTATAGGACCAGAAGTTAAGGGGAATAAATCAAATGCTTTCACTGACCCCAGTAGAATTGATCAACTCAAAGTTATACCTTTCTATTTGGATTGTGATCTGTAACAAAATTGGATGGTAAACAGGGATGTACACCAACAGACTGACACAGTATATTAATTGTCTGAGCGGATGCCAACATGTGAAACCTTCACTTACAAAACAAATTCAATTGGATTCATTAAAAAAAATTAACGGTAAAAATTTGCTGTGAAAAACACTGCTACAATGAGCATCCCCTTTCACTATAGACAGAATTTTCATTACAGAGCCACCAGGGAGAACAGTTCTTTGACAATTTATAGGGCTACCCTGGTAAAATAAAATGTTAACTACATGAATATATAAATCATAATCACTGTGTCTCAATTGTGACAAAGTCTGCCAAGATGTTTGCACTGCTAAGCGGAATATGGGTTTGATTCCTGCCTGGGCAAACCTATGCACGCTTTCCTCAGTGTCTTAGAAATCATTGAGCATACAGTGCTGATGATTTTGCCAGTCAAGAGGAAACCTTATTAAAAAGGACAAATCTTTGTCCTGAATAGTGAAGTAGCTAGCAGGACTAACTTGACACCCCGTCTGCTGATGATGATCCCTTTCTCTTGTCCCCATCTTTCTTTGTTGGCGACTCTGCTTTGTTGGCCTGGTTCCTTTGTTGGGCCAGCTTACGACGGATAACGTTGATCTCTTTACGTAGCTGTTTGGTACGTTTGGTACGGGCTGCTCCATGTTTGATGGTACAGGTCATGTCAAGTTTCTCCAAGAGTTCCCGGAGTTGTTCCTCCAGACTCATGTCTGCACGGTGGGCTGGTGACAGTGCTGTGTCAACTGAGGAGAAAACACATGACACGTTCAAAACAAGGTATGGTACACATATTATAATATAGGGCTTCATTTAATAGAACAAGCTTTGCAAAACTGCACGCAAAGCTTTACTTGTTGTTTTTTATGCCTGTGACCCCCCCCAAAAAACCAATCCTCAAATAACTGCAATCACATAAGGGTGGTAGGGATTTTTGTGCTTTTTTGTTATAGCAAACAGAGTTTACAAGTTTACAGTGTGAATTTTTCAGAATGTGTTTATTTTAACGAATGTTCTACTGTGGCAACTCTTAGGAATTAGAAAAAGGAAATTTTAATCGTGGATATAACAGATATCGATAGAAAACGATTTTACATCAACAAACAAATTTCGCACTTCCAGAAAACAAGGTCTTCCTTGCCCACATAGCCATGTGTCCCTGCCTGCATGAGTGTCTAGACAATCAATCAGATCCCATTTACACACCAAGGAAAACTTACAATCATCTAACTTGAGTTCTGTTTCCTTGTAGAGTGGTGCTTTCTCAGCATGGAAACCTGTTGTAGGATCATAGCCAATCTTCTCTACAATGCGCTTAGCATTACGGATGACAGCCCCTCCCTGTCAGTAATCAAGACAAGAGATTATATAGCATGCAAATATTTCCATAGGCATGATACATGTAGGTCATAATTTATGCTGAAACGTTGTTGGTTACAGCAATGTTCACAAATCCTTGATACATTGTAAAATAACCATTTTGTAATGACAGTACAGCAGGATAGCTTGGATCCTTCTGATGACTTCGTGCCCAAGATGGTGTTTTGTTTGGGCGGGGGACATAAGATATTTACCTCAATAAATTACTGAAATACCAAAAATACTCCAAATCACTAATACTCCAAAAAGCCTCATTTCTCGTGTTTTCATCCTATCTGACAAATGTGAAGAGTTTTGTCCACTTTCAATTTTTCTGAACGGTTATTCAAACCAGCAAAAACTGCCTAACATTAACCACACTTTCTGCATACCATATCTCTGAGTTTGACAGCTGCTCGGTAGAACACTGTATCCTTGCTGTTGTACGTCATGCAGTTCTTGATGACCAGGTCAAAGTCTTTCTCAAACTCGTCGATGGTCCGGTACTCGTGACCTGTGACCTTTGACCTCATCGTTGAGAAATCCATAGGGTGTTTGATCACTTGAAAATAATCAGGCGCCTGGAAAAAGTTGGAAGTTAGGAGTAAGAGATATACTGTCCTGCCTTGTGAGGGTGGGATGGGATATGGAAGGCAGGGTGGGAGTGGCAACTAGAAGCAGGTATGAGTTTGCATGTCTCACAATACAATACAATACCCATTCCTACCCTTCCTTTACCCAAACAAAATAATTGTCATGCAAAAATGTGTTAGATGGTAAAATTGCAGAAGTTTCAGGGAAGGGGAAAAAAGAAACTTAAAAACAGATTAAGCATTGTCACATTACAGGCTGCCACATTACTGCAAAGGAGTTAATATGCCTCTAGATGACATAATACAAATTAATGATGGGAGTGAAATACATTTATGTGACTAGGATGGGGATGTTTGGTACCTCTTCAACTGAGACAGGTTCTGCAAAGATTCTTGTGGGATCCCGTTCAACAAGTTGGTCCAGTGTATTCCTGAGCAGGATGTTGAAGGGCTGTAGCTGCATCTCAATGGTCATCTGATTTAACTTGATCTACAATGGTGGTGAAAAAGCAACCATTAACCCTAACTGTCCATGTACTTTTGTCTAGAGTAGACACTACTAAAATGCACCAACATGCAACACTTGTCCGAGTGAGAAGCCTGCCCAGTGTAGCAAGATCCAACAGGTGAAAAATCCCATGGTCTAACTGCTTCATAGTCTGCACTTGCCAACAACAACAGGGAACAACAGTGGTTCGTTCAACGGGACTGGCCCCTTGACCTCGAAACTAACAGTTTGTGCACTAGTTTTGATCGCCTAGTGCAACAAGGTTATACATACATTTACAGCTGAGGCACCATGTGGCACCTGGTAGGGTAAGGGGTAAACCTTTTCACTTGTCGATTCAAGTTTCTTTATTTACCAAACGTTAAACCTCCCTTTGAGTCGGTTGACAAGATAAAATTTCATGTTAAATTATCACAAAGATCACCTTAATGGAGTTATGCACTCATTGGAGCCAAGGCAAAGCAAATAGCATGTACCGCTAGACTGTGCACTGAATCCATAAATCTACCATAGCTTGAGTTACCTGTTCACGTTTCAGCTTCTCACGTTTTCTGATGAGCTCAACTAGGAGTCGTGCTCTCTCCAGATCATGTCTGAGTCGTTGCCAATATTTGAGCTGCTCTTTCAGCTTGTTGGCTTTCTGGTTCTCACGCTGTGGATGTCCAGATTGTGCCACAGTGACAGGCAGGGAGATTCAGGCAAAAATCGAGGGCAGAACAGATGAAATGAAGGGAAGCGACCAAGCAAGTACAAGAGGGGAAGAAAGGTGTTCAAAGAAACATGTAGAACATGAGGACGAAACCAAAGACAGTTCAAAAGCAGATGTGGAAAGACAAGGACAGGCACAATAATGGGTATGAGCAGAGGGTTAATAAGGACAAACCAACCAACAAAGCAACATGGAAAATGCAGGGAAAGGGACATGTTGGAGAAAAAATGAAAATAATTGCAGTTATTATACATTACAGTTTGATTTATCTTAAGCAAACTTTACTTTGTTTCTATTTTTCAAATACCATTACTATTCCTTTTACAGAGAAGTCTCATTGTTTCATATCCCATGTGAATGTGGAAAGTTATGTGTTGACTTAGTTTTCTACTTATAATCAACAAAGTCTTCCTAAGATAATCACTTCTAGCTTGAAAAATATTGTGTGTAGCAAATTTAGCGGAAACATTTTCCACTGCAGGTTTATAGGGTTGACCTTAAATGATTCATAATTTCTTATGACGCAGAGAACCTTAGGATATTGCAAATACAATATGAACATCAATGGTCACATGTATACATGTACAACATGACAAACATTAGAAAGATTGCCCCCAGTTTCAAGAGAAGAATTGTTTTTTCAATCTTCATGCAAACCATGCACTACATCAACAATGCATCTGTGGGTGTAAGTAATGTCTGTGTAGCATGCATTCGCTAAAAATGTGACAACTGACCAATGAGGGAAAAATGGGGGTGAACTGATGCAATCAACAGAAATCAACCAAGAAGTAACTGGACTTATGGAATAACTTACAATATAAATATTCCATAACTGTATTTTAAGATCAGATTTGGACAGAAAAACATGTGTGATTCTCCCAATCAGATGAGGAGTTGTTTATATTTCATTATGGTGTGCAACTAGGGACTCTGTGCACGAACAGTAGAAGATGCTATGTGACCACTCTTTAACCCTAACAATGCCAATCCAGTCAAACTCCAACACCAGTGTTTGGTGGAATACAGGGTGGATCAAAAAAACGAAACCGAGATATTATTGCTAATTGGAACAGAAGGACACATGTGAATCAAAGGGAGATGTCCTCTGTTACGGTTGAATCTCCTCTTTAAAATGACACCCTGATCATGTCATTACATTCACGGTTGACTGAGCAGTGACCAATTTTATGAAAGGGTCTATTTACAGGCTTGCACCACTTTTCAATTGTGGTATTTGTGTTGTCATTTGTCACAGGGTGAAAGGCTATGGTTGCCAATCAAGGCAGGTGGGGAAAAAAGAGATTTCAACAAGTATATCTGTTTCATGTGTGCTCCGTATATAACTAACTTTCATCTAGATGTGCACTGTACCCAAAGCCTTTGATGTGGGAGCACAGCAGTAACTGGCATTCATATGCCTGTCATGTCTCTTTATTGTGCACAGAATTCATAAGCATACAAGTAAGAATATTCAAAGACATGCATACATACTCTACATGTATTTCTAGAATACTGTGAGTGCCTACACTGGAGTGAGTGTACAGTTTAATATGTTGACATAATTGAAAATAACAACTACAACTGTGGAAATTTGTTGCTAACTTCTTATACAGTCCTTCTTCACTCTTACAATTTCCCTTGTCTGTATTGAACAAACTGGCATATTTTGGTGTTTATTTTGAAACTGCTTCTCCAACCAAGAATAAAACAAATGTACATTTATCTCAATTATTTATAACTTTTGATGAAAGATAGCTTCCTTGAAATTAATGTTACTTTGAAAGTGACGGAACTTCAAGGAAGTGAAAGTAACTTCAAGCCACGTGGGAACATTTGCAATTACCCAAATTATTCTGCTGAAAAAGGTATCGAGAAGAAACTAACATTAAAGGTGGTTTCAAAATGCATGCGTTAGCAACAGAATCAAGTCATGGGACCCCCCAAAATGTGCACACATTTTGTTTTCTCAAACGTAAAGTACATGTAGATGCACCCCTTCTTCAGATTTTTAGTCATTTTGTTGCTTCAAACAAAAAACATGCACAAAAAGCAAATGATCCTACGTACCTTTCAATCAAGAGACTATGCAACAATATTTTAAACTGATGTTTAAACCTATTCTTTCAAAGTTGATTCAAGGACTGGATCAACAAATTTCCACTGAAGTGTTACTACATGTGGATGTAACCAGATGTACACGTGTATACTAGACTAATACTAAGAAAGTTAAAATGAGAAAGAAAGAAACTGGGGGCTACACAAACCAATGGTACCGAGTCTTTGTTGCGTTGGGAGTGATGATGGGCTTGTAGACGTCGCAGGAGAGGGACTCCATTACGAGATTGACGTTTCAGAGTCCAATATCCTATCAGACGCTGCACAAATTGCTGCTTCTTTTGCAAACTCACTTTAGTTGTTATCTTAGAAATCCTGAAACGAAATTAAATGAATACATTTTTGAGTTAATTTTTTTGTATGAACACATACTTTGTAACATAAGATCATAATATTGGAAAACTTTTAAATGGTTTGTGACAGAAAATTCAAAGGGTATAATTTCAATGAAATTCATAAGATGGGATTTTTGGGTCGGGGTGATGTAAATCAAGTGAGGTTTTGCCCTTCACCGACACCGACGTATAAACACTGTTTATACAGGGGGGCAAACCTAACTTGATTTACATCACCCCGACCCAAAAATCCCATCTTACAAATAGTTAATGCGGTACCCACTGCTATGTACATCAGATTTGAACCAGCCAACTGATCCCGTTAGCTCGGTGGTTGAGTGGTAAGACATCTGCACTAGAAAGCAGGAGGTTGTTGGTTCGAGTCCCATCCGAGTGATTTTTTCCAACTTTCACTCGGGAGGTAACACATGTCACTGAGTAAACGGTGTTTAACAGTCGGTGAAGGGCAAAACCTAACTTGATTCAATGAAATTATTTTTTGAGTCTCTTTTGGCAAAATAATTAGGCCTATCTTTGCAAGAAAAATCGCTCATAGACAACAAGAGCAACAATACTGTGCAATACACGATACCCCATGGTTTGTCCAATCAGGATTAACGATTCAAGTTTGCTTGAAGATAAGTATGCTCGTACTTTGAGTGTCAGAAAACAAAATAGAGAGGTCTTTAGTGTTGTCAAATAGAGTTTAACCCTAACTGCCCTGAATCCTCCAAAATCCTTTTTGCAAATTGGAGGAATTTGCAGGATTGAGGTTACATGGTAAAAGTGCGTTGCTGATTTCGGAGTACGCACTGTGTCAAGGTCTTGGGCTGGACCTTGTGTTGTTTATGCTCAGCCGTGCATAAATTTAGTCCTTGATTATACTTGACATCCTCCGCACTGCTCCAGAATGTCACTGCCTCTGCCTCAGCCTATTGACAGACATAGCCGGAGGATTTTGCAGGATTCAGGCAGTGATCATCCCTCCATGGACCATATTCAAGAAATAACGGAGGAATTTGCAGGATTGAGGCTATATGCTATTTTTCCATGAGGCCAATTGGAGGATTTTGCAGGATTGAGGCTACATCCTAGCAAAAAGGCCTAGGGAGTTAGGGTTAATGGAGTAAGCAAATAAAACCAACCTCTGTGGGGGGATGCAGGGCATCGACACAATTGGCATAGCAGCCCTTTTTTCTGCTAAGATCTTCCTTGCTTTTCTCATGTTCTTCCTTGACTGGGCTTTAGCTTTCTTGGCAGACAGTCCCTTCCCAGCTTCATCATTCTCAACGATCTTATCATTCACGTTGGGTTTCTTCTCCACCTCTGGTGGCGTATGGATGTCGCAGTAGGCCGTCTTTCTAATGCTGATAGATGTACCATTAATATTGGTTTCTCGTATGGGCTCCATTTTCATGAATAGTCCTGCCTGCTGTGCGCAGGTCACATGAAAAGCTGTGTAACAGTTTGCTTTATGGCACTGAATGCAAGCTCCAACCCCGCGCTGCTTGCAGATGTAACAAGTGAGCTTCCATCTAGCGGCTGGTATATGATCGATGCTGTCTATGGGTTCTAAGAATACTGTGTTGGCAAAACCCACTTCTGGAATCCAGAGAGCACACACAACATGGGCCCAGCGTCCATCGTCAGTTTGTTTAAATGCTGCACCTTTATTGGGGCACAGTGCACAGTCTACTGCTCGTGATGGAGATTGAAGACAACGGCGGCAAAGCCACTGTCCCTCAGGAATGTATGGCACGCCATAACACTCCTGGTGTACAGCTAAGTTGCACATATCACAGAATAATATGACATTGCTGTTCTGGCATTCACCATCATTACAGATGCAGCAAACTGCATCCTCATCAATGAATTGATTGTTATCAGTCTTGCCAGAGGTCTGACTTTGGAAGTAGGACTCCTTTTCCAGTCGATCCATAAGAGTCTCAAAGATTTCCTGGGAGACAGTAGTGAGTCCATCACTCTTGCGTTTGTCATTCATCATGTCCAGCCATGCGTAATCCTCTTCATCCATATCATACTCAATCTCTTCGTCCAGTTCCTCCCGTGACTTCTCAATGTATCTGAAGTAGGCCTGTGGACGGTCTGGTGCATCTGGAGGCTCTTCATAACCATCTAGGATCTTGTAAGAAGCTTCAGGAAGCTTCATGGAGGATGTGCTTCCAATTTCCTTCCTCTGCTTGGTGTGGTCCAAGGCCTTCCCAGCCTTACCCAGAGGCTTTTCATTCTTCTCCTCTTCACTTGTCTCACTTTCAAACTCATCCTCAGTGAGGATGTCAATAGTCTCATGGATATCCAGCCTGTGAACAAGACCGTTAATGTCTACTTCCACTAATCGCTGGGCCTGAGCATATGTCAGGGCTTCTCGGGTAGGAGATCGGATCACTGAAGGTGACGGGGACCGCCGATTCTGCCGATTGGTTACCCGTCCTTTCCGCCAGCCACCTTTCTTCATTGGTGTAGAGTGTCCGTTGCCCCCGGCTTTTTCATGGTCAAAGTTATTCAAGTGAAACTCTATTCCAGAATGGCTTCTATATATCTTGCCGCAATCATTAACAGGACACTCGTAGGGTGGTTTGGTAGCACGTAAATTCTCACAGAAGTATTTGACGTTAAAACCTAACGCTGGCATGGTGTAACAGAGGGCGCGTGAGAGGAAGTGCAGATACTACACAAGCAACGCAGGAGCTCTGGCGAATAGCTACCAGAGATACCGTGCATGCCGTGCAGTTATCAGTACCTGTATAGAGAAAAACAAAACCAAAGAAATATGTTGGGTCACTTCTGAAGCATTTGAAGAATCATAACACTGACTTTATTTTTGTGCTCAACTTTACATTGAACTACAATCCAATAAATCAAAGTTTACAATTGAACCTCTTTGTCAAGTGACACTGTGCATTGCCTGTATACTGTCTGAATGGCCTACCGTTCACTTTAAAAAGATTATCTAATGACCACTGGTTGACCCAGGGAAGCTTTGTGATGCACTTTTATTTTGTTCTAATGGTACCTAGACATGTAGTTGAACTCAACTATTTAAGGTCACAAACAGTCAAAATTTTCTTCCTCACCTCCTGGCATACTGTTAATAAACCAATGGGGGTCTTGACCAATATTTACCCATGTAATAACAGTGCAAATGCTGTCAACTTTGTTATGAAAAAGCCAATTATTGAATTATTAACCCTCCGGCGCAGAATCTAGCCCTTTTGGGGACCCAATTTGGTTAATTACCTTAATTAAAAAAAAAATTTCAAACCAATTCTGGTGATCTTCCATCTAATCCTAGCAAGAGACACCCTCTACGGATATATGCAGTCACCTTTAGTGTGTGACCCCGGGTCAGGCATATCTGAGCATGACAACCTGGGCTAAGGACCGATGCAATTTCTGCCCATCCGGGGACCCGCCATATACACGCGCACAAAACAACTCCGACGCAATTTCTGCCCACCCGGGGACCCACCATATACACGTGCACAAACAAGGTCACTTGCGAGTAGACAGTGCACGGCTTGACCACAGACTATGTACATGTATACAAATACACCTCCTTAGTCTACAGACATGGCAAGATTGTGTTCATGTGGATACAGTGTTGTTTAGCCTCAAACCGTGGCGCTAAATATTTGGGTCCCCGGGGGACCCCTTACTGTAAGTGTGTTACTAAATGGGCTTTCTGCGTCGGAGGGTTAAGTCCTCAAGGGATAGATGCTGCATACAGATCCACTTCAAGTAGTTATGGTTTTTGTGGTCATTGGTTAAAACCAATCATTCCCTGTCTAGCTCTCAAACCACCCTACAATTCATCGTGTCCATGCAACAAGGTTGTATCTCCTAAAATCATTTACGTGAAACACGAGTTCTCAATGTCAAATGGTCATATCTCGCTTAACCCTCCAGCTGCTTAAAAGGTCACAGATGGTCAAAATGTCCTTCTTTTCCCCATGGCATACTCTTAACAAACCAATGGGTCACTTGACCAATATTGACCTAAGTAATAACAAGGCTCAGTCAGAATAGAATACATGTTTCCATAACCCGGAAGTACACACAAAGTCAATGGACATCGCGATACGCACGATACGACCTTGTTGCACGGAGCATATGCAGGGGAGATACAACTTTGTTGCAAAATCTTGTTACGACCTTGCTGCACTGCCGCGACGAAATACTCCCTATACAGCCTAAAACAGGCCAGTACTGGTTTTTAAAATGGATTTATTGGTGAAGTAATACAATGTAGGCTTGGACTATATTATCTTGATACTGTACAGAACAATAAACGAATAATGTTGTCAAATACTGAAATACTGACAACCTCTACATGTATGGAATTGCATTACTGTGATTCTCCAAAAAAGCCTTTTAAAATTAAAGGCGACATAAAAACAACTTGGCAAGATCTGCACTACATGAACATGGATACGGATAATTGCTTGAATTCCTTGTGGTCACAGCATGTAACCCATTGTGCTTACTAGTCATCCAGCAAGACCTTTAAAGTTCTGCCCATGCTGCCTGTTTGCAGTTTCCTTATTACAAAGTGTATTGTATTTTGAGAACACAATAGTCCGCCCAGAAAAGTACCTTATAACACCTAATAATAATACCGCGATATTTTTGTGGCAGTATACAAAATGTACCATGGACCTTCAAAATCCAATACTGCACAAACCTCATACAATGCAGTGCAGGTGATAGGTAAGGAAACTTTGTTTAAAATATTATGGACCATGCCAGTTGATTTTATGCAAGGACAGAAATTATAACTACATGTAAACTTGTACGAGTGTGATAATAGACTGGTTTTTAAACAAAGGTTTGACAGGGGTCTTGGAGAGAAATGTAATTGCAGGAGACATTGCCCAATGGCTGAACAATTGTCACTTGAAGTTGAACTTGCTCCAAGCTGAACATCAAACTTGTTAAAAAATTAGGAACTTGAGGGGTATTTTGCTGAAAGGAGAGATTGTGAATCATTGCATAAGCTCCAGACTCTCTGCTTCAAGCAGTCAGCACAGCGAACAGCTTGGTAACATCAAAGTCAGAACTTTTTACTAGTGATGCAACAATGAAAAACTCAATATGTACATGTACAAGTTTCCTGAATAATTATGTTTAGCGTTAAGAACAAACATTATTTTTTGCATACTTTTCACACTTTTATTAAAAAAAATGTTTTTTAAATTTGTCCTTTTTTTTTTAAGTCAATTTTATTTTAAAAAACCTTGCAAAATAATTTTGATATGGTACAATATACTTTTAATTGACCTTTGAGGTGAAGTATTCATAATTGCTGCTCATGTAGATTCAATATTGACAATAGCTTTAGTCATGTTAGTGTCATTCCTGGATTGCAAGTCATCGGGGTAATGATGGCCAGTCACTCAAAATTAGGCCCAAAAAACAAGTAAAAAATAAATAATTTCTTGTCTGGCATTTTGAAAAAATTGAACGAGGCAGATGCTTTCTTTTCATTTTCCCAATGGCAAGTTTTCAAAGATAGCATTGATTCTTCCATTTTCTTGACTCTTTTGCTGATACAAAATTGTGTCCAAAGGTGTCGCCACCCAAGTTTCTACACAGCAACAATAATATTCGAAACAAATAAAAAGATAATATATTGCAAAATGCAATGCATATTGCAAATGGATGAAATAAAAAAAAATAAAAAATAAAAGAGGGGGCGAGAAAAAGGAAGGGAGGACGAGAAACTGGTGTATTGTTTTACTTCCCCTTAACTTAAAAAACATGAAGTTGGAATTTAAAAATAATTCCAATTAGACCTAGACCTGTTTATTTGGAAATACTTTTTCAAAAGTTCAATAAATCCCCATAGACATCTGGAGCTCATTCACGACCATGTAAGTTACATATTCTGTCCAAAAATCTAATTTAATTTAATAAAAATAATGCACAACATCATGTGTAGGCAAATGCACACTGTACACACTGAATAAATACATGCACTTTACACATGCAGCACTCTTTACATTTTGTATGCGGAACATTATGATTGGACTGCATGCTTTTGATTGAATGGATGCATGGCGCCATCTCATGAATATTCATAATCCAATATGGCCAAAAATTACAAGGCGACGGTTGTACATGTGGAATGTGTACACGATTGGGCCACCCGGGGTAATTTTCTTCAGAAAAAAAATGACAAGATTAATACACAACTTGTACGATAATACAAAAATATGGCTGAAGAGTAGGCAATGAATCGTTTAAACCTGTCGGTACTAATGACCTAATGCAATGAACAAAAGACAAGGAAACTAGAAAATGCACTCCGCACTAGTGTGCACAGTGCAGTGTGCTATGTACTGACCTTACCGGTTTAGTGTGTGCGTGATCTTGTCTGCTGGCGCTGCATTCTCTCTACACGCAGTTCAACGGGTAATACACGCAGACACAATCCAGACGGCGTACGAACAAAGACGGATGAACAATGGCTTCCGACCCTAAAATCACTCTTAAACGACGAGGCGCGGCGCAAAAATCCACAGTATGAATCCTCTGGAATCACTGATTCAAACTAGATCAGAAAATCGAAAAATAATTGTAGACGATTGGAGAAATAAGCCGACGAATTAGTGGTCTACCGGCCACTGTGTGCACGAAATGTCCTCGCCCCTAAGCGAATCAGACATTTTTTTCAAACCTCCAATTTGACCCCCTATGTTGCTAGAAAATATTATGCGGTGAAAATAACGCGTGTTCATATCACGCGCAACCACTGAAGTGATATAGCGCCCCCAACGTACATGACATCTTTTAAGGTAAAAACTTGCCGGCTGGCACCATTAAATAATTTTAAAATTTGATTTCTGATTGGCAGCAGATGCAGAAAGCAGCCCATCATCCATGTAAAAAAGCAGTCCACGTTGTGATTTAACTATTCAGAAGAAAAGACCCAAGGACATGAAACCTTCTACCTCCAGATGATCAGGGTCAATCGAAACAGCTAAAGCTCGACTTGATAGCATCATATCCTATCTCTGCATCATTTAGCGCATGCAGCCACCTTTGTTTGTGCCTGCTCCCCAACGTTTGTTGCAGTACGAAGCAGAAGCAGAAAAGTTGATCAAAGCGTAGCTGGTAGCTGCACTATAGATATTTTTTTCCATTTATTTATTCATATGCGGATTATTTACGCCTTGAATTGAGCTCAGTTGATATGTTGCGCTTAATCACTATACTGTTTCTTCTTTTTGTTCTTCTTTTTCTTCTATGATTATCAAACGCCTGATCATCATATCGGCACTTCACAAGCGGAAGACATAAGTTTACTTTAACCATGGAGATATAACACTTTTTTGAAGGGAACAATAAATCATTATCATCTGCGTAAAAAAATCTCAAACTTATGAACGAACTTGTAATATATCGTAGATACCTAGATACAAAGCAAAGTGGCAAGTCTAGTCTAACCAGTGTGCAAAAGCGCCCCTCAAGCTTCCATCACCCACATCCCGGCCCCTTTTGTGGTCCCCTTCGCAATTTACTTCGACGCTTAGTACGTACGTTTATAAATTATAGATCAAGACAACGGATTTAAAAAAATTACCTTATTCTTTTAAACATATATAAGAATGTCATAATCATTCAAAAAAAATTAAGCTGGGATTTCATACTGCTCACGGTTTTGAAGTGTTCTTTTACACAATATTATTTATGAATCTTTTTAAATGTTTTGTTCGAGGTTCTAGTCTAGTTTACAGCGCGCGCATGCGCTGTGTTGTTGATTGAGCCGCCGGTGTTGGATGTAGATTTGGTGCCTGGTGGAGAACTCCAGTGTTTTTTTACATTGGAAAAAGGTGAAAAAGTTTGATCTGATTATCTGTTTAAACGTAATGTAATGATTTTTAAGAATATAACCCATTCTTGTGTATGGTTTTGATTGAATTGATGAAAAGGAGATAGTTTGAAAATTAGTTCCTAATTGAAGGATTGGCTTGTTTCGTTAACATGATTAATGGCCACGCACTCGATCGGCCAGAGTGAAGCGGCCTAGCCCAGGTTGGGGTATGAATCTTGGCGATCGTGAAGTGTAGGACCCCTGTTTTGTGTTGATCAAATTAGAGTCAAAAAGGGAAAATTCGGCTACCCGATCACCACTTACCTGCCGCCAAACATCCAAATTTTCACCTCACCTTGTCATGCTTGTGATTTCAAGTAGGAATCCAGGAAACACATGAAACAGTGGACATGCGAAAAAAATTTAGTAAAAATGTGTTTTAATTTAAGAGGGGTCCTACTAAAGCGCGTCAACAAGCGTCATTAAGCCTCAACGGTCGTCAACGAGCATCAACAAATTTTGTATAGGCTTTTGAACATTAAAAACAGCTTTATATGGTAGAAAATAGCTGGAGTTACCCAGCCCTGAGTTTTATCATTGGGTTGTCATCTAGGGCTGGAGCGTATTTTTCTCGTAACTTAGTATATTCAAAAAATTTTGGAAAATGTTCAATTTTGTCCCCGTTACACACTAATTGCAACTGCAACTCACCCCAAACTTGCCTGGAATAACCATTACACAGGTCCTTGAAGTAACAAAGATCCACGATGAAGATTCAGCCTACAATTGCAGTGAAAACAGGAGGAATAACCGCTAACTTGACAACCTTGCTGGATTGGCCAGGACCGCAATTGGTTTGTGCACACAAAAAAATTGTGTACAATGAATGGCGGTCGATTATATCAGGCACAGAGAGCGATCGCTGTCAACTACTCGTTTTGCCGGCTGCGCTGGCTGTTGGGGCATGACGTCACGCGGAAGCGTAACACCCGATGAATGTTTCATGCACTATCGGTTGCGGTTCCAGTACCAAAGCTGTGATGTGAGTGGTAAACCTTATATTAGTGCATGAAACAGTCATCGGATGTTACGCTTCCGCGTGACGTCATGCGCCAACAGCCAGCGCAGCCGGCAAAACCGAGTAGTTGACAGCGATCGCTCTCTGTGCCTGTTAATCGACCGCCATTCATTGTACACAATTTTTTTTGTGCACAAACCAATTGCGGTCCTGGCCAATCCAGCAAGGTTGTCAAGTTAGCGGTTATTCCTCCTGTTTTCACTGCAATTGTAGGCTGAATCTTCATCGTGTATCTCTTTTTACTTCAAGGACCTGTGTAATGGTTATTCCAGGCAAGTTTGGGGTGAGTTGCAGTTGCAATTAGTGTGTAACGGGGACAAAATTGAACATTTTCCAAAATTTTTTGAATATACTACAAGTTACGAGAAAAATACGCTCCAGCCCTAGATGACAACCCAATGATAAAACTCAAGGCTGGGTAACTCCAGCTAGGTAGAAAAAGTGATTAAGAACATCTTCTGCATTAGCTGGAGTTACCCAGCCCTGAGTTTTATCATTGGGTTGTCTATTAGGGCTGGAGCGAATTTTTCTCGTAACTTGTAGTATAGGCAAATTTTTTGGAAAATGTTCAATTTTGTCCCCGTTACACACTAATTGCAACTGCAACTCACCCCAAACTTGCCTGGAATAACCATTACACAGGTCCTTGAAGTAAAAAACGATCCACGATAAAGATTCAGCCTACAATTGCAGTGAAAACAGGAGGAATAACCGCTAACTTGACAACCTTGCTGGATTGGCCAGGACCGCAATTGGTTTGTGCACACAAAAAATTGTGTACAATGAATGGCGGTCAATTAACAGGCACAGAGAGCGATCGCTGTCAACTACTCGTTTTTGCCGGCTGCGCTGGCTGTTGGCGCATGACGTCACGCGGAAGCGTAACAATGACTGTTTCATGCACTATTGGTTGCGGTTCCAGTACCAAAGCTGTGATGCGAGTGGTAAACCTTATATTAGTGCATGAAACAGTCATCGGGTGTTACGCTTCCGCGTGACGTCATGCGCCAACAGCCAGCGCAGCCGGCAAAAACGAGTAGTTGACAGCGATCGCTCTCTGTGCCTGTTAATCGACCGCCATTCATTGTACACAATTTTTTTTGTGCACAAACCAATTGTGGTCCTGGCCAATCCAGCAAGGTTGTCAAGTTAGCAGTTATTCCTCCTGTTTTCACTGCAATTGTAGGCTGAATCTTCATCGTGGATCGTTTTTTACTTCAAGGACCTGTGTAATGGTTATTCCAGGCAAGTTTGGGGTGAGTTGCAGTTGCAATTAGTGTGTAACGGGGACAAAATTGAACATTTTCCAAAAAATTTTGCCTATACTACAAGTTACGAGAAAAATTCGCTCCAGCCCTAATAGACAACCCAATGATAAAACTCAGGCATGGATAACTCCAGCTACTTCTGCATATCAATTAAACTAAAGTTAAAACTATTTTAAAACTTGGTTTATTGAACGCGAAATGTACGACGATTTTGTCGATAAACGTTGGCTGCCATCTTGTTTTGGATGGCGCTGTAGACTTCGCGCATGCGTAGTATGGCTCTGTTCACTTCACGCATGCATAGTACGGCTAGCTACACATAAACAAGATGGCGGCCAACTTTTATCGACAAATTCGTCGTACATTTCGCGTTCGAAAAACCAAGTTTTAAAATAATTTTAACTTTAATTGATATGCAGAAGATGTTCTTTATTACTTTTTCTACCATATAAAGCTGTTTTTAATGTTCAAAAGCCTATACAAAATTTGTTGAGGCTTGTTGACGCTTGTTGACGCGCTTTAGTAGGACTGTTTTAAGAGCTCATTTTGCATGCACATGTAGTGCAGATCTGAGTTGAAGCAGCCGGTCAAATCTGATTGAAGTGTCTGGAACAGCGGTACGTTATACGCATGACATCGATAACCATGACGTATGTCGCATGAGCCGGCCAATGATAGTGCAATACGTCATTATGAATATTTATTTTCTCATGAATATTTAGTTTATTTCAATGGATACTTCAAATACGTCCAAAGATTGATCATTGCAACAGCGATCGTGCGCGGCCTAGCGGTTAAGAGTCTCGTGTATCAAGCAAGCGTCCGAGGTTCGAATCTCGATGAAGTAAGTGACTGATTGTTAAAAAGAAATTAAGGAAAGGAGAGGGTGAGAGTAGAGGAGGGAAAGTGGAGGGAATAACCATAAAAGATGTAACTTTTGGCTTGGACCCTACTATCGCCCGACCATGTCCAAATGTTAAAAAGCGATCCGTAGAGTCCTAGTTACTCGGACTAGTTCTTGGGTAGACCCTACTCCTAGAACTATGTCTATGAGGCTCCACGTCATAGACAACTTACCCTGCAAAATTGTTTGCCTCTACAAAACACCAACCAAGTACAAAAAAGGTCCATCACAACCAAGCTATTTCCCACAAAACCGCTGCACAGTTTGCCCTAGCCCGACTGCGTCTGGCCGTACAGTACTATCGCAAGCTCTGTAGTACGGCCAGACGCTCAATGCTTCCCCACAGACTGAATTTTTTTTCACTCTGATGTAGCGATTTTGCTACAGATTTTGATCGAGATTATCTTTTCATCCAGGACAAAAATTTCCAAAGTTAAGGTTCTTAGTCTTAGCGCAACTCATACCTTTTCGAAAAAACGTTCTTTGGTCTCAATATTTTCATCCATCTGGCCAAAAGACGACTTTCAGTCATCATCTTCCACAAATATCGTCCCGAAAATGTCCTCCATGCGATTTCAAAATGGCGGCCGCGTTGTAAGGTATGCATTATGCGGGCGCGCTTGGGAAAGATAATGAATATGCATTATTTAGTTCATGAGCTCGTGTTTGTATGGCCAGCAGCGCCGCGCGCCCGACAAACGTCATGAACTATGAGTTGCGCTTAATCAATGACTGTTTCATGTACTGATATGTGTCCCGCACCAAAGACCCACACTGTCAGATGGCGCGGGGCACATATGACTACAGGCAACAGTCGTTGAGTAAGCGCAACTTGTTTTTCTTCAATAATGACGTCACACACGCGTGCGTTTTTCGTGAAATTTCATGTTGAAATGTTGATACGCAAACGTATGCAAACGAATATGGAAATTAAACAAAAAATAGACATCTGAAAAAGGCAGCACTTTCTGATTAGCCTTTAAAGAGGGTGAGTATGCTTTTAAAGCAAAAATAAACTACAAACTAAGCCTAAATGTGAAAATATAAATTTGTTTTACATGTTTTTGTACATGTTCCAAGTGTGGCCTTTATTTACGGAGGTAGTCCAGTAAATTAATTGGCCACATTTATGGGGCTAAAAAAGTTGGGGAAAGAATGTTTCTTTTTTCTTCATACAGGTATATCATTTCAATAAAGGTCAGTCATTGCCAAGATTTTGAAAAGATTCTGGGAGTGGGAGTAGACTGAGAAACGTTTCCAAACTCCCAATTTTGTTAGGAAATGCTTCTGGAAAGAATGTTGCATCCTGACGCCACGTCTTCAGTGGTTGTCTAATTCTACCTCCATCAATGTACCCTAACGTGGCGCGGCCCCTAACGTGGAGCACTTTAATTTTTCGTCTTTGATGCCTTGCTAGAACGATATTTTTACCTTCAATTGATTTCACAGTAAGTGAAATTTCATCAAGCTCTAAAGTTCATTTCCGCGCATAAATCTTGAGTTAAAATTCTTGCTTTAAATTTCTGAGAAGTTTCTTTTTGGTCATGTTGGTGTGATTTTTCGATTGTATTGTGAAGTGCAAAATTAACCCTTTTGGTATGCGCCCAAAAATAAGAAAACAATTTTGGGACAAGCTTGTAGTTGTGTATACGAGTGGAGATATTGATGATTTTCAAGTTTTAACTTTAAAGGAATTCTTAAATGTTCACGTTGCTTTTTCGAGATTTTTTCAAGTGCGCCATGTTAGGGAACACTCGGCCGAGTTTGTGTACAATTTGTGGACACCTTGTTCTTAGATTTTGGACTTAATTTCATGACACTGAAATTGTTCACAAATGTACAACGGCAAGCATTTATAGTAGTTCCAGTATTTAACTGAATGTATTTGAAGTTTTTCAACAAAGAGGTTTGGCAACACTGCATTAGGAAAGTCGGGGTATCCTTGAAGTGCGCTACGGATAATTGTTAGGGCCTAATCGGGATTGTTTTGTTTAAAATAAATAAAGCAAACAAAGGAAGAACTTGTTGAAAGTTGTTGTTTTGTTGACAAAAACACTGCACGTTCTACTTCTTAATTCCAATTGGCCATCGATAAAGTCAGGGAACTGGTTACAAGCGACAATTCACATGCCTCACAGACCTCTTTCAGGAGAATTAAGGAATTGACAACAGTCGACCACGATCTCCACTGGGAAACACACCTACAAGAGTTACAAGTACAGTCAAAGCTGTCAGACATTAACCGGTTGGAGAGTGAATCAAATGCCTGGTAATGAGTGCTATATTCTCTTCCCAGCGGCCAGTTGGACTTCCCGATGAGAGCAGGATGTGACACTCTACCCACACCTGCCAACAAATCGACCCCAAATGTCACCTTTGTCACAAAACCAGGTGTACTCTTGCTCACATTTATAATGAGTGCATGCGAAAAGGCCCTTAACCCTTACCCTACTTGACCCTCCAACGCATGCCAATTGTGCCTCAAGAAAATCTCCTATGTTTTTTGCATGGCCCTCCAATATCTGCCATGTCATTTCAAGGGTAACTGGACAGGCACTCCAATACATGCCACAGAGAACAATGAGAGTCCTCTGATAACAAAGTGAGTGCCCCCAGCTGGTCAGTATCAGGCACCCTCCAGGGCCTCCAACTCCTGCCAATTGGAGCCTTCACTGTTAAGACTTGTTATCTGCCAAATAACTGCAGCTGGAGGGCATTGGCATAACCAACTGACATGCAGTAAACTACCCTCAGAGAGTAAGGGTTAATGTGGGTCATTGTACATGGAGACACAATTAACTGCATCCTCAAATGCCTGTCCAAGTATTTGTTCAACCATGTGGACCAAGAGTCTGTCTTGACAGTCGATCATCCAGGCATGTGCGTGGAATCCAGTACTATTCCTGTCGCAATTTGCACAACCAACCTGCGTCCTGACATCTTCCTGCATGATGGTCACACTAGTGCCGTTGTGGGATAATTGACGTTCCCAAACAACTCCACAGTAAACCTGGGGAATGCCAAAGTCTGCAAGACAACAAAATACCTTTCAGGGTTCCCCCTCCCCCTGTTCCTACGCCTGAGTCCTAGGTCTTCCTCCTTTTTTACCACCGTTACATTTAATTGCAGAATGATCCTCTTTTTTTTTCATAGAGAAGTATTTAAAGGTCTGTTTTCCATCTTCACAGCAACAATGTAAGCGAGGAACCGGACAAAGGTTCTTCACAAACCATTCACTGTGTGCATGCCCAGTGGAAGTGCTGGTACAAGAACAAAAAATCACGGACTGGTTCACGGTCAAATATACACTGCCTTTGGAAAATTTCCCTTCTATGTTCCTACAGACAATTGAAAGAGTTGATAGAATGCCGTTATAATGATTTAGTAATGATTTCTTTTATCGACAGGAGTGCACTATACAGCAACCATGGCAACCCTGAAAGTCAGTAAGTAAACCATGAAATAAGCCCATTAATGGAGAATTGTGTAAGCTGACCCGACAGGCTAATTGGTGTGGTTTCTAACCGTGATAATTAGGACAATCATTCTACGATGAACAGTGAAGGCATGTAGTGATTGTAATTTTTTTTCTGTATGCCAAAGTTTAGAATATCTATAACATTAGATGCAAGAAAATTTAATTGTTAACTGATTTGCATCACCATTGACAAGAATCCAGAGAGGTTACTGCCAGGGGAGCTGAGGGGGGGGGGGGGGGGGGGGGGGCTCCGCACCCCTTGGACCAGCCTCTGATTGAAATTTTCAAAACATCAGGAATTAAGATTTTGGTATATTTTGGTGTGGATTGGCCCATTTATAGAAATTCGAGCCCCATTCAATTTGTATATAATTCTTTATTTATATTATTATTTGATAATTTATCTGACACCAGTCCAGACCAGGCTGAAGTCCATCAAGAATATCCAGAAGATTACCAAGTCCATGAAGATGATAGCAGCAGCCCGTTATGCTAAGGCAGAGAGGGAGCTTAAACCTGCTAGATCCTATGGAGTAGGAGCCACAGGTCAGTAGCATTCAAACAATACAACTACATGCCTCATATTGATGAGAACTAGTCACAGTCAGCCAACACTTAGGTACAAGTCATTTTGTATGTCTGACCCACAATGAACAAAGTTGTAGTTGTTTTAATTAAGCTTAATCTCCTGCCATGAACCTGCATGTATCCACACAAATGTTCTGTCTACAGCTTTATATGAGAAGGCAGACCTTGAACCAGACACTGAGAAGCCTGGACACCTACTGATAGGAATCTCCAGTGACCGTGGGCTGTGTGGTGGTATACACAGCAGCATCACTAAGGCAATCCGGGCCTCGGTCGACCAGAAAGCTGAAGGGATCACTTCAACAGTTGTCTGCGTTGGAGACAAAGTTCGCTCTCAGCTGAACAGGTATTAATAACAGGATTATTATTATAAGATGGAATTGCTTGCATGTGTTTATGTGTCACCTGAGACTGAACGGCTCCATGAAAGGTCCAACTGAAGGGGAGATCATTTGCTAGATGGCCTGAATATTGGCTCTATGTGAGAACTTGGCCCTACTTCATTGCTCAGATTACAGTTAGCGAAAATTCCAGCTTACTGTAGCAGAAACTTCTGGGCTTACGATTACCATATTTCACAGATTCGCAAGGAATTTTGATGTATGCACATGTGTACATCCTGTAATGAAGGATTCTGTGCTTGCAGGTTGAGCACAGAATTCTTTTTGCTTGCACTGTCAGCACAGACTGGTGATCGTAAGCAGAACCATTAAATTGGGTCCTGTCCTATTTTCACGTACAGATGTGACAGTGTAGTAAAATGTAGAACAGGTGCTAATGGGTTGTATTATTGTTATGCCATCAGGACACACAAAGAGAATGTAGCCTTGTCTGTGAATGAGTACGGACGTAAGCCTCCGTCATTTGTCGAAGCGTCCAAGATAGCAGCGGAGATCTTGAACCTTGGCGAATTTGACTCTGGAGAAATCTACTACAATAAATTTAGGCGAGTGTTTAAAAAATTCCATCCTTTTTATTTTCCTTACATAAAATAATTAAGAATCTACTTATACTCCAATGAAGCTTTTCACAAGCTTATTTTCAATACACCATTTGTGTACACTTGTTGATTCATTTTGCTCTCAAAAAACCTTCGGAAGTCTGTTTAAGCCCATTGCTGTAATTTAATTTTGTAGGCCAATTGACTAATTTTCATCGAAAGATTGAGTTGCATGCATTTTACTTAATTTATTATTAATTCATTTTTCATTTGTATGTATAGGACTGTTGTTTCCTATCGCACAAGCACACAGCCTCTGGTGTCGTTTGAGACACTCAAAGGAGCAGGTAAGTTATTATGTGACTTGTGTGATGCAATCTTGCAGTGCTGTCTTGCACCAGGGATTACATTATTAGGGGTGTATTTTCTCGACCAGAAACCAAGTTTATGACATCAAAGGTCCTCAAAAACACCAAAAACTGGAAAATGTTTGAGCTGCTGCGTTTTTAAACGTGGCACGTACAACAGAAGGATGGTTGTTCTTTTTCTTTATTATTATTATTTCTTTATTTATTAATTTCAGGTAATGAAACCAAGGATTCCTCAAAAGCGCCCTAGGCACTGTAGTTCGCAAGCCTGAAGAAACTCATTGGGAAAGATAATGAGAAGAAATTTAAATTCTAGAGGTTGGAGGAAAAACCCAGAATAATATTCTTGGGAAAACTCACGGAATCAGGCAGGGACTAAAAACCCAATCCACATTTTCATGATTCCGTATTTGTTGAGACAACAAAAATATTGTCTACTTGCCTAAATTTAGCCTTTTTACCCCTCAGCCGAGAGGCTCGAGGGGTATTGTCATCGCCTACAGCGTCCGTCCGGACATCCCAGCCAGTTTGACTTCTGGGGTACCTCCATTGTTGTCCCATTGTCCCTATTTTTAAAAATTTCGTTGCGGGGTACCCTTTTTCTAAAGATTAAATTTGCGGGGTACCTCGAACAAAGGATGGGTACCCCACAAGTGGTTCGTGGTAAGCACGTATGTCCGTCTGGCCGTATATCCGTTCTGACCATACCCCCCTTGTGGGGTGATGTTCCTTTCAGAACACATCACCCCACTATTTTCACAATAGAAAAACATCACCCCAGAAGAGAATCTTTAGAAAAAGGGATAATGGGAACACAATGCTATCACCCCACAATTCCATCTGGCTGGAGCGTCCGGCCGTATGTCCGTCCGGGCAGCTTAGTTTCCAGATGATAACTTGAGTAAGAAATGTTGTTTGGGATTGTAACTTCGGTAGGGGGTTGCCCTTAGGAGTAGGCAAAAAAAGTAAATGCATTGAAGAATGTGTTGTCACAACCCTTGGCAAGTTGCCATCACATTGGTATTGTGAGATCATCATTGGTCCTGTCACTTGGGATGTATTCCACTTATATAAATTGAGGAAAACAAAAACACAGTGGAAACAATAAAATGACGTGGTATACTCCGTCAAGACAGATGATGATAAAGTTGAGTAGGGTCACGGAGAGGTCTATTTCAGACATTGCCTGACAGGGTAAGCCTTAAGGATTTTTGTTTGTATAGCAAAACTGCTATGCAAATTTTGATTTGCATAGCAGTTTACCAATTTTGCATAGCAGTTTTGTTGTACTCAAATTTAGCCTCGGCTTTGCAATTACTATTTACCTGTCAGTGTCAGACTGTACAAATTACAAAGCAATAAAGAAGTAACTTACGTTAAGCTGTGAACTTAATGACTCATCAGTTGTCTGTTTATTTCAGGAGCTGCATGCTTGCTGGAATAACTTTCGAGTGAAAAAGCAATTTATTAACCCGGGCCATTCCTGGCCCGGGTCTAGATCCGCCTGCCAATTATTGGCAGTATTTGCCTTGATACCGGTAGTTTTCGTAGTAGCCATGTTTTCATCAATATGCTACACAGCGCACAAACGACAACACAGCTGGGATTTTGACGTTTTAGTTCCCACAAATCCCACGTGCGTATCAAGTGATTTACTTGAAGGGGTAAACCCGTTTTCCGTGTCGGCAAAGTGTTTAAGATAAACCGGCAAATATCTAAAGAATAGTGATGAGAAAAGGGCTCGATTTACCCGGGTGCACGCATGCACCAGTGCATGTAGATTTTAGCTTGTACACGTAGCTTTTTTACTGAGCATGCACGACGTGCATGTAACTTTTTTAGCCACCAAAATACTCATTTCATGCATATATTTACCAGTGAGTGAGAATAAGAATAAAGTTTGGTTGAATACTTGACCAGATAGTGTACAAACATGTTATTTCTTTTATAAATCCATAAATTATTCCTCGCACAGTCGCAGCAGATTCAAAGCTACGAGGTAAAATCTCGACGTACGTCCTGCAACCGCCTCCGATCATGCATGTGATTTACCACGTGATACATGCTGCGGATAATTTGGTATCGCACTGACGCTCCGGGCATTCCTTATGTCCGGATCATAAGTGCGATTCCAAATTATTAGCTGCGTTTATCACGTGGTCTCGTTATTCAGACGCCGCCTGTTTACAAACTAAACACGTACAGATTTTATACAGCTGAGAAAAAATTGACGTTCATTTTCTAAATCAAAACATGATGGATGTTTACCATGTCCGATAGTTGTGGAATTCAGTGGACCGAAATTTGGTGGCAAGTACACTTTGTGTCAACTTTTCATGATCAAAATGTTGTATAGCAGTTTTGCGATGCACTTTAAAAATTGCATCGCAGTCGGCCTCGAATGTGTCGCAAATTGCGATGCGATACCGCTTATTGCGGACCCTGTTGCCTGAGGCGCTATGTAACCATTTGGTGTTGATGCCTTGTTCACTTGTAGTAGTCAAAATGTTGTGTTAAATCAAGGAACATGTAACAAGTATCTTGTTAAATCATGGCATTGTTTTCCACTTGCCTGAATTGGTTAGCAGTGTAAGAAGCAACAAAATCAGAATCTATTATAACCTGTATCCCTTCATGTTTCTACCAATTCCATATCATACTGTCTGCCACTTCAAATTCACTAACAAAAAAGACGGAATATATGTAATTCATGTGCTATAATGTGGTACAAGCTTCATCTTTGTTATGTTTGTAAAAAATTGATGTGACAGTTCTGGACCAGGGAAATTAAATATCCAAGACACAATTTAACATGTAGCTTTGTATGTATGACCCTATCTAACATAACAGTCCCCACTGTAGTTGCATTCCTGTTAATTTGATGTGTTGGAAAATGGTTACAGTGAAAATATTATATGATACTTTCATTGTTTGTAATCCACAGACAAGATGTCCGTTTACGATGATGTGGATGAGGATATCTTGAGAAACTACAATGAGTTTCAGCTGGCTAGCATCCTGTATTACTGCATGATGGAGAGTAACTGTAGCGAGCAGAGCTCACGTATGACTGCTATGGACAGTGCTACCAAGAACGCTGGTAAGTCATGGACATCTTTGGGATTTACTTACCAAGTTGGAACATAGTTCTGGTTTTGTATTCTGTTGACCATTCCGTTTTTGTAATAGTTTGTTTTCATTGCATGCTGCCCATATTTTGCCAACCACCACTGGCAAAAAGAAAGGACTGTAGGATGACATGTCTCATGTTTGTATAATAATAATACCAAAGTCTCATATAGCGCACGTATATCTTCCAACAATTAGGTACTCATGGCGCTGGAAATTATGTCTATTATTAGAGATGGGTAAATGAAGTACATGAGAAATATGAGACCCATTAGGTAGCACCTTTGGGGTTTACAAGGTGCTGTTGCGCATTAAGCAGCCACTGCCAGAAACACCGGGGCAAACCCCTTCTCTTTAATAGCTACAAGTGCAACTGGGTTTCATAATTAATTAACGTGCGTTACACAAAGCATTGGACCTACGGCTTAACGTCCCATCCGAAGGACGAAGCAATAATGGTAAAAGGCCTTGCTCAAGAGCACAAGCACCATGTTCCCACGGTCAGGATTCGAACCCATGTACCACGGCACACGAGTCAAACACCGTAACCATTGGACCACAGCACCCCACAAATAATGTATAATGTGAGAGAGTAGGGATGTAACTAACACCGTGTTTACACTCGATCCGGCAAGGGGGGATCGCATCGCAATAAAACTACAGGGAAGCTGACCGCAAGTAAAATGTGCCGTGTTTACACTCGATCCTGATCCCCCTCCAATCCCCCTTTTACAACAGAAGGAAGGTCATTTAGTGTGCGCAAAAAATGGCCAATTTCGCACGCTAATCACTGTAGAAATTAAGGTTATTGTTCTTCATCGCTCTGATTGCTTGTCTACTGATGATTTACTTAATATTTTACTCAAGGTGGTCCCCCGATTTTTGTCCTAATCGCTAGCTTCATCACGCTCCTAAGTTTCACATATTGTTCACAATAGTCCAAGAATATTGCAGCACCATTAAGTATGGAAGCCATGACTTCCAAACAAAGTTAACTTTTTTTTTCCAGAGCACTTGTTTATACCACTGAGGTAGGAGTTTAGCGGTATTTAACTCTAAGGAATTCTAAAATTTACTGGGGATCTGAAAAGATTTAGAGAAATAAAATCAAGAATCTAAAACAACATAAAATTGGCATACATGTAAACAGGACTAGACTAATGATCGGATTTGGGAACTCGTCGCGGGTAGCGATTTCATGGCGATTGTGTAGTTAAGGGCTCCGTTCCAACGTAAACCGGCTATCCAGGAGTCACCCAACTACTAATAGGTATTTAAAACCAACCAGGGTTGGAAGTTTTAGGGAATCTTTGGGGATAAAATAGCAATGAAGATGACCAAGCGCAACATGAAAAAAATATAAAAAAAAAATTGTTGATGGCGAGCACTGCGGCAATGATGAACCGTGTTGGTATTAACTAAAAAATGCGTAAGAAAATCGTATTTTCTACCTAAGGATAATGTTCAAACTTACAAAAAATGGATTTCAAAGAATATTAAAAAAGCCTGGTTGCAGAAATCATTTTGGAATGACAAAACACTTTATAAGTGAGTTTAAGGACCAAAACGAAAGACGGCCCGTCACTACACAGCCTCCAATTTCATGCACGTGGACAAAACACTGATTGATTCTGGCCAAGTACCAGCCACGCATATGTACTGTGCATAGAACCGTGTTGGGAGCCATCACAGCATACACGTACGTCCCTTGGCGGTTCGGTAAACAAAATTTCGCGGACTTTTCTATGCTGACAGGATGTGGCTAGGTCAAATTGTGGGATCCGATGCACCAATTGCGTTTACACTCAACAACTGGGGGATGGGATCCCTTCGCGAAAGGGGGATTGAGAAAGGGGGATCTGATCCCTCTAAAGTCTTGATCCACCTCGCATTTACACTTATGGTCAAGCAGACTTCGATCCTCCTTGCCGGATCGGATCTCCCTCGGATCCTTCTTGCGGGATCTAGTGTAAACGCGGTGTAACTCAACCTGAACAGCCATCTTGTGGCCTGTCTGAGTCTTAATTGTTGTTTCTTTCCTTCTTTTCAGGTGAAATGATTGACAAGTTGACACTTCAATTCAACCGTACCAGACAAGCTGTCATCACTAGAGAACTGATTGAGATCATTTCTGGTGCCTCTGCTTTGTAATTCACTATTTGCTTAGAGATTTTGAATAGCTTCAAAATGGAAGTGGGAAAACTGTATCTCTGAATGGTATTTAAGGAGAAGTTTTAGGTTTAGGCCTGTAGAAAAACATATTGACAAATTTGATTGAGGATATTGCCCCGTATCACAAATCTTTGAAAACGTCTAAGTTGCACCCAGTGCCATTAAGTTATTTACGGAAACAGCTTTATGTAATTTCCCCCTGGCTAAAACATTCACTGAAGGAGTGTAGAACATCAATACATAGAAAATCATTACATGGCCAGTGATATTAGGAATTGGTATTTTATAATTCACAATGTAGGATTGGAATCTTTTAAAAATCATTCAAAAACACCCATTAGTTTGTTGGACACAGAGGTACAGTGGATCCAAAAACATGAACACTCTGGTGCTACTGAATGGGTTGGTTTTGTTAAATGTGTATGGACAAGATATGGATGAAATCTGGATCTTTTGGGATGTTCCATTGGATAAAGTTGGGATAAAAATCTCAGGATCCTTGTATACATATTTTTTCTTATCTTTTTTTTTTTTAAACATAACCAGAGCACTATTAGCCTTTGGACCACCAGTTTTCCTTGTATGATTTGGAAGTTATTTTAAAAACTTGTCATAATGTTTTGACCCGGGCCCAATTTCATGGCGTTGCTAAGCACACAATTTTCTGCTAATAGAGCCTCCATCTATTTCATGGAGACTGGAAGGAGTAGTAAGCACAGCAAAAGGCATGCTTAACTCGGAGGAAAAAGTTGCTTAAATCTGTGATGTAAAAATAGAAATCTCCATGCGTGCGCAACCGTTAGCACATCCACGCCATGAAATAGTGCTTAAGGTCGACATAATTGTCTGCAATAGTAAGCACAACTTTTCTGCCGTTAAACAGCACTATGAAATTGGGTCCAGGACTTTCATGCCATTGAGTGTACTCAACCGTTCAGACCTAGGCACTCTTGGAATATACTTATCACACAACAAAATTTGATGTATGAAGTTCTGAATACTAAATTTAATACCACAATAAATTGTGAGGGAGCTTTGAGGATTCTAATAAGCACAATCAAACTGGCTTAGGCAAAAGGACTTGTACCTTGGTATTTTATCGAGTTGACGCTTGCTAGAAAAAATTTTATCAGTGAATGTGTACACATGCAGACCCCCTTTGTCAAAAAGCAGATTGGCATATGTCAATTCTAAGCTCATAAAATATTCCCTTGGATTCTCATTCTTGAATTTTAGCCATTGTTGGGAGTACGTTTTGTTTCAGTTGTCTTGAGTTTGATACGTTACGTGTGGATTGATTGCAAAAAATAAACATACAATTTACAAGGTCTGGTTGATAGACCCTTTGAAAAAAAATGTATTTGTTTTGTTTTCATTTTAAGATATTGTGTAATAAACACTTAGCCTTCAGTAAAACTTAAATATATCCCTTCAAGGTATTAAAGAGTTGTATTGGTTTTGGATGCCCATTTGAACGCTGATACAAGATCTCATAAGAATTCCACAGCTGAATTAAATGCTCTTCGTAGATAAATAAGCTCATGCCTAACAAAATCTTGGCTGATCTTAAACTAGAAATCAAGCAAGTTCATACCAATTGCTAATCATTTAAACCAAGCTACAAGGGGTTGGAAAGTATATTTTATAAAGTAAAACGATCACAGTGTTGGGTATTTTTGGTCACACATTTGTGAAATCTTTATTTTTTTTTTTTACACATTGCACAGTAAGCAAGTGAATACAGCAAATCAGAAAATAACTACATATCAGATGTAGCATAGCAAGCCAAGAAAATAAATATTTCATATTGGAAAATATGAAATGTTCTATACAGTAACTACAGACAAGGATCAATTACAAAGAACAAAACTTGTACGTAAACATAAAATGTACAAGCTAACTGTAATGTACATGTACCTAAATAACGAAATACTTTATTACCCCAAAGGTTTGAGACATTCCCAAAACAAAACTTGAGAAACTTACACATGTACACGTATTGTAATGTTATTCAAAAGATAAGAATGGATTAGTGGACGGATGACATTAATTTTTTTTTTTTCAGATCTAGTGCAATTTGAAATATAAAAAGAAAAATATATATTTTGGTTGTAAAATACCGGATTTTGAAAAGAAAAATAATTCTGAATGAAATGAGAGTATATCTTACAAATATTAACAAATGATCAGCTTATAAAGATGGAAGAGCGCAATGATAAGAAAAAGGTGGGTAGTTTATTATTGACAGGTTATTTAAATAGGGCTCAAAATCGTCCCTTTGAGACAACAAAAATAATCAAATTCCTAACCGTGATCTTAAAAAATGTCGTGCTCAATCGTGATCCCATAGCATAGTTCAGCATCTTTCAGCCAAATGAATGATGAAAAAATTTAAGACAAAAATTGAAAAGCAATACAAAGTGAAAACAAGAACGACATAAAAAGTCAAATTCATCTCACAATAAAGAAAAAGTATCTGTGTGTAAAAGCTTACAATCATTTAAACTAATACACATTAAATAATACCCAGAAATATACCAAATGATGAAATGGTGGTAAAATTTGTGATACTTCTCTCCTTGAGTCATCCGATGCCTTGAGGAGTTATAAATACATAGTGAATATAAAATACAAATTATAACACTGAAGGACCGCGACTAAGAACTCCAGACAGTAGATGGGGCTCCATAACCACTGACAAGGGCAACCTCATGTGGGACACACCAGTCTGCACTTGTTTGTGTGCATATGATGCAAAGTACATACGGCTAATTATATTTTGAATGTAAATAAACCATGCACAGACCCATAGCGTCCGCATGATGCACGGAAGTAAGTACATGTAGTTATAGAAACTAGCCTTGGGATTCAACGGCATGATAGCTAGTCAAACATTTTCTTGACTTCTTATCAAATAATCAGTCAATTGTTTTAAATATTTTAAGTACTGTTCTACACTCAAACATAGCTGGTGCAAACTTGTTGTGCAGTAACAAATATACCAGAAACACATTGACGTTAAGCTTTGACGTGGGCTTTGGAAGCCTGGTGGCTCTAGTTCCAATGGCTCCCATAGGAAAGTGCACATGTAAAACAAAGCAATGTGTCATTATGCTTTGGGGCTACAGCTATTCTCCTCTAGTGGAGAAAAAGCAAAAACTGCTGTTGGTTGGGATTAATTTTTAGTATTTTACTGTGCAAGAAATAAATGAAACTAGAGTTTCGCGTTTGTTGAGTTACAAACGCAGAGTGGTCGGGCGGACAGCCTTCTCATCATACACTGCCCAGTTAAGTTAGGAATATATGTAGAAAAAAGGATCACGAAATTAAATCCCTTCAAGTACAATCAATGTTTCAAAAAGGTATCTTTAACGGTGTGATAAACTTCAGTAAACATTCTATGTGCACAAAAAGTTATTTCTAGTTTGATGACGTCATCAGTCAAAAATGGTTAGTGAATACTGATAAAGTTCGGAGAGGATAATTTGTCATTTTAAAATTAAATAACGTATGAAAATATGGGAAATATAATTGTTTGTATTAATATCACCTAACTTCCGGTTTGACGACGTATTTATAACACCTAACTTCCGGTTTGATGACGTCACAGCATTAGAGATCCAAAGGTGAACATTGTAATGGATATCATTATTTGGACTTCGAAGATATGACAGGGATCAAATGATAGAAATAAATTTAAACTTTGATCATTTTCGAATTCTCCTTAAAGTAACTTCCGGTCTGGTGACGTCATGAATTTGAAACCTTGCCACCTTATCTGTGATTAATCAGAGAATGTCAAGGGGCGATTTGGTAAAATTTGGACGGATAGTTTTACAATTACAGAAGGGAAACTATATTTTATGTGCCGATAGGGGGCGCCCTTTCGGATGATGACGTCATCACACTGTTTTTTGCGTCTTGCATTCCTCACTATACACTTTCATAATATATATGTCTCTAGTGAAATGCTTCCGCTTTTGAGTTATATTCAGTTTTTATTGCACTTCCGGTAACACCGGAAGTAAAGGTCAAGCGGTTTTGCATTCGGGAACATGAAATGTTTCTCACGGCATAGTCTACAACCTCACGAAAAAACGAACACGATACTCTATTTAGTTCAAAAGATATAACGCAAACTATTTTGTCAAAGTTTGCCCTTAAATCGCTTGTAATTTGATACCTGATTACGTCATGATGACGTAACAAAATGTACAACACCTTCGTAACATGGTACAAGTTCACACAAGGTTTTGTGATCATACCGTGAACCGTTCGGAAGAAATGCTGCTTTGTTTTGATGTCAGGCTAACGTCTTCATTTTGAATTCACCTAACTTTGACCTTCCGGTAGACCCGGAAGTAAAGGTCAAGCGAGTTCACGTACACTACAAAAACTGTTAAGCGATTAATGGTCTATCTGATTACAGAATACAAACATCATTGATTGTTTAGTTCAAGAGTTATAGGTGAAAGTAATTGGTCACTTTTTCAGATAAAATCACTTGTAATTTGACACCCGATGACGTAATCATGACGTCAGAGTAATATGCACCACTTCGGATGAGGGTCGATATATATTGAAAGTTACAAGTTCATACCATATACCGTTTAAGAGAAAACCCGCGGAGAAGTATTGTCCGGAAAAAAAAAGAAAGAAAGAAAGAAAGAAAGAAAGATTAATCGTAACAGATCCAAAGAGTGGTCGGGTTGTGCCCGACCACTCAATCAGTGCGGTGTAACCCTTGATAACTGCAGGCTTTCCTGCTGGACATGAGACTGATGAGCAGGTTGCAATGGAGTCATGAGCACGCAGGCAGGCACTTTATATGCAGAGCATATATGAGGTTTAGTTATATGCAACGCAGTGAACAGTTATTTATACAGACTAGACACATAGCTGTTCTAGACCAATGAAATTACAGTATCCACGCACACGATATAACAATGTATTTGCTACGGTACATTATATAGTGTAACAACACTAAAGACATCATAATGTGAAATCAAATAGCACTTTGAAATCCTTTTAAAATGAGCACATTTGAACAAATACAATACAAGTTTCCTACCCTTAAGCACGTTTACTAACAAAATTAGGACTTTAAACATGGGACAAGTTCAACACGTACACTGCTTTGTAATATGTTCACAGGTCATTTTTCTGCCAACCAGCGTTTGTATACAGTGAGCGCCATTCTGTTTGGGCTGCCATGAGGGCATACATTCAAGCTATGGTTGGCAACAGAGTTTGCCAAAAATTGCATAAGAAAGAGGCGTTTTATTAAGGCTCATCTTCATGTCACAAGCATTGACATGCGAGTGATAAAAATATAGTCATTTACAGTCATGTGGTTTGTGCTGGAAAACTTTGGTTTAGTTAGTTCCACTGGTTATCAAAAGGTCTTTGGGCAATGCACCCAGAATGATGGCATGTTCTCAGCACTTAACGTCAAAGTAAATATATTTCTACAAATATGCATCACATCAGTGCTGGAGTACTGCTCAGATGGATATTATGTACATGGTATGTTAACGTGTCTTTAAGATTTCACACCTGCACATCAATCATTTTTATACACAATTTTACAAACACACATTTTTTAGTATTTAGAAATGATTCCATTTTTTTCATACCCAACATTGGCTTACAAACTTTAATATTCAGGCCCACATTTAACATTTTCTTTGCAATGCAGCATTAAGAACCGTTCTCCCACAAATTCCTTAATTGTTACAGTTTTCAAGTCTATGCCTCCAAGGCTTTTGTTTGTAATGAGTTTTAAAACCAACTTTAAACCTTGCCATTCCATTTCCAGAAAGGGAAGTCATTCTATTTCCAGTGGCTGGAGTGTATCCTGGATGAAGCTGTGCCCGATCCTGCTGTACTGACTGTGGAGGAGGAGCTTTGAGCTCTTGGAGTTTGACGACTCAAACGACCTAGTCAAAACATAGAAAGCAAATAAACCAGTTTCAGACAAATAGCTACAGCTAATGACAACTTAGACTAAACGAATTATCCAAATATTTTTCCGCTTGACGAGGTAGGCCACCTTGCCCGCTATCCGGTTCGTTAGTGTAAAGTCAGTTCAGTTTTAACCACACCCACTGGCCATTCAGTAGCATTGGAACCACTGGAACCTGAAGCTAATGCAACTCAAGTGTGTATCCAATGTGCGCTAGTAATCAGTGGTGCGCATGCGTGTATGACGTTTTTACTAACGAACCGGATAAAGGCGAGTACCCTACGTGGGGGAGGCGGCTTCATCACCTTGACTGCATCACAGGCAAACGTCTGGTAATGTTACCAGAAACAAAACATTTGCTACTTTTTTGCTTATTTAAATAACTAGACTACTGTGTTTCATTAATTGATGAAAGAATACTGATATATATGTATTTTAAATTCTACTTTAACAATTTAAAACAAACCAATAGTATTGTATGTTAAAATACAAAGCATTGACAGTCTTTCCTCATTCACATTGGACTTCAAATCTGACATTCCATTATCAAATCATTCTAGTGAAGTCTAGTCTTTCAATCCTTGGTAGGTGGTACTTACTTCCAGTGTCACTTGGAGCCAGGCAGGTTTCTATATGGCTTAGAAGCTTGTCCAGATGTAAACCAACAGTCAAGGAAGATTTCAAACATATATAATCGCTGGTACAACTACCCTTCTCAGACAATTTGTATGTGTGTGTAAAATCTCTCGAGTGCAGTTCAGCCTCCATGCATTACCTTTTCCCATATAAATGTATTAGCTTATCCCAGCAGTTGTAACAGACCAGGAACAATGATTCTTACCCTAAGTCTGCAGTCTCTATAGTGACCTTACATTGGTATTTGCTGCATGGTCAAACTGGTCTGATGAGATTGTTTTAGTCCAATTTTTTTAATACATTTTTACAAAGTATATAAAGGATATCATCATCAGTAAACTGAGTCTGGTCTGCTGGACGGATCGGCTCTGGAGCACGCTCCTTGGGTTTCTTTTTACCAATCTGTGCTGGAGGGGGAGGCCTACATGAGGCTGGTAGTGTCCCTGTTATCAAACCTGTGGGGAACTTCTGAGCAGCCAATTTCAAACCTGGAGAAGAGAGGTTCATTCAATTAATAATTGATGAGATGGCAACCACTGGACTATCTGGGCCCAACGATATAGGGCAGCCTATCACAATGGATTCTTCTATAGCTGCTGAATTCAAATCTGGTTAGGAAAGTAAGATTTACATAAAAGGTAGCATGGATTGAGTAAATTGTGGTGGGGGTGGCATTTGGGTAACAGGTAGGAAGAAGATTGCCTCTTCAAAAAGCATAGCAGTAAACAAAAATTTTGCACATATTTTTCTTGGCAAAAAGATAACATGCAAGATTGTTTCAACCTTCAAACAAGGGATATTAGGCACATTTTGGAAGACATTCTCCTTAACTGTCAGTATGTTATCATTAGAAAAATCCCACATCTAAAGCAAAGTCAAATCTACTCTATGACTGTTGAGTATGCTAGAAATTACCTCCAGACAGAAGGAAAGTATTGTTGAAATCCCTCTCAACGAATGTGGTTGCTGCATTTGGACCAATCCTCTCATCTTCATCATATAGGACAATGATCTTGCCTGGCTTGTTCTTCTGAAATATCACGCCTAGTTAAGGACATAATCTAAACCAGCGTACTGTCAATGCCTAACTTTGTCAACCCTAACAGTCTTGAATTCTCCACTGTTAATATGATCTTTTTCACACACCCTAGGGAGTTAAGGTTAATCAAGTTTTTTTGTACAATTGGAATTAAAAATTAGTCAGCATTGAAGATCATTGGAAATTCAGGCTAGTTCTCAATGAATAGTAAAGGATCTGAACAGTTACTTAGGCAGAAGGAACTGTGATAATTCTAAAATGACCTGCAAAATAAAAACAAAAGAACAAATCCAACACTTGGCAAGTTGTTAATGTGGGGAAATCGATTATTAATGTTATACCTGCTGCGTCCCAGAGGGCGCCCTTCCTTACGACCACTGTTCGTTGCTATGCATGCACAGCACAATGCATGAAATCATGACGAGTTGGAAGCAAGATCTCCTGGGTAAATATTTCGTTTTTTCCCATCTTTTGGGTTGGTTAACAATTAGTAAGGGCAATCATTAATGAATGTAGGATACCTAGAAGTCACTGTGTATATGCATGGAGAAATAAAACACATTTCTGCATGGTATATGTAGTGTGGCTGTGGGGCCTAATGTGTGCTGCTAGTTTTATGCTATGCACGTGAGAGATACGTATTGTGTGTGTCTCAAGTTGACCTGTGACCTTGTTTCCATAACGACCGGGCCTTCGCCGTCTGTCGTACGGTGCAAGGGCAATACATGTATTTACACTTACAGTTGACACCGTCATTCAAAAGGGAGATAATTAATATACATGTGCAAAGCATTAATGCCGAGTTTGAATATTATATCCTCTCCTATCCTATCCATGTGTAAATGTTATTATTTCAATACAGGGTTTATATAGACAGTGACCACTGCACTGTACATGTTATAAACATGCTATAAGACTCGAGGCAGAAGCCGAGAAGTTGTTTCCTTACCTGGCGTTGGGTAAGTGAATGAACAAACTCTATTTTATTTTTGGTAATGTAATTGTATTAGAACTTTAACATGTACATGTACACAGATGTAATTACATCTCCAACTCTTGCCTTTATTTTTGTACTTTTATTAGGTGTATTGGTTTTGTAAGAATTTACTGTTTTTGTTCTTCTCAGCATATTCTCAGCAAATCCTTCTCCAGCACTGTTTGGAAAAATGGAAACATATATGAACTTTATTTGTCAATACATGAATGCCCAATCCACCGCAGATGTGGTTTTTTGCAATTACGTCATCATGACGTCATCATGGGTCACGTGATGTCACTTGAAAGTTTAATAAATTTAATCTTTGAAATTCCATATAAAATCAACTGTGAGAGACCGGAACCTGAAATTTGCGGGAATCGACATGGTAATACATGATCTTCATTTTATCCTGTGCACGTAAAATCACGTGGCCCTTCCTTCCGGTCGAAACCGGAAGTGCCTAATAATTTAAAAGTGGAAAAAGATATGAACTTGCTTTTAACGATTTAAGTGTCTGCCTGGATTGATCTTTCAAAAAAAATAATGGGTGATGCCATGAAGTGTTGGAGCGCCCTCTAGCGGCAGGTTAAAAAACGTCAAAAACGCATTTTCACTTGATGTCTGTGGCGAAGTTTGCGGTAATCGCTTCAAAATTAATGTACATGATGACCATAGTGCAGACAACACCTGTGCGCAAAAAAAAAAAATGATTACGTCAACAGACCGGAAGTTACAATAAAAAGACCTTTAAACCTTAAAAAATTGCTAGAAAATATACCGTGATAGATATAATCAAGATTAGGCTGTATACAGCACAGTAAATATAGCTCTTGAGGTTTCTGGTAATGACGTCACAATGACGTGATCAAGTGTCATATTACAAGCAATCAAAGATTTCTAGATTTAATCTTTGAAAATCAATATAAAATCAACTGCTACAGATTTGATTTTGTTCTTTATGGCAATCGATACAATATTGCAGGGTCTTCATTTTTGGTTTTAAGTGCAAAATCACGTGACCCTTCCTTCCGGTCGAAACCGGAAGTGCCTTATTATTTGAAATTGGCAGAAGATGCGAACTTGCTTTCAACGATGTGAGTGTCTGCCTAGGCAGTACTGTACAAACATATTACAGGTGATGCATCAAATGTTAGAGTGCCCTCTAGCGGCAGTTTAAAAAATGTCAAAAACGCATTATCACTTGATGTATGTGGCGAAATTTGCGGTAATCGCTTCAAACCTAACATACATGATGAACTTAATGTAGAAAAGACCTGTGCGCGAAAAAAAATGGATGACGTCATCAGACCGGAAGTTATAAAGAAAAGACCTTTAAACCTTAAACAATTGCTAAAAAATCAACCGTGAGAGATATAATCAAGATGTGGCTATATATAGCAGAGTAAATATAGCTCTGGAGGTTTCTGGCGATGACGTCACAATGACGTCATCAAGTGTCATATTACAAGCAAATAAATATTTCCATATTTAATCTTTGAAAATCAATATAAAATCAACTGCTACAGATTTGATTTTGTTTTTTATGGCAATCGATAAAATATTGCAGGGTCTTCATTTTTGGTTTTAAGTGCAAAATCACGTGACCCTTCCTTCCGGTCAAAACCGGAAGTGCCTTATTAATTGAAATTGGCAGAAGATGCGAACTTGCTTTCAACGATTCGAGTGTCTGCCTAGGCAGCACTGTACAAAAATTTTACAGGTGACGCCATCAAATGTTAGAGCACCCTCTGGCGGCATGTTGAAAAGTCAAACATGGATTTAAACATGCATATTTTGAGTTGATGTGTGTGGCAAAGTTTGCGGTAATCCATGGCCCAACACCGTGTGGTTGTTCCTTCATCCTCTAGTTAGGTTTGTTTTTTTCTTTGTATCTTGGTTGTATGGAGACTTGATCTACTGACCATAATTAAACCACGTACTGTTGAAGAAAACCCAAGCGAGTGTCAATTACTGGTTCGTCCTCGAAGAAGCAATTCTTCACCCGTGCATGGTGATGAGCTACCGTAGTCACCCCCTCCCAGGGCTCGCACATCGCAGTTCCTTACATTAATAATCTTGGCCTGAGACTGTCTCCTGTAATCAACAGACTAATGTAAAGATTTTATGGCTTCAAACTGATGATTCTTTAGTGCTATTTAAACTTCATTTGAAACTAAATTGGTGACATTAATAGCAAATATCAAGAATAAGTTGAATGCAAACAAACCTTTCAAATAAGCTTAATATTCACATTATGGATCACACCTTGCACCCAGGTACACGCAATTAAGAAAATACTCTCCATTCAATACAAAGGATACATAAGCAAGTATGTCTTTGGTGAAATTGTTGAGGGTTCTTGACAACATTGCAGTTGGATAATTCTTTGCTGTTAAAGAAAAACACAACACAATTAGATTAACAGGTCTATTTACATTCTGTATTCAAACAATTTCTATTTGTAATTTCTTATTTTTTTTATATTGACGCTTTGGTGGACAGGGCGTCGCTAACAATTGCCCAAGAAGTGTTATAATCTGTGCATCTAACACAAATATTATGTGCACCAAAGGGATAATATATGAATATATCTATTAAAAACTGTACCTTTTACTATGTTCCCCTGAGGGTTGGATTGGTATGATTGCAATACAGAATACTTGAATTCTGGCCAGTTTTGTCTCCAAGAAACTTGAGCATTTGCTCATTTATCAGGGAAAGAGTAATTAAAATCTTCTTATCATCTTATGCTAGGTTGGACTAAACATGCCAACAAACATAAATACAATATTAGGTCTAAGCTGAATACCGGTTATAAAGTGGCACTGTTCATATGCATCCGAGTCTCTCAGATCTAGAAGCAAGTAAGGGCAATCAGCCTCCTCTGGAATAGGAACAGCCGGCGTAGCTGGAATGGAGTTGTTTTCCATGTCAATTTCTCCGATACCTTTGATCACACTGTATGGATGAGAGTGTTTCATTAGATTGGCATTCACTTGATGAAAAATGGCACAAAATATTGATCTCAAGAAAGAGGCAGAATATCACAATTTTACGGATTTCCATTTTATATGCTGGATAGAATCTCCCCCAGACCTCGTGTTTGAGTTGGTCAAAGTCTGTGCTGTAATTGAGTAAAAACTGGAGTCTCCAGTCACTTGGGTTGAGTATTGAGTCATTTGGTTTAAGTGCGAGTCTGAGCAATGAGTCATAGACTACGTAGTGCAAAGGGTCAAATAAAATATCAAAATGTCACGCAAACAATGATGGACAAACAACATTTCTGCGAGTTAAATTCACATGACTTGATCTCTCTTTTCTGTGTATGTATTGCCATTTGAATGTATCAATTTCATGGTCTTACCACTCATACTTGAAGCGATACAGCATTTGCCAAATTGGTTGCCCGTATACATGGTAGTCAACACACGCTGATACTGCGTGATGGATACCGTGTTAGCCAGTTTCCCTTCGTGACCAGCGTTTTGCATAATGGTGTACAACTTAAAAATTCCCCATTATTTTAAAGTATCATCGACCTAGAATAGTTTCCCCTTTAATTAAGGCACATTTTTATCATTTTTGGGGGCCAGTTTTGATAGTTTTTGTGGTGCAAATAAAAATTATTTGAGCCAAATATACGCATATGGTGTCAATACATGAAGACGTATGACTAGGTAGCAAAAAGAAGAGGGAACTGCACATTGTACTTGACGTGGATCTGCTTATCAGTTTTCAACAATTAGAAAAATTAGGAGAAAGGTGATGAATGGATGATCCGAGTAACACTGAGATGTGCACTTTAATACCAAATTCATTAACATAGTTTCACATTGGAAGTCTACATAGAATCCTGTGAACACAAAGCTGATTATCCTCTAGCCTTATGCCCTCATTCCCTAACAACCTACCTCTGTAATGTTGAGCGAGATGTAGATACCTCAGCGTCTTCTCCAAAGTCTCCTTCCGTCAGTGCTATTGAAGGGACTGGACTACTGCCATCCCCACCCCCTCCATTCTGCCCCTCCTTCAATTGGACCAATTCCCTGTCCGATGCTTGAGACTCTGTTAGGCACAAAACAAATTCCATGTCATGTTATCTGTGTGGTGTGGATTTTTGTTGTTAAGTTCTAGGATTGTTTGGATGTGGGTCTTTCCTGAAGTTGGGATGCTCTTATACGATTTTATCACTTTTTCAGATTAGGTATACAGGGTCACTAAGTAAACTATTAAAATTGTTGCCAATTTTGATTGTGACTCCTCAATTTGTTTCAGAAAGTTTCAGAGCATTTGGAAGTTTTTTCAACATGATATTTTTTTAATGTGAAGTCTTACTGCCTATCAAAAGAAGTCTGTAAATTTTACCAAATTAAAAAAAGGTGTAACATTTAGCATCAACCAGCAGATTTCTATGATGAATAGCACCAGGTCTTTAATTCAAATTTCCAAAATGCAACTGGAATTAAACCAAAAGTAAAAACAAGTGAACCGCGGATCACATGTCATCTTTTTCTGCTGATCTCTATATGCTTTGTATTCTTTAAAAAAAAAAGTCAAATTTTGTGCATTTTTAAACAACCTCAATTGACCCCCAAATGACCTTTGACCTCCAATTTCGGAAGACTTACGATGAATCCCCACCCAAGTTTCATCAAAATCCATTAAATCATGTAGAAGTTATAAATTATTTACCAAACTTTAACATACAGGTCTATGGACATACAGAATTTGGACAAGTTTGTGTCTCCCAAAACTTCGTTTGGGCGACATAAAACAACAGTTCAACAGAATTACTATTCAACGGTAAAATCTGGACTTTCCCGTTTCACTCGGCGAAGAAAGGTCCAGATTTTACCTTGCGATAATATTCCTCTCATTCCACTCTGAGCCACTCAATATTTGTCTACTATTGGCTACCAAGTGAAAAAAAATGGCCGAAGGGAGGTGTCCTTAGGATTTTTCTTTTTATTTTAATTGGGAAAACAAAATGGCTGGGATTCCTCGAGTTAAATTGCACAGGTATCTTCAAAACAATGCATATTTGTTGACAAAATCGATACAAAAAGACAAAATATTACATTTTGGTAAACAATATGAATGCCATGTTTAAAAAAATACTTTAAAACGCATATATTGCCTTTTCTGATCACAAAATAGAAGGAACCATTAAAATGCAAAACTATTTTACTAATTTTAAGATGTTTCTAAATCAATACAATGCCCAACTCAGACCCAGAAAATCACTTCCTTGAAGCTGTAAACACTAACTCATCATACCAAGATATCGATCCTCCTCTTCTTGTTTCTGGTAGGCCTGAACTTGTAATACCTGGGCAGAAAAGTTTGACAACACAACTGGTTTTGATTTCTTCCAGTTATGTTGTGAATAAAAAAGCTCCACTATGGGCAGACATGTTTCTAAACAGATATTGATGAGGGCAAAAAAAAAAATTCTTTTTGCCAACACACATGGCTACGGCCCATCCAATCATGGGAAATAAAAGGAAATGTTAATAGGAAAGAATATATTACAATTTACAACATATTAAAAATAGTGTGAATTGACGACTGTTATAAAATAGAAACTGTTAGCCTCAACTTCCGTTCAAACAATCACGCAAATTGCAATTGCGTAAATTCAAACATTCTGTGACCAGACTAGCCAGTGTTTGGTACCAAGACAGTCACACACAAAAGTGAACATGGACTGGTGAGACTTGGTAAGTCTTGTACACTCTACTCATAGTCATATCTAGTCATATCTTACCAACTGTACAAATGTTGTCACTTTCATCCGCTTGAAAATCTCATCCTTCTTGTACCTGTAATCTAAGTGTTTAACATGATACACAAAATGCCTTTTATATTACAATGGAATACATATAATGTAAATTAATTTCAACTTTTAAATATATAAAAGTATAATCTAACTGATGTATGGTGGTTTGTAATATTTCAGGATTGAGACAATTTTGCAGCAACATCCTCCATGACCTCTGCTAATCTGCACATTGGATTGATTACATTTTTTAATTGCTTTTGATAAATTGACAACTTACTCTTCCTGATCTCCTCAATCTTGGCCATATATTTGGACATGCTAGCACCTGTGTAAAAAATAAATTATATGAATGCTTTAATACTAAAACTATTCTTTAAAAACTGGGCGTTTTTGTGTTATTCCTGTATTATGTGTGCGAGAAAAAAATTTCGGGGTCCACTTTTGCGACCCCAAGTATTTGAGCTGTTTGGATGCTAGTTGTCATTTCATCCGTAAAATGTTCCCTTTTTGCGGACGTTGAAGAAAATTTAATTTGTGCATTGGTGATAGGTCACCACTGTTCCCGAGACACACAACGTACTAAGTACAAAAACGTCCATCAAAACACAGACATTTTCCACAGAACCGCTGCACAGGTTGCCCCTAAACTCCGTACTATACCTCTTGACTTGTTGGTTTTTAGGCCAAAATAATGAAAAATATGCCCTTTCCGCACTGAACCAACCTGACACTTGAAACGTGCACGCATATATGAATCATGATCGATCCATGATTTTCGATTCGCTTGGCGCGCACCGCGGGGGTACAGTACTTGCACTTGTACGTATGCCCATACTATCATTTCACTTGTGCCGTAACCCCGCAGCACTGAACGAACCGAAAATCATCGATCGATCATTATCTGCGTGCACGTTTCAATTTTTTAGGATGGCTCAGTGCGGAAAGGGCATATTTTTCATCATTTTGTCTAGTCCAAGTAACTTGGACCCAATTTATCGCCTTTTTAACATTCGGACATGGTCTGGCAATAGTAGGGTCCAAGCTTATGCTTATATGCCGAGCAACACAATTTTGTCCTTGACCCCAAAACCCAACATTGCCCAACAAAAACATCAGATTCCACCCTCAAAATGGCCTACAAATTACTAGATACGCCACCTGAGGTACAAGCAGACATTGATGATTAAGATTAAGGTTGTACTGAAGTTTACTTACGATCCGGATGAAAAGTGAAATTTCCCGTTCAATTCCGAGAGCTCCCCTTGCGATCGTGAACACGTTAAATTTCCCGACTCTGTTTATGTTTGAACGACGCAATGTGGTCCTCATGCCCAGCGTACATTCGATGGTCCCCGTATCCCAAGTGCGATTCCATTGCCGAGCGCGCGCGATGCATCGATTATGACAATGAGTAGACTGGATCACGTGTGTAAACACAAGTGCATTTCGAACGATAAAAGAGAGTCGGGAACTAGCTTGAACTGGTTTCCGTCCACAAAATCTGCCCTAGTTGGCAAAGCGCAATGCGGCTGTTGCCTGTCATTCCAAAATCATTGGCGCTCTGTGAAGTGCCCGGATGCAATACGCGACCGCGGATGAAGAGCGCACACAAGAGGGCGCGCTTCATTGCAGAGGGCTTCAAAGATTTTGGAATGACAGGCAACAGCCGTGTTGCGCTTTGCCAAAGTTGACGCACGCAGACAGTAGATGATTAAAGCTCTTGTTTGGTTCCCCGACCCAGAGTTGTAACGAGTCACTGATTTTTGTGACTCGAGTCGAGTCGAGTCATTTTAAAGAAGTGACTCGAGTCGAGTCGAGTCATTAGGTCAACAAGGTCGAGTCGAGTCGAGTCGAGTCACAGAGTGTGGTCGAGTCGAGTCGAGTCGAGTCAAGTATTTAGCTCGAGTCAATTCGAGTCACAAATATTTGAACACTAAATTACAATAAAAAGCAACAAACACAAGAGAGAAAGAATACAAGGCACCAGTCTATTACGGAAATCCAAAGACATAAAGTATGCTGTATGGTACCCAATCAACAGTTTCCATTGCTAGCTCACGTCACAGATAAGAAGATGTGAAACTTCGGTCTTATAACTAGTTTGGGTTTGGGTCTAGATTTTGTTGTTCGCTGATCGCTGACAACGTTAAAACCTAATTGCATGATACAAAACTGTTTCTGATTATTTAAAGGTGGGCCCGTCCGTATCCATTTTTGTGTGTGAAATCGGGACATGAATTTAGCCAGCGTTCCACCAAGAACTTCAAAATCGCCCGAAACCAATGATGAAACCACGGATTGAGAAATGCGTTTTAAGTCTGGTTCTGGGTTTAGCATTACATGCTATAGAACCACAAGGTGGGAGTCTGCGACACGGTGTATGTTTGTTGTTTCATTATGGAGGAAGGAAACAGACTGCCGCTGTATATAAACGTACATTATTCGCGAACATTAACGTGACGTGAACAAAAACTGGCAACGCGAACGGCGCAGCGTAAGTCATTGCAAATATTTTTCGCAAGTAAGTTTTGCTTTTATTTTGGGACTCGAGTCTTATTAGCCTTCCTCGAGTCGAGTCGAGTCATTCTGATGAGGGACTCGAGTCGAGTCGAGTCATTTGCTCGCAGTGACTCGAGTCGAGTCGAGTCATTTACCCGTCGGGACTCGAGTCGAGTCGAGTCGCCAAAAAATGTGACTCGAGTCGGACTCGAGTCGAGTCATTGACTCGAATCATTACAACTCTGCCCCGACCCCTTTGGCCTCTTGACTATTATTAGGGTGGCCGGGAAACAGTCTGATATTTATCAGAGACGCCATGCTTGCTCAAAACCGTCCGCATTCTTTGACGAATTACCATGATTTTTGGATAACTAGACCTCTGAAGGTACCGAATTTAACGATTTTGTGCTATTTAGCAGTCATACTATAGCTGGGTTGATTTTCTGCTAACAAAATAATTTTGATCTTTAATTAACTTTTGGCTCCCGTAGCAACGGGACGCTCCGCTCACAGGCCGTACGTGGCTTTGTGACTGATATACGGAGGTAGTCCAGTATTTCAGTCACATTTATGGGACTATGCCAGACCATGTCCGAATGTTAAAAAGGCGATAAGTTGGGTCCAATTACTCGGACTACATTTTGGCCTAAAAACCGACAGAATCCACAGATGTTTGTTTAGGCACAACTTACGTGAGTATGTCAAGACTGAAGAGGTATAGTACGGAGTTAAGGGGCAAACTGTGCAGCAGTTCTGTGGGAAATGGCTGTGTTTTGATGGACGTTTTTGTACTAATACAGTTGGTGTTTTGTAGATCCAAACAATTTTGCGGGGTTCTCCGTCTATGAGGCTCCGCTCCGCAGAGTATCATAGTTCTAGGAGTATATATCATACACTGAGATAGACCCGTGAACGTGGCTTGTAAACTACGCCACGCTGTTGTCTATTTTGGAACCTGGCGAACGTGTCCCTCTGACTCCCTCCGTTACACACACTGGACGTTATTTTGCCCATGTAATAAGTACTCACATATGAAGCTGTCTTGAATTCTATTTGTACGTCAAAACTTGCATTTGACGAAAATTGAGGAAAATTCTGGCCCCGGTTCATGAAGTCCGTCCGCTACTGCTAGCTGCCATTTTCTCCCAACTGACGCATGCGCATTGCGTTTTATTTTCGTATGAGTCGACGGCTGTTTACTGTCGCAGCTAAAACAGACATCGTTTTAGACAAGTTTCAAGTCCTTTCCTCTCTCACCGCACTGCACGCGGTCGCACGTGCGCCCGCGTGTGTGTGCACACACGTACTGTACACGAGATGAGCCGAGCAGCCAATCGTCTGCGGGGTTTTTTTTCGGGGTTGCGACATGAAACAGCCGTCAATCTGTCCAAGCGACTCAGACGCGTCCGGGGTTATTTGTCAGGGTCAGGTTAAAATCTAATTTCTACACGTTCGTATGGGTCTTTACTGATGGGCAAATTTCGTCGAAATTACACAGCCTAAACAATCGGACGGGCAAATTTAGATTTCTAGGGGAGTACTCAACACCCATACGGAATTATGTATGTCGGATCGATTTCGCCAGGTTCGAAATGAAACAAGAACGTGGCGTTGTATACAACGCCACGTTCACGGGTCTAACACTGAGAAGGATAGGAAAACGTATTCGTACTCCGTCGTGTCCGATGTAAACAACCGGGGTTTTTTTCGTCTTTTCTCGGGAACGGTAAGATATTGTAGGTTGGTTTCCTTTCAACCAGATGTTTGAAATAGGATAAGTAAACAATACAAAACATGAAATTTTCGGGGATTTCAGGACCTAGTGCCACTTTAAGAATAACAACAAACGGAGGTGTCCTCAACTACACAAACTCTCACAGCAGCGTACCCACCTGTGTCCAATGTTGATTTGACATCTTTGTACCTCGGGTTTTCGGGAATCTTCTTGTTCAGTATCTGACCGAAAAGAAAGCATGAAAACATCTTAGAAAACACAAATGATTCAACTTTAAACATAAGGTTCATTAAATCTTAATGATCAGGAGGGATTTGTTGTAAATCGTAACTTACATCTGCCGTTGTCGACCGAGCATTTCGGCTTCTCGCAGACATGTTGTGCTTGACAACCCAAATTTCGCCAAGTGTGCTGCCTGTCTGTACTGTAGCGCAGCGCAGCGCTAAACAAATGACTGGTACCCAGTAATCTCCAGCTCCTATGATGTCAACAGGACATAAATTGTCACCAGCTAAAACTATCGGATTGATAGACTGGCACCCCTGTCAACTGTCATCACAAAATACACTTTAATGAATGAGAAATTCCATTAATGAAAAGGGCTCGAGACAGTATCTATTGCCTTTTCGGATTTTCCGCGTAAAACATGATGGATTGATTGACACTAGCACTTACCACGTCGCTGGATCTTTGCTTACCACATGCACACATACCGGTACCCCATGTCACCCATGCAACAGCCGCGCCGCCGGCCGACCGACCATCGCATCGTCACTGCGCCAATCGACGAAAAGTTATTAGCTCCGCAGAAATAGGTACATTGTCTTGACAGGTTCACTGATCTTGTTTGAAATCATCGAAGTTAAAAGAGAACATGATGATGCAGGCTGCACAGCTCAGACAGCCGGGCCAATGCAAAACTTTGGCGAGGCAGCTGGCGAGTGGCGAGTGTGCTGTGCACGGTGGATGGGGGCGTGGCGCTTTTTGGACTCATGGACTATTGTAGCCCGACTGCGTCTGGCCGTACAGTACTATCGCAAGCTCTGTAGTACGGCCAGACGCTGAATGCTTCCAAAAAGACTGAATTTTTTTGGCCGCTGATGTAGCGATTTTGCTACATCTTTTGATCGAGATTATCTTTTCATCCAGGACAAACATTTCCACAGTTAAGGTTCTTAATCGTAGAGCAACTCATACCTTTTCGAAAAAACGTTCTTTGGTCTCAATATTTTCATTCATCTGGCCAAAAGACGACTTTCAGTTATCATCTTCCACAAATATCGTCCCAAAAATGCTCCCCCATGCGATTTCAAAATGGCGGCCGCGCTGTAACTCATGAATATGCATGAAAAGTCTGTGACGTATGACCTCGTGTTTTTGGACGTGCGTGCGGCGGCGCCGTACGTGCATGTACGTACATGTACATGTACATTACTTGTAGACAACAGCCCAGTACGTGCATGCACACGTACGTCTGCGCGGCGGTGTGCATGCACGTACTGGGCTGTTGTCCAAAAACACGAAGTCATACGTCACAGACTTTTCATGCATATTCATGAGTTACAGCGCGGCCGCCATTTTGAAATCGCATGGGGGAGCATTTTCGGGACGATATTTGTGGAAGATGATGACTGAAAGTCGTCTTTCGGCCGGATGAATGAAAATATTGAGACCAAAGAACGTTTTTTTCGAAAAGGTATGAGTTGCTCTACGACTACGAACCTTAACTGTGGAAATGTTTGTCCTGGATGAAAAGATAATCTCGATCAAAAGATGTAGCAAAATCGCTACATCAGCGGCCAAAAAAATTCAGTCTTTTTGGAAGCATTCAGCGTCTGGCCGTACTACAGAGCTTGCGATAGTACTGTACGGCCAGACGCAGTCGGGCTAGGACTATTGCGGCACTATTTTTGTCTGCCAGTGGAAAAGAAAGTGTTCTACAATAAAGCAAATATATTATGGAATAAGATCTCTTAGCTTGAGGAACTCCAGCTCAATTAGACATGATGAGCATTGCCATGGTGCATAGAGTCTTAATTAGTTAATATCTGATTCTTACTGTATAATTCCATAATATTTACTTTTGTATTATGTACACTTTCTTTTCCACATCAGGCTGACAAAAATAAGATTAAGAACATCATACTTATAATCAAAGACCTACATATAGTGTCATTTATGACATGGTCATGATAATTATTTTTTTTAACCCATACATAGGCATAGCATCAACCCTAAAGACCCAAATTTTTGTTTCTTGTCACTTTTTTAACTGTAATTTTTTAAATACTATTACACCACAAACTTACTTTGTTTGCAGCATATACGGACCCACGATTTGTGATTAAATAAGCAAATGATCGGATCTCCCCCCTCCCCCAAGCAGTTGAAAATACCCCCTCTTACCCCACTACTAAAGAAGTATTTAGGCTATCCAGATGCCACTCTATCCAGACACCACTCTTTCGGTCTTCGGCTGTGTACAACTACAAAGTCTATAGAGTTGAGTGCATTTTCAAAGTATTTTCTAACCAAATTGGAAATGTTTCTTAGTTCCAGATTCCTGCCTGTTTTATTATTTTTGCAATGACTGACCTTCATTGAAATAATATATGAAGAAAAAAGTGGCATCTGGATGCAAGATTATTTCTGAAACTAGTTTCTCAAGAAATGGAGACATGCACAGCTCTTGCCAAATTCCTCGGCCATTGGTCCAGGGCAGTCCATAGACTTAGTTCGATTAAGTTGGGCCGACCCAACTGGAACACTTCACAAAGTTGGGTAAAGTTGGGACCGATGGTATAGTTAGGGCATAACAATCCAAGTTGAACTATCTATTGAGGGATGCCAATTAAATAATATAAATATTTATAAGTGAAACCATTGTACTTAGCATTGATACTATACTTGTGCTGTTGTGCATCAATGAAGCCAGCCCAAAAAGTAAGTTTTTATATTGTGCGTTTGTGCTACATATTTTGACACAGAGAGACACGGTGATTTAAAGCAGCTTCATAATTTGTTTGGTTGTTTGGACCATTTGCTGAGGTACAGTGATAAGTTCAACTTCTCATTCCTTTTACCTCATTCACGAATCACGATCAAACTTAAGTAAGGAAAGTGTGGTCATATTCAATCTTTTTCAAGTCATTTGGTGGGTGGCCATCAGTTTCCCAATGGTTCATGTGACAAGAATATTGGATGACAATGAAATAACTTCTATCCTATTATTACTAGTGCTTTTATATTATAAACCCAGGCCGCAACCTGTGCCTAGGCTGAACGATAGATGAGTTCATTGTGAGATTGTATCAGTGTAACTGTGTTTCTCTTCGGTTATCAGTGGAGAGGCTGTCATGAAGTGTGAAACTTACCTGCCTGGACATAATTAATGTCATTTTTGTTTTATTTTTTTTTTACAGACGACTGTTCGCACACACCTCAGCAGTATGCCAAGTTTAAAATCGGTGGCTGTGCTGATAGCTTTAGTTGCAATATATTGCAACTGGCCACAGCCTCCATTGTCAGACAGACTTCAAAAGTGGAAGAGTTCAGGGAAAAACTTTAAGTTCAAGGATTTCAATATTTTTTACAAAGGTAACTTTAACGGTGTTATCTATATTTTGAGTTTCAAATTTGTTTTTAGGTATTTTTTTCTATCAATAAAAGTGTTACGTCACTTTTAAATTAGATATCAAATGAAAACATTTTCCCATGTTTAGTTGTAGAATTATTATTTTACAAATGTCGAGGTATTTGCAGTCCAACAATTATAATAAGGCAGATCTTACTGTGCACTGGAGGCACAAAACAAAAGGAAAAAAGAACCTTTTTAGAGGGTTGAACAAGACATCCGACACCCAGAATAAAAAAGAAAGAAATTGGCAATGTCCAACATACAAATTGAAACTTTATTACAAGGAGAAAACAATCCTATTGTAGAGTACAGGGAGAACAATATCAATTAAAGAATGTTTCATTTAAGGAAATAGTTTTGCCCTTTGTTCCTGTGGACCTGTGAGTTCATGCATTGTTCTGCTTGTTGCTTCTCAGATTCTTTGGGTCAAGGCCAAAGTGCTGCCAATCGAGTGGTGCTTATTCTTCATGGCTTCCCATCATCAACCTTTGATTGGTACAAGGTATGTTGTCTTGCACACTCACACATACAAAGTTACCACACCACTCAAAGTTGTCAATATTTGTATACATTGTACTTCTTAACTCTTTCAGTGCCCGCGAAATTTGAAAAGTTTAACCTAAAGTGCCCAACTTCAAGTGTTTTTTTTTAATTGTTCAAAATTCTGTAAAAAAAAAAGTAAATAAGTTTTACTCACTAAATTTGTTGTTGTTGCTCTCTGGTATATCCTTGGTATATTGGAAAGCCAATAGTAGTCACGCACATGGTGATACACCCTGAAACACTGTCCTGCACACAGGGGAATTCCGCACTTTTGCAGAAAATACGAGTGTCAGTGCTGCGCCCTCTTGCAAGAACTTGAATGAAACAAATAAATACAGGTCGTACCTGAATGAAAATGATATTATTAGAAAGAGCGAGAGCGTCCCCTTGTGATAACATGCTTACTCTACCTCGTACATGAACGAGGTTTGGCAATTTTAAGTACGAACATTACCTCGTACATGTACAAGGTTGGCAATACGAACTAACAAATGTACCTCGTACATGTACGACTTTGGCACTGAAAGAGTTAACATAAAATAAACTGTACACTTAAACAAAGTTATTTTGTATCCTCCCCCTATAATCGGATGGTCTGGTAACATCGACTACCTCCACTGACTTGTCTAGATCCACTACTTGTGGATACCAGGCAAAAGCACAATTGAGCTGTTCTTAAAGCCTTAATCATTTGGACTCTTCATCTCTCATTTTTACACTATAAATGCTAATTTGTTTTCATGATGTTGTTTTGTTGCAGATGTGGGATGGACTGGCATCTCACTTTGGACGGGTCATTGCTCCTGATTTTATTGGGTTCGGTTTGAGCGACAAACCAGTGAGTGATTCATGTTACTCCGTATGTTACCCTGTATCTTCTTACAAGCCTTTCAAGCCATAGTAAGCACACCTAACATTTGCAGGGATCTAAACTACCAATGGTTAATGTGCTAGGTCCTAGCTGCACACCCTAAAAAACTTGCAAATTGCCATAATGGTAGGATGCCAGTAGGAATACCTAGAAGACGTGAAGATGTTCCACTGTGCACGCCCTGCACATCGGCACACACCAGACTCATGCAACTAATTAACCCTTTTGCAGTTGAATTTACATTGTATGCACAAGGCTTTTCTGCCCTTACATATATTAAACAGTTGTCATTCATTAAAATAATAGAAAATTGTGATTGCTGTTGTGGTTAAAACCCCCCCAGAAACTCTGACTTTTTCCCTACAAATGTCACAAGTATCATCTGCTATCTGATCGCCAGATATGATGGGCAACTGGAATCAAAACAGTATTCTATTGACAAAAAAAACCTTTTTATTGGCAACCTAATTTGCATACCAGGAGAATTTCTGCAGCTGTGACCCAATTTTAGTTGAAAAAGAATTTTACTGTTCAATGTTACAGGCATTGTCCTCTTTGAGCAAACATTTGGAAGCCCTCTTGTCTCAAGAGATACATGTAATTGTTGTTTAAAATCATACACATTTTGATTGTTATTTTCAATTTATTGCATTTTGTACCCATGCATCAATATGCATTATGTATACAGAAATGATATTGACTTTCAGAAAGGTCATTCTTACACCATGTTTGAGCAAGCTGATATCGTAGAGTCACTTCTTGCCAAGCTTGGAGTACAGCAGGTACACATCCTTGCTCATGATATGGGTGATACAGTGGCTCAGGAACTCATAGCAAGGTGATTATAGTCAACCTTCCCTCTCCCAACAATGTACTACCTTCTTAGCTCCTCCCAATCCCTAATCCCTTTGTCATATCACTGTCATAAGCACATTTGATGAACATTTTTAAACATCCTTTCTTGATGTAAATAAATGGACATATAGCAATAATTACCTTGATTGCCTGGTTAGTAATCAATTCTGGAGTAGTTTAAATTCTTTTCTGTTATCAGTTACACTTAAAATGACTTCAGTCGGGAGTATTTATTTGTTCCCAGGTAGATAACACAAGTGTACATAATTGTCTTGTTCATCCAGGTTTTGTTTACATTTTCTCATAGCTTGTTTAAAAAATGCCACTATTACCAACTTGTGTGTATGAACTGACGCATTCATTTTTTTTACAGACAAAATGCCCTAATCAAGTCAAAGAAGAAGTCAAGTCTTAAAATTCTGAGTGTTTGTTTGACAAACGGAGGTGAGGGAAAACCCTGATTTGATGTATTTTTTGAAGCTCTGATCAAACCAAATTAAGCCCAATTAATCAACAACAACAAAATCCAGCCACACAAATTATATCAAATTTCAAACTAAACCAACAAAAAATGTTATAGCATGCCATAGTGAAATTTCATGGGTTGAAAAACTTTCATATGCATTTTGGTTCCTCTATCAACAAAATGGACATCACTCATAAAAAAGACTATTTTGGAAACTTTTAGGAATTTAATGAGGTATAACAGGTTTCTACTGCAAAATAACAGAGTAGCAATTTTTTCCCCCTAAAAGCCCACTGGCATTGACAACTTTTACAAGCCCAACTTGAATATAGTTATGTCCCAGCATTGTAAAATGCACTTTTCTAAAGATTCTTTCTAAGCACGTAGTTTTGTTTGTAGACACTCTCATCAGTTCTATGTGCCATTGTGCTCTTGTCAACAGGAATTTTACCTGAAACCCACCAGCCCAGGTTTATGCAAAAGGTTTGTGCAGAATTAAGATCAAAACAGACAATATGTCAAATGTGGTTTTTTGTCTTTCAGGCATTCTTCCGGAAACACTGGAAATAAGGTTTACCCAGAAGGTTTGTGACCGTTGATTCCCCCAAGAAAATTAATCGGTTAAAAGAATGCTACATTACCATTTCTAAATGAAAAAAAATGACAAGTACAAAGTGTGTTGAGTGGAAACATGCATTGGGTCTAAACTATATGTCTAACCTGTTGCCTTTGACCTCGAATGGTCCATGTTCGATTGTTCTCTGGATATTTCCTCTCACTTTTCAACTCAAAGCTAAGGCAGAAAAAGGCAAAAAGCAAAATCATTTATCACCATGTTGATCTAAACTAAATTTAAATAGAAAGATATTTTTATATGATTTATGATTTATTTACTTTGTTTTCCATTGACAGCTCATGTTGAACCCCTGGATTGCACCAATTGGAACAAGAGTGACCAACCGTCTGATTTTCAGGAAAGCGTAAGTGGAATCAAACTAGGAATTGTCAGCTTCAGATTATTGATTTCATTGCACTCATCGTTTTCTTTTGATCAGCATGGGCGTCGCGAGGGGGGGGGCATCTTTTCCAGGGGGGGGGCACTTGCCCCCCCCCCCCCCCCGGAAAAGCAACCAAAAAAAAAAAAAAAGGACGAAAAAAAAAAGGAAAAAAAAGAAAAGAAAAGAAAAAGAGGCGCGAAGACAAAGTGATGTAAATTTAATGAGTTGGGGGGGGGTGGGCAAAATGTCCCCTCTAAAACTGATAAATCGAAAATGTGTTGAGAAATACAAGCATTTTTGGTCAAAATTTTTTTTTGCTCCCCTCTAGAAAAAATCCTGGCGACGCCCATGTTGATCAGTAGTTCTCTAACTGTTGACCTTTAAACTTTGTTGACTTATGTCAGGATATCATTACTGACTTCTATGGGTTTTTCCTGGGTAATGCGTTGTAGGTTTTCTCCAACCACTAAAAATAACAAGATCTTCAAGCCAAGGAATTACACCTTTTTACATCTTTTTACATAATTCTTTTTTTACATGGCGTTTGGTTTTGGCTTTTGTCCATTTAAAAAAAAAATTATTTGAACCAGAAATGTCCTTTTTGGGGGGCGGGGGCAGATTTGGAGAGGTTTTTGGTGAGCGGACACAGCCAACCATGGATGAATTTGAAGATCACTGGGCATTGATGCGTTGGAATGATGGAAACCTCATTGCACACGAGTAAGTTCTAGTTTTCATTTTGTTTGTTTTTAATTGTTTGTATTTAAAAAAAAAAAAGGACATACCAATGATAACCCGCAACCAAGAATACTTCATATGTAGATTTGAACTGGCAAACCAACCCCAGCAAAGCTTGATGGTCAAATGTTAAGAAGTCTGCACTAGTAAGCAGGAGGTCTGAGTTTGAGTCCCACCCAAATAACCTTGTGAATTTTTTTCTGGTACACTCTCAGACAGAACTGTGTATATTGTGCTCGTGAAATTACGTTGGTGAAGAGCAAATCTCCCCTATGCAAATGTTATCTTTTATACAGCTCGTCTTCATCTTGCTTTGTGAGATGACAGACTTGTTTATTAGATGCCTGGATGGCCTGGTCAGCCATGATTTGTCAGTTTTTAGTTGGATGTAATCAGTTGGATCGTTCAGATGTCATTGAACTGATTTGTGATTTTGTTTTGTTCTTGACAGTCAAATACAGTATCTTCCTCAGAGGTATGCCAATAGAGATAAATGGGTTGGGGCCCTTCAGGAGACCAAGATTCCTTGTAAGTTGATTCATGATGATTAACTAATGTGACCAGGGCCAAATTTCATGGCTCTGCTAACTACAGAATTCCACGTTTACGATCACCATTTTGTGCTAACCGCACTAGCAGAAAATTCTGTGCTAACTTTGCAAGCATAGAATCCTTTGTTACGCAATGTACACAAGCGAAGAAGCAAAAAGTCCTTGCAAAAACCATGAAATACGCTTACCATAAGCACACAATTTTCTGCTACACTAAGCAGGGATTTTTCGCTAACAGTAAGCAGAGCCATGAAATTGGGCCCAGTTGAGCACTGAAGCTTAACACAAATTTAGAGTCGATCATTTTTTTGGTTTAAAATGTTGATTTCAAGTTTATCATCAGGAAGCCTCATCTAAAATGATTCTTAAATGGTGAAATATCTGTTATGATCTGTTTTATTTCTAGCAATTTAGGTTTCTTTTATTGTAGGGATTTGGATGTTCATGTGATCATTTGTTTCTTGAATTTCACTGTTTATATACTACAGGTATTAAAGAGTTTGTTTCCTACCTATTTCCTGTAACACAGTCCTTCTGATTTGAGGCGTGCAATCACACCCCCACACCATGGCACGCCTGAAAGCTTCCTGAGAAGTGTGAATAATTGCACACCTGAATCGCCCTGGATCACAGAATCACATACCTAGAAAATCACACACCTAGAAAAACCACATGCCTAGAAAAATCCACGTGTGCCTTTTTCCACACGCCTGTGATTTTCAAACCAGAAGGACTGGTAACAAAAGTAAAATAGTGTTGTTCATTACTTTTTTTTTAATGTATACTGCATAATGCATGACTTCATGTTCTTTGTGAAGCATTGTCTATTCCTTAGTGTGCAAGCTGATTACATATGCCTGCACAACATGATGTCTGTCTTGGGAATCTTCACCAAGATATGTACTGTTTTGGATTGGTCAGTTCTTGCTAATAAATAGGTTTTTAATCAGAGCATGTTACTTTCATCCTCAGTAGTGGAATAAAAAGCTGTTTTCTAAAATGGCTATAGAATGTTTTCAGAGGGATTGCCTTGCACGCCAAATTTTAATATGTCTACACATTAGATTTTTTCTTAATGAGTTTTTAATTGAACAGAAAACTACTTTTTGTTCTATTTTGGGTGCAACCCTCTAAGAAAGCTTTTTTTTTTAGGGGGGGGTCCGGGTGTGCTTTTGCGCCTCATATGCACAAATGATTGGCCTCAATATCGTCAGGCCGCATATAAATAATTCAAAATTGGTAAGGTAGTTATTCCAGAAATAAATGTGGACTTTATTTTTTTTCTGATATCTCATTCAGTTCAGTTTATTTCCACAGTACCAAAAAACGTAAGTGGCAATGACAAATGTGAATCTTATAGAGAATAGCAAAAGAACATTTGAATTAAGTCGAAGATACTGTGGAGGGGCCCATAAAGAAGCAAAGCTTGTAAGAAATGGACACCTGAGCATGCATGTGCATTAATGAGCCGGATAATGAGATTTTAAAATTTTTAAAATATTTAAAATTTGTTTTGTTTAGTTTTGGAAGAAAACAATTATAGGGCCAGTACTCGTAATTGGGCCTGTACACCGGAATAAGAAGTAAATAAATTCAAGAGTGAATAAACTGTTGTACATATATTGCTAAAATAAATTGTCAATTTTTATAAAGTAGCATATTTGTTGGAGTTAATCTCAAACAATTGCAAGAGGAGAGCAGTTTACTCTTACCTTACCATTCTGTCCTTATTCTTTTTACTTTTCAGTGCACTTGATATATGGCCCAGCAGACCCAATCAATCCACCAAACACTTTCCTGAAACGATACAAGTAAGCTATCTGTACTTGACCAGAAGTGGTTTATACCATTATATTCTAAGTTCAATCAATATTTGAAGGCCTAGATGTTCTATAGTTGGTGGTAATTTATCATGTGTGAGGTATTTTATTTGCAGAATGAATGAAAAAGATTGCATTTCACAATAAGAAAGACAATGTTCAAATGACATGTAACAAGAAGAAAAAAGCTGCACTCATATGGAAACTACAATGCCATTCATTAACAGTTAATTCGTTTTGATGATGTTGTTGTAACATTTTTTTACATGGTCCATTCAAAAAAGTTTGAAACAGTAAATCTTAATTTTGAGGAATGGATTTCTTTGCATATCTTTACAACTTGCATGAAAATGTGGGGGGGGGTGTTAAGGGGGAACAAATAGTGAGCAATTTCTTGTGCCTTTTTGTAAGATGTTTGTATTTGAGATTTAATAATTGGTTTTCTTTTCAGAATGTTGATGCCAAACTCTGGAGTTACTGAACTATCTGATCATATCAGCCATTACCCACAGCTTGAAGATCCGGACAGTGTCTTTCAGGCCTATGTGGGATTCATGCATAGTCTCAAAATCAACTAGGAGTTAAAACCTTTTGAGTTAAAAAAAATATCAGTTTATGATGAGTCATGGGAATAGGTGCAGGTTTTTTTCTCTATCTCCAAAAATCAGTCTTCCTTTCGATTTGAAAACTACAGGTTTGTACATGGTTTATTTACAGTAAAAAGAAAATTATTTGGAGGAGATTCAGTTGATCCTGTGGAAATCAGTTTGTCAACATGTTAGACAAAATGTTTGTGTGCAAGGGTGGATCCAAACTTGGTTACCCAAAAAAGTTGATTCAAAACTTTATGCCATGGGGTTCGGGGCCCCCTTAAGGGCCCTGGAAAATTGTTTGATTCTAGTTGCTTTGTTCAAGTGTGTGATCTGAGGCAATTTCTTACCACTTTAACCAATTTCTTTTAGCAAAAGATGGTGGTGTATGCAGATGTTGCCTTTTTTGCGACATTACTTAACAAAAACAGAAATAGATTTAGGTGTTTTTTGGGGGGATTTTTTGAGGGGGGCATGGCCCCTGTTGCTCCCCCCCCCCCTGGATCCGCCGTTGTTTGTGTGTGAAGTGCAAGTTAGAGAGAGTTCAGTTACACTGGCAGGCCGTAAATGTTAACTGACTTTGATACTCGACTATGCACTTACTCAACATATTTTGATTATAAGCTGGTTTACATATTGGCTGTATACGTCAATGCATTAAAAATGAGTGAATGTTCCTCACACAGCATTTCAGATTCAATTTGAAAGATCATAACATTTCTATAAAAGGCTATTTGAATAATTTGCATGGCAAATTTCATGTCGGCATTGGACTTTGAAAGGAAGATATTTCTATATATTTTGTTTCCAAATAATCTTTCAATGGGACACATTTTTAAAAGCAATATCAGAAAACTGAAACAATTTTCTAAAATAATTTTTTATTATAAATATTAAAGTATAGAGTGGAAAGTGTGTTTGATTTCCTCAGCAATGCAATAAGGTATTAGATTTTGCATTTATAATGACATTGACATGACAACTTCTAAAGCAAATTGGGCAATTCCAACGTTATGATTCTAAATAGTGATTCAGAGAAATGACCAGAAACTCTTAGTCGGTAATATACTCGGACCATTACGAGATGGTGATTGTATAAGATTTGAAAATTACATGCTCAGCTTTATTCACTCTGTCATAGATTTTCATAACGCTGAAATTGCCCATTTAAGTTTGAAATGAGACTGTCTTAAAGAGTGCTGAAAGTATGAACTATAGAAAATACACAATAATTTACTTTATAAGAAATTAGTAAAAGACAATAAGTTACTTGGAACATTGTACTATATGAATTTAGGTGTGCTGTACGCTTATCTTCCAGTAATTTTGGTTTTACATTGGTCAAAAGTTAACTCCAATGCAATAATGCAAATTTATATGATTTATGTAAAGAAAAGTAATTATTTAGAAAGGATGTTTTTAAAGGCTAACCTCAAATTGCAAATCGTCTTCCAATTACGTAGGTATGAACTTATGATAAAACTAAAAGCAAATGCAAACAAAATATTGTTTCCACATGTCTTCCAAAGAAAAAGTAAAATTTGAATAATTATTTGAAAAGTGAGTTTTGTTCAGTTTCTTCAACACGCTTTTATAAAAAAAAAACCCACCGTTTTCTAATTCATAATTATAATGCCAAATGAAATTGAATGCAGCTGTTATCAGGGGTGGCGTTGGGCCCTAGGGGTATACATGTATAGAAGTCGGAATGTAATTATTATTTGTTTAAAATGTGGTGGATTATTGAGCGTCGCAACTCGCAAGCAAAACCAAAAACGACCATTTCTTAAATCATATATCAATGCGATTCGCTATTTCCCTGCTTTGTTCACGATACAATGTGGACGCGCAATTTCAGTCAAGTGACTAGTCACATTCCACTGTCGAGATGTTGGTTTCCTAAGTCAACTGGGTTAATTTGCGTAGGCTTATAAATGCTTATGCGGCACTTTGCGAAGGAATCACTAAGTTCTGTCAGCACACGTCCGTGCTTCGCCATGCCCATTTTGAGTCTGTGGTGTTAAAAAAAACCCAGGAAAAATCATGATCAAGCATGAAAGTTCGTTTCCTCCCATTATTATCAAGTAAATACAAGATACCTTTTTGGATCTTGAGTATTACTGTACAGAGCTCTGTAACTCAAGTCCCCCAAAAGGTATCTTTTATTTACAGGAAAAATGATGATCCAATACACTGGCCGGCAAGGGGGGGGGGGGGGGGGGCTGTGGGAAGAAAAGCACAATGAAAGACGAGAACTTCAAGACTTATTCAACCAAATGGACAAATTAAGGCCAAACTGAATGTTCGAGCGAGGTGAAGCAATGGATAGTATTGTGGCGTTATTTTGCAATAAGTATTGCGCTATTTCGCCTAAACTGGGGTGGGGGAAACGCCAAAAGGGGGCACTTGATTGTTAAGTAAAAGGGCACCTTCCGTCGGCGTACCGGCGTGTGAAATTGAAAGAAAAGAATACATGATGGTCCCGTTCATATCGCTATATATATGACGAGGAACAACTTATGAATACGTTGGGGGTCAGACAAGTCGACCGTTGAGACAACTCGACTCGGGACAAGTCGACCGTTGAGACAACTCGACCGTATGTGCGATAAATGGAAAGACAAGTCGACCGTTGAGACAAGTCGCCTCGCATGTTTTGGGCCTAGTTTCGGGAATAGTACCGGGGATTTTGACGGCGGCTGATCGCCGTTTGGGAGTGATGACACATGAGTTTTTTTGTTGCATATAACAGAGCCAATATAGCGCAGCGTGATTGTCCGTGCACATCGTTCGTTTTTTTTCAAGGCCACGTGCGCGCATCCCCGGTCAACGTGGCCGTACCGTGCACGGTGGCATCGTTTTTGCCGGGCCTGTGCGCCGATTTGCCGCGCCGGTCGACGTGCCCTCGTGCCGGGCCCGGCCCGGTCCTCGCGGCCGAGCGGGGCGACGGGGCCCGACGCGACGCCCTCTGTACATCGAGTATGCCCGCGCCGCACCCGTGATCGGTCTTGCCACAGAATTTTGTGCAACTTTTTCTGCTCCACGTGTATTCATTTCCATTAAGTCGAGCAGTCTCAACGGTCGAGTTGTCCCGAGTCGAGTTGTCTCAACGGTCGACCTGTCTCAACGGTCGAGTTGTCTCAACGGTCGACCTGTCCCGAGTCGAGTTGTCTCAACGGTCGACTTGTCTGACATTCAATACGTTATACGTTGTCCATCTTGCTCTTTGTGTTTTTTTTACCTACATTATATGAAGCGAGACCACATTTTTGTTTATCGCGAGAGGGGCACTGTTGCTTTTGGTGGCCATGCAGTTCAGTGACCATTTTATTCGCGTGAGGATCACTATTATTTTGTAAGGGCCAGTTGTTAATCTTGAGAGAGGGACACAATTCCACAATTTTAATGTAGTGTGATCGAGCGTGGCACTAATGTTTTCGAGGGGCAGTTTACATCTCGAGAAGCACATTTTTTTTTATTATTTCGAGGGGGCCATATCATAAGTCCGACGCCTCATAGGTCCGATGCCTCATAAATTCGGACTTATGAGGCGCCGGACGTATGAGGCATAACATTTATTTATTCCTCCTCATAGGTCCGACACCTCATATTAAGTCCGACGCCTCATAAGTCCGACGTCGGAAAAACGAGGCGTTTAATTTGTCGAACCTACGAGGCATCGGAGCTATGAGGCGTCGGAGCTATGAGGCGTCGGACTTATGATGAGGCGTCGTCGGACTAATATGAGCGGACCCCATTTCGAGAGGCCTACTTGTGTCTTTGAGGGGCGCAGTTTTGCATTACAAGAGGAGACAATTTGTGTAGCGTCATCATATGCTTTCATACGTGTGCGTTTGAGGGGCAGCCGGTTTTGTTTTCTTCTCGAGGGGGTACATTAATACCCGCGAGAGGGCCACTTTTGAGGGGCAAGTTGGGGGGGGGGGGGGGGGGAAACGGTGCCCCCCCCCCCTCGCCCGGGCCCTTCCACCGCCCCTGGCCTATTGTTTTTGTAAGCCGTTTTACCGTTTACTACTACTACTATGAAGCCAAGCTCGCATTGGCGTTCTGTTCTAGAGCACATCTCAAGTTATTATTTAGTCATTACAGTTTTAAATTTGAGAAAATACCCATCTTTTCCAGCTTTTATTGGCCGTTTCTATATTTTTACTTTAATGTCGACTTAAATTCAATGCTGACTGCCAGATAAATACGTATACGTTTGGAGGGGGGATACGAGCGAAAACGGCCCCTTCGCTCGTCTTCGCTCGTACCCCCCCCCCCCCCCCCCCCCTCCAAATTTAGAGCAGGCCGGCGGGGGTACGAGCGAAAACGGCCCCTGGCTTTCACAACCTCGTACCTTAATTGCAAACTACTTAGCGTCAGCAGAGTACAAGTACGGCCCTGGGGACGAGAAGGCTAGTACAGCCTGAGCGCTAAAAAGTGAAAAAGAAACAAGTGCACGGCAGCAAAAATAACCCAACCGGTAGCGGTACAGGACAGCAACTAGCTCAAGCGACTCTAACCAACGGGGCATAATTTCCTTCTCATCTTATTAGGTATATTGTTTTGGGCAGTTGAATTCGTCAGTGCGTTTATCTTCCATATGAAGGCAGCACTTATAAGAAGAACATTGTTCGCAATCTGTAGTTTTTCCATTGACCAGTTGCAATATGGATTACAAGTGAATGGCGATTGTGTATCTAGTACGGGCCCGGTTCTTAGTAGGCCTATAACTTAAGGGATCAAAATCCACTTTAAATTTTTTGACCTACAAACTAGTTGGCGACATTAAGAACATACAGGTATGTCATGGTCATAGATAAAGGGCAGGGTTTTGATTTTTTTGAGGGAAATTTGGGGGTAAAATGACGATGACAACGACAAAATGCAACACGAAAATAAAGATGGCGATTACCGCGCGATGTAGTCCCATAAATGTTACTGAAATACTGGACTACCTCCGTATATCTGTATATTCACTGAGTGAGGTAGTCCAGTATTCCAGACATATTTATGGGACTACGCGCGATGTACCATGAGCGCCCAACGAAGTCGTGCTGCACGCCACCAACCAGCCCGTAAACCGCATAGGAAAATCGTAATTTCTATCCCAAAGAAACTGTTCAAAAATTGCCAAAAAGGTGTCATTACATTGAGAGAAGGGAAAGAATGTTGCAACCTGATGCAACCAACAAAATTGGAAATGTTTCTCAGTCCCAGATTCATGTCTTATCATTTTTACAACTACTGACTTTCATTGAGATGATATATGAAGAAAAAAGCAACGTCAGGTTGCAACAAGCTTTCTTCTTCTTCGTCTTCTTCCAAGAACGTATATCCCTCTTTAGGAGCTAGAGCTCCCGAGGATTATCATACTGGATACGGTGCAAAGGGTGCTTTAGGTTGACTGTCCTTTTTTTAGTAATTAAAAAAATCTTGATTCTAATTTGATCGCAAAAAAGAAGGGCCCTACACTACACGATCACCCAAGTGAAGTGGGTATTTTTGGTAATCCTTGGGCCGTATTCACAAAACTCAAACTTAAGAGAATACTTGAGTCAGTCTTAAATCTGAGCACCCTGCCAACTTAAGTGGGGCGCTTAATTTGGGTATTCACGAAAGATCTAAGCACCCCACTTATCTTAGTGCTCAACTTAAGTGTTTAAACATGTTAAAGCAATCACTCTTGCTCATGCGCAACACATTTATGTAATAAACGTTTCATGCAGTGGTATTTCAATCAATTTGTGCGTGCTTCCTTAACATAATAATGTGCGTGCATATTCAGCGACGCAGTTTCCAAGCCCAAGTTAGCACACGGAAAATTACTGCGTCACATGCGCGTTCAACAAGATCGTCACGCTCATCGTATTCACTCAATCCATGCATTTTTTCCCCAATGTTTAGGTGTTTCAAAAAAAATAACAGTAAAATGTTAGCTTTATTTACTATCGTGTGTGAAACAAATTGTGATGGTGATTTATCTGCATTGTCTCCAGACTGGGACCTTATAAGTGCTGAAAATGATGCAAAAGAAGATCAGCACCCGATTTCATCAAACTCTTCATAACTTACGATGCATCGCAGCGATGCGACGCGTCGTATCTCTACGATGCGTCGCAGCTGCGACGCGTCCTGCGATCCATTTCACGAAACACGTCGTAAGTGCGACGCGTCGTAGGTGTATTTATAGCACAACTCGGTGACTGTTTTATGTCTTTAGTCAGCGTACAGTAAATAGTCGTCTGATATTCAACAAAGAGTCATCGGATCTCAGCTCGAAATTTGTTAAAACGTAAAACAAAATGGCGGCCATGCGATGCAATTTTGAAGGAAAACAAACTCTCATTGGACTGTATAGCTACTTTGAAATTTCAATTCTAATATTCCGGTCTAATTCATAATTATTCAATGAATTTTCTATTAACAACTTTTCACACATTGCCTCGGTATTATAATCTCGTTAATGTAATGTTTATGGCATAAAACTGGCTTAGAAATTACTCTTCTTATTTTGCGACGACCACAAGACACGTCTTAACTTGCGACGTGTTTAAAGCCGTTGTCAAGGAACTTACGATGCGTTCAACACATCGCAACTTTCGTGAAATGGAAGATACGACGCGTCGCGAGTTGCGACGTGTTACACGTCGTAACTCGAGTTGCGACGCGTCGCAGCGCTTCGTGAAATCGGGTGCAGGCCAACTGTACTCACTCCTTAGCCAGCAAATTTCTCCAAAACTTTCACCAACCAAATAAGAGATCTCATCTCTTCTGCAAATGGCATCTGCACCCGTGGTTTAACTTGGTTTGTGTTTTGTGGATTTCTCCTTTACCTTGAAATATTCCAATGTTGGATGTATTGAGAAGCCTGTTTGGAGTTGCCTGATTTTGTTATTCCCCTCAAGCTCTAGTTGCCTTAAATGGCACTTTGAGGTAGATTACATCTCTTGTTTGGTTTTTGTATTTGCAGTCTTTTATTTTTCACATTTTTTTTTTTTTTATCTATTCACAGAATGGAGTGACAACCTCAGATAAGAAGAAACCTCGAAGCAATGGATTCCATCACAGGGCTTTTTAATCAGCTTCTTGATGCTCACCTCAATAAAGAACTATTACGACCCCAGGTCAACCCACTCAATACCACGCTAGCTAAACACAGAAGGGCTCTGCGTGCATCATTGTATAAGACTCTCTTTGCTCACTTGAATGGACCCCTGCAGGATTCCACATTACCTGAGAACTTAAATGACATCAACGATGGGGGCATGGCTGCTGGGCTGAAGGAGAGTCTGCTTCAGATTGTCTTTGATATGAGAAGACAGAGGAAGTATGATGAAGCTCATCAGCTGGAGCGATTAGTGTCATCATTACCAGATGTTGATAACGGTAGGAAAATGGGACTGGGTTATTGAAAATTCCTGACCATCTCCACGTATCACAGGTCTCCAAACATGTATGTCTATGGTGAAGTCCAATTGCAATTTGCTCCAATTTTGTTACTAGAATTGATGGATTTACGTATGTCTTCATTTGAATCTGTGTAAAGGTCACCACTCTGAACTGAAAGCTGCCATTCAACTCCTGCTTGTCCTAGCTGGTACGGGTCGCAACCATCATGAGAAGTCACCTGTTGGACACAGTGAACCAAATCTGCCATTAGTTGGACCTCACAACAAGGTACTTGGTACTTTTTCTAGGGTTAGTCACAAAGTGCTGTTCAACAGAAGACCTGTCTAAAAAAATGTGTATCAGATTGCATACATATATCTAAGTATGGCGGTGCTGAAAATTAAAAAACAAAACAGCTTTGATTCATAAAAATATTGCTGCAGTTTTTTTCTTTGTTAATTCTATTTCTTCATCACCTAATACTTATGAAAAAGAGAAGTCCTCGCTTCCAATTCCTTCGCACTTACAATGAATCAAACAGGTAAGGAGCAGAGATTTGGGTTTAATAGCTCAAGAGTAATTTGTGTACTTGATCTTATCCACAGTGAACATACATGTACATGTATTTCCATTCCAATGATATTTTATAATACTTGTGTTCAGGATGAGCGTGCAGTCATTTTACCTTCTGGACCACGTTACCATGGTGACAGCTGCCATGTTTATAACCAAGGATACCAGGGCTACATTCATTACTCCAGGTTTGTACGTTTTCAAGGTTGGTTGTATATATGGAGTGCAAATTACGATACCTATCTCTGGCAATTACAGTGTCAAAAGAGGGCCTTTCTTGACGCACACTCCCCTGAATCCAACAAACTTAAACCTTACTTTTACATTCATGGGTTCAGATTTAACAACCCAAACAACTGTTTACTTTTTTTCTTAGGGTTTAAAATCCCATTTTGTTCATCTATAGTAAAATTTGTCAAAGGGGGTAAGGCTTTCAAGGGACATAACAGTTGCTTAGAATTTTAGGGTGAGATTGCTTGAAAAGCCATATTCATTGCAGTATTGTGAAGTTGGTGCTAGCTATATTTCATAGTCCCTAGAGGTATATTGTCCCAAGTTGTCCACATAGCTAGCCAGAAAGCAATGGATTTTTAAAAATGTCTACAAATGCAGTACGTCAGAGATTGTTAAAGTTTTATATATTGAACACTTTAAATATGCAAACTGATGTCTGGTGCATTGTTTTCAGAAATATTTTCTACATTGAAATTCTGTCCTTTTTACAGTTAACCTGACTTTTAGACCCCCTTTTTCAAGATTTACGATTTTGGTTTATGTTCAGGAACCTTTTTGAGGGTCAAAAGTTAGAAGCTGGTCAGCCATCAATTGACAAAGGAGAGCGTAGAAACTACAGCACACTTCAAAATAAGGTGGGTAAACTGCTCATTCATTGTATCACTAAACTTACTAAAAATTTAACAATTTTTTTTTTCATATTTGCTTCAATTGTTAAAAACTACAATCATTGCTCAGAAATTAATACTTTGTGATAAATCTCTATCCTTATTTTTAGCTCTTTGAAGCTGAACCTGGCAGGGACCTTCTTGGCAATGGACTTTTCACTCTGAAGGTATCCGTGAGAATCTGTTTGATCCTGGTTGAATGCTTACCAAAGAATTAGTAAAAACTGGCGTGGAAACATCTCTACTTTAATAGCAGATTTAATCAGTGTGTATAATACAGGAATGTTGTAAACTGTATACAATGAAAGTGTTCTTTTGGCCAAAGTTGTAAGTTATTTGGTGCATATTAAAGAGCAAAAACGGCTGCAGTAAAATCTCTGCTTTGCATTTTCAGTAAGTGTAATAAGGAAATTGTGCTATAAACTTGTTATGAAATTAAATTTTCTTGCAGGTATGGTTGTGTGGCAATCTTGTATAAAGCGTGAAATGTAGATCATAAATGTCACTTCACAAACTCAAATGTTCCCATTTCATTTGTTTGTTACTGAATGTTCCAAGTTTTATGAAGCAAACACAGTGTTTTAAAAAAATTGCACAGCATATTTGATAGCAATTTGTTGAAGTTACCTGATATCTTGAATTTATAATGAAAAGATTTGATGATCAGTTTGATCCCCTTTCTAATTTCAGGGTCTTCTGGACAACAAGCATGAGCGTCAGACAAGGGAGACACTTTTCAATGGTCTAACACACAGTAAAACCAGACAACTGAATATCAAGTTAGATTTCCCTGCGCTACCTGATACCACCAGCATGGACTTGCTTGGTCTTCACATACCAACTCTCTCTGAGGTTAGACCGTCAGAAGTACATTTATTATACAAATCAATCACATGTGTCTTCTTACATCAAACTTCTATATCGAGGCCAGCTGATGCTTCAAATCATTGAAAATGGAAAGTGAACTTGATGTTATAAAAAAATGTGCACTTATGTTCAGATGTAGGGTACCCAGCACCTCAATCCTTCAAAATCGTCTGACAGTCGTGCCTTTCAAAATGCATTCACCAATCCTCAATATCATCCTATTCAAACACCATTCATCCTCAATGCTTCAAAATGCTCACATGCTTCAACACCATTCATCCTCAATCCTCCAAAATGTGGCCTCGGGTTTCTCAAACCTCAATATCCTCCTAGATCAATCCTCCAAAATCCTCCAAAAACTGCCAGAAGGAATTTGGAGGATTGAGGAGAGTAAGGGTTAATGTTGTGATATGTTTGATATATTTCCATTTGTTGAATCTTGAGTTTTGAAACATGTTATGGGGTTGTGGGCACGTTTCATGAATACATTGTGATGAGACAGGTTTTCAGCTATGTCTTCAGCATGTGGGTTCACATCCAGCAGAGTGTTTAGTCCATTGAGAGACCAGTGAGTTGACACTATTATGGGATCAAACTAAGCTATTGTATCATGAAGTATCCATTGATAACAATGTTAGACCGGTACTGAGAGTCATATTCAAATCCAGCCAGAGGATCTTGGAGTGTTTTTTTGATTACAAAGTCAGTCATGTCAGTTTTTATTTTCTATAAGTCATGTCAGTTTTAATTTTCTATCAGTCTTGTCAGTTTTTATTTTCTATCAGTCATGTCAGTTGTTATTTTCTATCAGTCATGTCAGTTTTTATTTTCTTTGAACAGCCATCTGAAGATGAAGGTTTTCATGAATCTTCATCCCTATCTACTCCAGCAGTAGAGACACCTGTGATGAGACATGACAATATCTGGCAGAAGGCATTGGCATATCAACCCAACCGACACTATACATGGGAGACTATTGGCACGTAAGGATTGACTAATATCTATCTACTCCTAAAGTCTTCACTGCAACATTCCAGTATGTCATTCTTGTTTGGTATTTTTGCAATAATCGAGATGTTAGAATCAACCCTAAAATTAAAGGATTTTTAAGCTTGCACGTGCAATTCCAACATCATTGCAAGTATAATCTGGCCCAATTATTGAGAATAGCTTCTTTTTGCAATTTATTTCGTTTTCCGACGATCTGCCTTTAAGGTTTTAGTGCATTTAAAGTATTACTGCAACTGGAGTTTTGCTGCCTTAAAAAAATCACATCAAAGGAGATCATTCTATTTTCACAATGTATACAATATACTTCTTTCTTAATTTGAAGTTTTGTACCTGTTGTATATTTTTAATTTGACTCCTTCCCAGTATACCAAGAAACACTGAAAGGCCTTACCTCACAGAAGCTGGGTCGAAAGTGTTTGATGAAATGTACAGACTCCGATGCCAAGAAGCCTCGGTCTTAGATGCATCCCTGGAGCGCCCTCTTGTGATTGTTCTTGACCAGCATCAGCTGGTCCGAGACAGCATGTATGTGTTGCTCAGCGTGCCATCTCTGACATTTAGACTGGACAAGGTACTTGATTGTTTGGAGCCTATCCAAAAAAGAATGACATACTCTCTAAATTACTCAGACATTTTATTTATTTTGATGTATGTAGGACTGTAGATCCTAGCCACTTAACATTAATATTGTGTATAATGTCCCATTTTGGTTAATCCCCATTCTAGACAATTTGTTTTGGCGGAAATACGAATCCTCTAAAATACCTCACTTCATAAGAAATCACATTCTTGCACTTTCATGAGGCAACCTTTTTTTGTACTTGCATGATGCAGCATTTCACACATACAGTAACACAGGCTAGGCTTTCCCTCATAGGCTAGGCCTTCCCTCATTAAACCTTACAGAATCCTTCAAAACCTCCATGTGATTTTGAGAACCCGGGGGTTAGACCTTATTATATAACCGACATACAGATCCTCGTCATTTGATTGGTGGAACTCACATCACATGACATTCGTTATTGCTTCCATTCACGCCGGGCCTCAAAAAGTCCCATTCGCCCATGGGGAATGGGAAATACTATTGAACAGTTAGGATCATTCTTGTTCCATGGCGCGGTATTTGTGTGCAAATCGGTAAAATCTGGACTTGAAATGGAAAAGTCCAGATTTTACCTTGCGATAATATTCCTCCCATTCCACGCTGAGCCACTCAATATTTGTATACTGTCTCTTGATGGAACTGGAGAGATTCATGCTGATTCTAAATCCCATATCACAAGAGATAGGGTTTATTTATTCTGTTTTGTTTTGTTTATCTGTTGATTGAATAGGAAGCTCAGTGTTTTGTTGTCAATCCTGAAGTGTGTTTGACTGGAACCAGCCCTGGTAGCTTCAGCAGCCTACTGGCAGATCTAGCCCAACCTGGGACTGACCACTACAGATTGACCAGCTTTGCCCAGCAGAGGGCGCTAGACTCCACCTACACTGGTGGCCTAGTGTTGCAGGCATTTACTAGTGGCATCAGACGATTCCTGCAGTACTATCAAGCTGTTATACAGAGGGTGCCATCGAACAGTAAACTGACAGTGATGAGACTCAAAGCTATGTTCAACAAGATGATCCAGCAACTGAGGTATTTTTATTAAGGGAATAAATATGTGCTTGGCTGGTTTTAAACAAGTATCTTTAAGACCGACTAGGGGTCTGGAGGCTGCCCATTATCCATGACAGGAGTAAAGAGTTTAAAACCAGTATGTGTTTTATCAACCGTTAAAAACCACCCACGTGACGGGCTTTCGACCAATAGGAATAGGTAAATTGCCTTAGGTATTTATGAATGAGGGGATAATAGCGAAATGGAGCAGTTACCTGTAATGTATTAATCCTTTTCTTCAGCTGGGGCCATTATAGGGGACAAGGTCCCTAACAATTTTTACACAGTTGTGATTTCTCAATCACAATACTATCTCCATTTATAATTGGTCAAAACAAGTTGAAGAGTTGACAAAATTCCAACAATTTTGTTCATTTTTTATGCCTGGTTGCTATCCATGATTGCACCATTGTTCCTAAGAATAGAGCATGTTTCCTATATGAAAAAATCTTTAGAAGATTCTCTAAAAGAACAGTTTTGGGAATTTGTAAAACAATTCCCTCTTTCAAAACACTTTAACTGGTAAAACAAATCAGATTGAATAAATCTTGTGTCATTTGGTGACACCCTCTGGAAAAATAATTGGAAGGCGAAAACAGTACAAAACTCAAACTTTGTACCCAGCTGTATTGAGGAGCTACAGTGTTAAGCTGTTATCTTATTAGAGACCCTTCAGACCTCAAGTCTCGAGGACATACCATCTAGTCATGCTAGTACTGTTAGTGTTACTGTATCTGATAATTCTGCAACACATCCTTCCATAGATACCTAGGTGATCTGTATGACTGCAATAACTAAGCTAGGATATTATAAGATGGAATTTTGCGTGATATAAATCAAATAAGGTTTTGCCCTTCACCGAAGTTTAAGTGGTAAGACATCTGCACTAGAAAGCAGGAGGTCGTGGGTTCGAGTCCCACCCCAGTGATTTTTTCCAACTTTCACTCGGGAGGTAACACACTGAGTATACAGTGTTCAAACGTCGGTGAAGGGCAAAACCTAATTTGATAAGCTAGGATACCCATAGGATTCCTATTTCCTCAGTGTGACGCTGCTGTCATACCTTACAGCGCCTCTTTAGCTTAAAAGTTTCTTACACCTGTTTCTGGCTGGCATTCCAGAGTCACACTGAACGAAAATGTGCGTGTGATTCTAGTTGACCTGCACTGAATTTGGTTGCAGACAGGTAAACTTTATATACTTAGTTTACATTGACTGGATTCTGCAGGTTTTTCTAATGATGTCAACAGTCAATCTCTCACATGTAGTGTCTTGTAATTGTTACAAATGTTGAGCTTCATTCTAAGCATCAGATTAATTTACTTCAGTGTGACTTTGGACCGCCAGTCTAAAATGGATGTTGGACATCTCAATTAGTAAGGCCAGGCCTGTTCTAAATGCTGTGTTGAATTGAGCTCTGCAGTAGCTTGGCTAAACACACCAGTTGCTCTAAACATTGAGCAAAATGCATCCAGAGTAGCCTGCCATTGTTAAAATATTTTTTTCAAGCAGTTCAGTGCATTTTCTGCAACATCAAGTATTCACACCACATTCTCTCCCCATGATGCGGACGTGAGGTGGTTATGGTGAGCATGCGCATTCCTAAAGTGTTTTTTCCAACTTCGAGTTGAATTGAGTTCGGCATGACACTGGCACGGCATTTAGAACAGTGCTGTGCCACTGCCGTTTGGAATGATGATAGCATGGCAGACCCAGTCAGGCCAAAGGATGGTGCTGTGCCGAACTCAATTTGCAGAGCCGAATGGTTCTTTTTTGAAATCTCGACAAGTTAAATTTCGCGCAGCAGTAGCATGGCGGTAAGAACAGGCCTCGGTCTGTCTCATGATTTACTCACCCTTTCTTGTCCAGATATCTAGCTGATCTGTGTGGCTGTAACCACCCTCTCAACACTAAACCAGGAGAACCAGGCGACTCATTCCCCCTCGGTATCAAGCTGCTATCCTACCTCTATGAAGAAACCCTAGACTGCAGTCTTCAGGATAGATACCAGCTGGTCTTATCCTTACTCAGGAGTAGTTGTGGACCGTATCTGATGTGAGTTGAAAAAGGCTTGACTTCACCAATGTAGTATGCAAGTCTTGGGACTTCAAATACTGTTTTATTTCATGCTAAATACTCCTTATTTTGGCCAAAATTCTTAGTTTCTCTTTACTCATAAGTAAAAGTAAATAATGCTTTAGAAGTTGAGTCCAGATTTGTTGTCATTACATTTTTATTACAATGAATTATGAAATAAAACTCACAAATCAATATATTGTAAGTTAATCAACTTCATAAGATGTCATACACATTGTGTCTTCCTTTTGTAAAGAAATGCCTGGAAAGTTAAATTAACACTCAAAGCATTAGCAATAAAGTATAATACTTTACTGTTTTATAAGAAAACCTTCAGCCTTCTGAGGTAGGGTAAATCATATGTCATTTGTGTATATTTTTTGTTTGAAGCAACAAGAATGCTCAAAATCTAAAGAAGAGTGCTTAACAACTAACCTGATGAACTGTTAGCTCTGAATGCAATATTCAAAAAACAAGAAAACAATATTCTAGGGATCTTGATTTCAATTCAACATTGCCAAGTCATGTTGTGAATTGGGCCCGAATCCAGCAACTGGGACATGTTCTCATTTAGTCGATTGCAGCTACGTGATGTCGCGCACGGAACCGACGTACCCATTCATGGATTTGCCGAATTACAAACCAACTACTAACGGAAATTTCCAAAATTGCGTCACTTGACGCATCTTTGGAAATGGCCTTCTTTTATTGTTTTCTTAAAAATGACAACATATCAGAAGAATAATTTCACAGGGAGTTTATTGCCATCTCCATCTTTAAACCAAGTAAGCTTTTCAACAACAATTTCATCAGTTTTTTTGGGGATAGCTGCAACTGATCTACTCTACCTTTAACTTTTGCAGATGCATCAAATAATAAGGGAATAAATGTGTGCTTGGGAGGTTTTAATCACTCTGTTTAAGACTGCTTGGAGTCTGGGTGCTGATAATTACCCGAGCCGAAGTCGAGGGTAATTATCAGCACCCAGACTCAAAGCGGTCTTAAACAGAGTGATTAATACCGACCAAGCACATACTTATTCCCATTCATAAATACCTTTTCTTTCAAAAAAACCTTACATTTTCAATCAATAAAAACCCACGATTTTGTTCAACAAGTTCACTTCATGTTTTTTGTAAAACCCCTCTAGCTAAATAATGGAGTGTCCAGCTGGCGAGTAAGATGTAAACAACTCCTTATATGGAGATTGGCGCACGCGTTGGGTGTACTGCGCAATGTGGTGCAGAATGTACCTGGGGCGTTACGTTGTGAATTTAGGACTATAAAATTCTGACTCACTGGTAGTGTTGCGCATGCCTACGTGAGGATTGTGAACGTTCAACCAATAAAATGGTAAGAAGAGGCACTGGATTTTTAGGAGTCCAAACTTCCTGTGACACTAAAAAAGTGTTTAAGACCAGCTAGCCATGTCTTTATCATCCGTTTAAGACCGGCCACGTGACGGGCTCTCGACCAATAGGACTTGGTAAACTGTCTTAGGTATTTATGAATGTATTTTGAAATGAGCCAATTTACAAAGTGTTTATGTTCTTTAATAGCTGGATTATGTGTTTGGCACAGGTTTATCCAAGACTGGGTTTTTCATGGAATCTGTCGTGATGTCTTTGGGGAGTTTCTGATATCTGTAAGTGATGAATACCTTCACTATCGAGGTAAGAATCTTGGCTGTTTGTTGTTATTAAATTGCTGTGGTTATTACATGCTATTATGTTTTATAATTTATGGTATTAACTTTGCATTGCTAAAACTCTAGAATTACTGCAACAGTTAATCATTCAACCACTTGCGCATAGTTGTTGCTTGTTTTAAATGTTAACTTAATTCAAGTATTAGGAATAATTGTCTTCGCATGACTGTTATTTATTGACACTATTTCCCCTCAGATAAGCATTACTGGACTCGGGGATTTGTCATGAAGTCAGACAATGCTGAAGAGAATGTGCCATTGTTTCTCAAAGATCTGGCATATGACATCTATGTCTGTGGGAAATCACTGAACTTAATGCGCCTCTGTTGTCCCGAGGTAAATTGTTTCATTTTTATTGCCTAAGTGCTAGAGTGAGTTCTTTGATTCTTTAATTGCCTTTAGACTATTAGAAATTAATTTCTTCCAATAGAACTTTTTGGATTTGGAAGGCATCATACTTGTGTTGTTGACTTCAGCAGGGTACTAGCAAAATACTTTTAGCCGGGTTAGGATTAATAGAAGAACATTGTATCACACATAAAACTGTGTTTCATTTATCTGCATATACTTTATGTGTAGGATAAAAGAACAAACCATGATTTCAATAGTTTATCTTCATATTGTCAGGAATGTTTCCATACCATTTGGAATGTTGCTTTTGATCGTATGAACCGCTGTTAAGTTGAGCAGGAACCATACAGCTATATTAAATTACTAGAGCGCTAACTCGGAGACGCTTTGAAGCCGTCCTGGGTGCAGACATTTTGAATTCATGTGCGTTTTTGTAGAACATAATGAAATTAGATTGATTGAATTTTGAAAGTGTACTCTACATGCAATGCGCAAGTAGAACATATGCAAACAACTTAAGCGTGTCATTGACGTTTAAAAAAAACGTGACGGCAAAAAGCATCTACAGCGAATACGCGCACGCGTTGCACTGTTTGCGTAGAGCAAAATGACACGTTCATTTGCTGATCGTGCGTTTCGGTTTTGGGCGTATCGGCTTCGATAACGCACCGGTATTGAATACAAACACAAATATGCAAATAGCCGTACAAAAGCCGTACAAAATTTCTAGGTTTCCATAGGTTTGTGCACAAACATGGATGCGCCCAGCAGGCATTACTTTGTACACGAATTTAGCGCTCTAGTAATCTAATATAGCTCTATGGCAGCATCACAGATTGCTTACATAGGGATGTAAGTCCTTCATTTGCCTGATTACAGGCTTTTTTCAATTTTTAAATAACATACGGACACCTTACACGTGTGTATACGTTTCCTGTATACCTCACATTTCAGGCAGAAATATCAGAGTTCACTTACCTCCCTGTATATGGGGACAACCGGGGTGTCCATTGAGAATAGCATGCCTGCCTGGCTCAGACAAATTGTGAGCCCTTTTGGGTCTTCTAAAGCCCGGTTCATACTTCACGCGAAAGCTTGTGCGAAGCGAAATTCATGTCGTCAACAATGGTGGACGCGCTTCGAATGTATCGTTGACGTCACGAATTTCGCTTTGCTTTCGCTTTCGTGTGAAGTATGAACCAGGCTTAAGTTCGAAATTTCTCCTTAGCTTTTGTGAGTTCTTTTTTTTGTATTTTTTTTCCCACAAATCTTTTTTGCAGCATTTTCTGTGCAATCCCGGGGTGACTGTTCCAAGAATCAGTCTAACTTTCTCTGCAGAAGAGTTAGACAACTCAGCTAAGAGAACAGGGGTGTACATCAGTCACATGCAAGCACTGGCCAGGCAGAAAACCATCTCAAGACAAGAACAGGTAAATACCTTACATTAAGCTTAGACTGAAATTCAAATTAAAGATTGTGTGAAAAGAAGACTGTAACAACCTCCAACACTGTTGAATTGTGTTCAATTCCTTATTAACACAAGACTAAAATGCATTGATATGATCAGGTGTTAAAGATATGACTAAATAAGACTTACAGGGTTTGCATTGTGGACTTGATCAATGAATGGGAGGTTTGCAGTAATACCATGTGAATGAAAGAAGAGTTGTAAGGTTCAACTTCTTCTTATACCAACTGGTTCTTCTCAGAACCACACAACTCACTAAAAAAGATTTAACAGGACTGTTTTCAACTTTTTCTGTTTTTTATTCACGACATATGTTGATATTCTTTATAGCAGCTTCTCAAACATGACCTTTTTCTGATATTGTCAATGTCAATGTCTAGGAGCTAATAGATTCTGAAGCAAGACAGGCTTTAGTCAGTCAAGCAAGAAAAGCAGCATCCGCAGAGCTGAAACGACTCCAAGGTAAAAGAAAAGACTTAGTAGTTCATTCCTGGCGTGTGTTAGTGGGCAACACAGTTGTGGTACCATGCATCAAATATTCAGCAATTACCCTTTTGAAAGATGTGTTCAACATAATGCAACTTTGTACATTGCTTGTTTATTATTAGATGCGATTCAGGAGCAGAGAAATGTAGAGGATGCCAAGAAGAGACAGGAATTTCAGCTACTCAAAGATCAAATGCAGAGGGATCTTGTGGTAAATTGCATTTTGCTCTGTCAGAATAAAAGTTAGTATTTTCTTGTAAATTCCAGTCTTTTCTGAACTAATAGGGATCATGAAGCTAGCATTTATCTCCAATTCCATGGCATGCAACCATTGAGCATATTTCCATTCCATCCTAGATGGGATGCAAGTCCATCTCATATTGCTTCCCAGCTAGTGTCGCTACCCATTTAAATTTCTGGATGGTGAGTAGGGGTGAAGTGGCTTGACGAAGGACACGGCAAACAGCAAGCAGCAGGATTCGTACCCCTGACCCTCTGATCATGAGTTGCAAATCCAAACCATTGGGCCACGCATCCCATTGGCATTCAGTGATATGTACTTAATCATAATAAAAAAATTGAATATGGTATTGTTTTGTTTCAGCGGCGTGCACTAGTTGAAGAGACAGAGAGACAGGAAGATATTGAGAGGATGGATGCGCTGACTAAGAGGGAAGAAGGCGAAGCCAAAGCTCAGTATGAACTAGAGCAGAAAGTCAGGTACATTGCTCAGTGCAGGTTAATAATACCTTGAATGATGAGGAGCTTTTATCCAGTGGCTATTGTACATGATCCAAGTTTATAGGATCACAGTTTTGACTTAAGACACAACCCCACCTGTCCCTCTCCATCCTGGATAAAACCAGACTTACGTGCTCTTCTGATAATTAGCATTTAATGTTTTTCTCCCTGCTGATAAATTGAAGAAGGAAAAAGTATTTTTAAAAGAAGAGAAAAAGTACTTTCATTACTGTTTGATCTTCCAAAATACTGTTTTCATTATGTACTGTGCTCTAAGATTGATCATAAATAGTTGCTGGAGTTAGAACCAGAAACCAGTTTTTGGTTTAGATTCTGTATGTGCTCTGTGATGTTTGTGTCTCGTATGGTCTGACTTGGATTAGTCATTCCCTACGATTGTCACTCATTACAGAAGTGACATTTGTGACATTTATGTTTGATTTTGTGAAGAGTTATTAAATATCTGTTAATTCAGGGAGGAGGTGATCAAGTACTATGCTGGACTAACAGAAGAAGCAGCTGCCCGAGAACGGAAGGCCCTTTGGCGTGTCCGCCGACATCAGCTGGATCAAGCACGTGTGGCATTCCTTGTGAGAGAAGAATCTAGAATCAGGCAAGAACTTGCCGACAAACAATCAGCCTTGACCACTGCTGTTGATTTGGACGGTGAGGTTAAAGAGGTGTCAGCGGCCATCGAGGAATCAAAGGGAGTGGAAGTCACACTTGCAAGTGGGATTCAGACAGAAAGTGGAATAGGCCAAAACCTTGAATCTCTTGGAGCGACAAGTTTGCCTAATGATGGAAGTGATGGGAGTCGGTTGTCTATGTCACAAGAGGCTCAGGCATCACAGATACCAATGGAAATGATGATACCTCAATATGCAGCCATGCAACATGCATCTGAGAATCCTGTCAGAAAATCAAACCAATCCGAACAGGCACGTGTTGAGATCAGAGGGGACACAACGAGTTGGCTGATCAAGGTTGGAACTGATGAAGTAAAAACTGGTGGAGTCCCAAACGAAGACATAGAGGCTACGCTTCAGATGGTCAGTCAGGGAAGCAGTGATGGTAGATCAGCCATGCCAGGCCCCGTGAGGGTAGCGCCACCAAACATCATGGATCTCTCCATACAAGACTTCCTTCCCAGAGAGCATGTAGAGGATGATGGTCTAGAGATGGCATCTTCAAATGATGCAGATGTTGATGATGTCCTGATTCAGATTGGATCCAGTCTGCCATCTGGGGCATCAAACATTCAAGTGCCCTCGCAGAGTCTACCTACCTCCAATGCTGTAGATGACATGCTGGGATTACCATCTTCCACAGATTCTGCATTAATTGTAACATCACAGGCTCACCCCTCAGACTCAGTTGCTGGTGCTATCCTATATTCCCCTTTGACAGGAGTGGAGCAGTCTGTGCGTGCTACCACAAGCACCCGTGGGGGACCTGCTGATTCACATTTCAGGGTTGGCTATGAATCAACTGGAATGGAGATGAAACAAGTTGCTAAAAGCATTTATGGGCATGCTGGGGACTCATCATTAGGTGACGTCCTGTATCCTAGAGATGATAAGACCGGGCCTGGGGTGACCTCAACTGGTCTAGATGTTCCATCAGTGCAGGACGATCCAAACCAAGAGGGGACACCAACATGTCCCTCTGGCTCTGCGATCTCAAACTCCGCATCAACAGTAGAACAGTCCATATCAGCAACTGTAGCCGCACATGGCAGGCCTTCTGATGCAACTGTACAGGGAGTTCATCTCGGCCAGCTGGGAGGGAAAGAGAAAGTGAAAACAAGAAGTGCTTTTGGACATGCAGGGGATTCCACCCTAGGTGATGTGCTGTACCCTGCAGCTACACAGCAAACTCCAGTTGTACTGGATAAGGATTTGGACAGTGTGCTGCCTGTTGGCCAACCAGGCAACACCAGGCCGGAGGTCACTCAGACAGAGACACAAGTCCGTGTAATATTTAAACCTCCAATTGGCCATGCATCTGATTCCACAATACAGTCTATGCTATACCCTCATGATGGACAGACAGCAGGTGTCATCAAGCAGCCAGGGAAAACTAACATTGTTGCTGTACATCACGGGCATCACCCATCAGACTCTACAGCACAGAATGTTATATATGGTAGAGGAGGGAGTGGTGGACTGAAAGGTGATGAGATGGACACACAAACAGTTGACAACACAGACAGTGGGCATCCTACAGAGGACAAGGTGGTCATTCTCTGGACTAGTCAAGGGGTGGAACCATTACAGGATAACTTTGAAGCCCTTGGTAAGTTACTGGAACAGCATGCAGCAATTTACAAATAGTTTAGCTGATTTGTGCTGTATCCTCACTGCTTTCCCAGTGCCTTTGAGAAGACAAAAGTTCCCGTGCTTGCAGATTACTTGAACCCCAGCTTAGATAACATCTAAAAGCTGAGAGTGCTTATAATATTCCACTAGAAACACCATTTTATATTGAGAATTGCTAGGTGCTATCAAATGAGAATGCATGTGCTTGCTTGAATATTTAGCATGTTTAGGAATGACATATTCTAGTTAAAAATATGTTAAGGGATCACAGCATGTTGCCACTGCGGATGAATCCAATTTAATTGAGGAAAACGAAAACATGAAAATGGGACATTGTTGTATTTTTCCCCCTCTAGACAAGCCACCGATGCCCGACCTTCTGTCCAACATTGGTTTCATGCCATTGTCATCAGAGATAGGCGACTATGGCTTACAGGCTGCAGAAAGTGAAAGCATAAAGGCTGTTGAGCTGCAGTCATTACCTATCATCATGAAGAGATCAGTCACTACTCCACTCTTGGCTCAGTAAGTTGTTCTGAATACTGTTTATCTTTGCTGTCAAGGCTCAAGGCTTTTAAACAACTTCCATCTTTGGATGAACTAACATTAATGCTCAGTCAAATATCTTGTGATAAATGAGGATTTCTATTTTGCTCAGTGGTGTTGGGGGTTGTTTTTGCCACCATAACCAGAAACATGTTTGATTGAACCACCACTGTCAATCACGCAGAACCACATTGCGCAGCGCTATACAATCTTTGTGCAGGACTGAAGTAGTTAAAACCCTTAACCCAGAAATGAAAACAACCCAAACATATATTTTCAGAACAATTTAGTGTGAGGGGTGTGATTACGATTGTCCGGCGTGTGAGAGTGTGAATTGACTCTGAGGCGTGTGACACTGGTTATGTCTGTAAATCCCACATAATCTGATGGACTTGTGTTTTGAGTTGGATATGGCTCCCAGCGGTCACATACCTCAGAACTAGTTCAGCTGGTTGGTTCTTTGTATTGGATTGAGTAATAAATTATCCTTCCCTTAATGTATACAATTTTATAGAAACAAACTGGAAGAAATACTCATGAATGAAGCAACTGGCATCTTTTCTACTGTACACTTTGTGTACATACTTGCCGTGGGTACCTAGTTTGCTATACGAGATTCAAAGAGAATACAGCCAGTATAGATGTCATTCATGAGTTACCTCTCAACAGTGAGGGAGACTTAAGTTGGGCTCTTGAATGCATAGTTGTGTTGTGCCTCCCGCTTGTGTGAAGACACAAATACTTTGTAGACACTCAAATGAAAATAAGCTGTGCATAAGCACACAAACCTGTCTGCATATGCTGTGTGTCTCATACACACACAGCTCTCGCAATAGAGTGCCTTCTACTATTCATGCTTCCTGCTCTTCATCTACTGTTTGTGTCCTCACAGAATTAGTTTGGTCAATCAGAGCATTTTGGACTACTTCATGGTGGAGCTAGGAATCAGCAAGCACTTCAGATCTCTCCGGAGTTTCTTGTTTCTGGAGGATGGGGAGTTTGGCCAATCACTCTGCGACCAGCTCTTTGACAAGGTTGGTCACTGAATATGCATTGGACTTATTATCATACCGCAATTCTAGTAAGCAATTGAATCACCTAGTCATGACAGGGTAACAAATGTACCTTATTTTTTTAGTAAGGGTGTTATAGCAATGCCATTGTTGGAGCAGATACACAATATTGAATACACTGTTATTGAAATAGTTTACTAACCTAACTCCAGTTTAAGAAAGACCGTAAAGATTGTGTATCTATTCATATTGCCGAAAACATAAACATGATTTACTGTTCATGATTGTGTAAAAAATATTAGATTCACAGAACACCCATCAAGTACTGTTGTTTTCTGACTTTTTCAATAGCATATTCTGTTTAATAGAAATGTGAATATTTGTGTTTTGTTGTGCCAGCTTTCTCAAGGAATGAGACCCAATGAGTTACTGACACCCATCGTCCTGAATCCAGTCCTAGCTAGGGCCATTCAGAACTCAGCCAGCAGGGAGTCTCAGTATGCTAGCAACCTGGGCTTCAGCTTGAAATATCTCCCACATCACTTCAAACCAAATGGTCAGTCATACTCTCATTTTTTGTTTTCCAACAAGGCGTGGTTGGCCTGATGTACACAAACATCTGTTGGAATTGGATTCAGCCGCGTTACTTAGGTGCAGGTGTAATTGCTGATTGTTGGTAAATAATTAAGATGCAGCCTTATTTCAACATAGCGCATGCAACCAGCAAGAAGTTATCATGCCAATTCATGGCGCTGCTAACTGCAGAAATTTGTGCTTATGATCCCCATTTTGTACTGACTGCGCCAGCAGACAAATTCTGTGCTAACCCTGTTAGCACAGAATCCTCAGTTTACGGGATGTATGCATGCACAGAAGCCAAATTCTTGGCTAACACGTGAAATACGCTTACCGTAAGCATGGAATTTTCTGCTTTAGTAAGCATGGATTTTTTGCTAACTGTATGGAGAGTCATGAAATTGGGCCCTGCTCACCCAGTGCTGTTGCCTTCAATTTATACAATCAGATTTGATCAGCAAAGAGCCTGAACCAGAATCTGAACCCAGATTCTAATGTTTTAACCTACGTCTAAAAAGTTTCAACCAAAATTTGGCATCAAGTTGTCCAAATGCTGTTTTAACAAAGGACAGATTATACTTTTCAAAACTTTGAGAACCATTCTCACAACTTGTTTTATTCAGAACCACCTTTTATTTACAGAGTAAATCATTCTATGGCATGGAGTACTCACAAACTTACCACTTACGTTCCTTTCCTGCATGTAATTTTCACATCATATATTAGTGTTTAACTGTCTCATTCGGCCACCATTAGTACTGGATTTATTTTTTGTGTTCTGCATCCCTATTCTAATATAAAAACCCTGCAGATGTAATAAAAGATGTTGAAATTTATTACTCAAAGTGGATGTTATTATTTTTTAGAAAACATGTTACCCAGCCCAAGTTTTTTTCTAATCACAAGCTATATAGATGGATGTGGTCAATAGTCCTAGATGCCTCTCACTTGTTACCTGATCAATTTGTTTGCTCAACAGCTATTGATACATTTGATTGCTTGGAGCTACGATACAGGGTAAGGAATGTGGCTACCAACAGTCCTGGGGTGCGTTCCACTGATTCAAACGTGTTTGCAATCCTTAGCCAGGCCTTATAAACGTGTTAACCCCAAATGGAACAAAAATGTCATCGAAAAACTGTTTTAGAATTATGGCAGCCTTTTTACCAATCCTACGAGTGTCACTGATTGATAGCAATACTCAAAAAATGTTCCAGTAGTACATAAAGCTACATTTTACTTGTGATGTTGGACCGTTGAAAACAGAGACAATTTCAGCCCTGACAGAACCACTATGTTCATTGCGTATGCCTGCCATTTTAAAAAACATAGCTAAAAGCTCAGGAAGACTGTTTGTCTCGGTTGCTTATACATGTATGTGAAGCGATCAAGCTAAATGAGTCGTTTGTCGACCCCGGTCAAAAAACCTCTTATTACAGATTTGAAAAGAGCACAATCACAGCATTACTGCTGTGAAAACCGCATGCTGATACCATCTTTAGTTCAAAAATATGGAAGTCGGAACACCAAGAGATGTGATGAAGTGATGTGATGAAGTGGCCCTAATTTGGCCTGAATCTCCAAATGAAAATTCCTGACAAACGACTCATGTAGCTTGATCGCATCACATATTTGCCAACACTGATGGCAAACAGTCGATGCCACTTGTGCAAATGTAGCTAACATTGGCAAGGATTAGCATTGTTCACGTAAATGGAATGCACCCTAACTTCTTTGTTGTCTTTGTAACAGATATAATGAGATAATGTACAATTAACCCTTCAGTCGCTTTGCCTGTTACTCCTATACCACTCCAAACTACCTCAGCATTATATGGTCTTATGGATTCATCAGGAAATAAGCACATTGTAGTACAATGTAGTACAGGCAGGTACCGGTCCATTCGACCTCAACTTTTTTTTCACTTGCCAGATGGGCTACTGAAACTGCCAGAACTCTCCATTATTTCAAAGACCTACATATCTTGACCTTGGTAGCATCTGTACCATTAGAAACTCACATAGCATAATACAAGCAAATTTACTTTCTTTTCGTGGGAACTGTCACAACTAACATGTGGTAAACACTTAAAAGGCTAGTTTTTGATCTAGCATTGAAATGCTTTTGCCTTTTTAAATGAGAATTAAATGAAAGACCATTCACCCTATATTTTTCAAGTGAGGACTTTGTAGCACTTTGGCTTGGACCTCACCTGTTTTGCATGCTTTCTTGACCAGGTTGACTGGCCTTGTAACATTGTCATAACGGATACCTGCCTGGCCAAATACAACCGAGTCTTCTCCTTCCTGCTTCAACTGAAGCGCATCTCATGGGTCCTGAGGGATATCTACTTCCAGCTTAAGAGAAGTGGTAAGATCAAGCATGTCCCTGACACAAAACACATAACTGTTACTCCATAGTAAGCATGTACAGCACACTCACGCTGATGCTTAATGGACTCTGTGCAGATGTGCAGGAGTACCACCTGTGTGGTTACAAAGGGAGAGTTGGGGGAAACCACTGGGAGGAGCATTCAGAAGCATTGTCGATTGCACCTCATGCTCACATGCTGCGGGTTTGGGCACATTCAAGATAAATTTAAACATGTATGCATCGAGCGAACTGGTCTGCATGTGCAATGTATTTCTCTCATTAGGGCTTTCGAAAGTGGGAACAAAGCGTTATCAACAGATTGTATATGGCATCCATATATTTCTTTTTGTGGCAGTTGACCTTTTTTACTCTCTGTGTAACCAGTTGATGCCGTTGTGCTGACCAGCCCTAAAAAGAACATTTAACAGATGTATTAGGGTCCTTATGCCCTTCATTGTTTTTGGTTTACATGAAATAATTTTGTTTTTGTGATTACTTTACAGCCATGGTGAGCCATGCTGATAACTCACCACAGTTTCGGCAACTGCAACTGTTCAGGTGAGTTTAAAAGAAAGATCTTTGATTGTTTTCTGTCCAAAGAAATAGACAAGAGTATTTTGCCACAGAGAAAAAAAATATTTATTGAGTACGTACTTTATCATCTTGTTCAGTTTCCTACCAACTGTTTCCTTTCCAGTTTCCTTTTCAACTGTTTGAGAACTTGTATGAAGCTTGAAAACTTAGTATAGACTAATCCGGCGGCAGTGGCACCAGCCTCACAGAGTCGCACTCAACCAATAGGGCTACCAAAATGTGCATGCGCCTTGCTTTTAGATCGCGTGTGGCATACGCAGGAGCGTGGCACCACCACAAAATTTTGATTTTGGCAAATTACACCATATCTTAGCAAGGGAGATTTTTCATTAAACTTGGAATTTTTTTTATGGAGTGTTTTTTTTATGGAGTGTTCCTTTTGGTCATAATTGGTAACACATGCTGTTCTTATAACAATATTTGCTTGTAGAAGTCATATTAGGCAAAAAAAAAAGTCTTCGGTTTCTGGTATGGAGCTTACCCCAAAAGTGGTGCGGCGACGCAGCTTTTTTTTTTTTTTACTCTTTTATCTTCTAATCTCGGCTGATGACTGCAAATAGTGCCCAACTAAATTTAGTTCAAAATCTATGGGAGCCCAAAGAGGCCTCATAAAGCTTATACTCGATCGTAACTCATCTAAAAACACATTAAAATTGTGCAGCAGCAGGATTCCAGTCAAACCAGTGAGTTTGGCGGTTTTGAGACATCATCTTACATTGAAAAAAAACCTTTTAAATTTTGCCGACGCGCATGGCTACGGTGACGCGCGCATACATCTTATAGTAAAGCTTTCACACTGTATGTAGTTACAATAGTTTTAAAATATATTTTTTTATGATATTTGCTTAACAACTATGCATTAATCAAAGAATGTTTTATCCCATTGTATTGAATTGTATTGTATTTGTAATGTATTGAATTTGTATGTTTGTAGTCATTATTTATTGTATGCAGGGCCACCAATGGAAACCAGTTTTAAACTGTTTGGGCATACCCTGGGTAAATAAATGTAATTAATAAATAAATAAATATACTAGCAACAGGAGACTTTTTAACTTTGAAACCGTCCATTTCAGCTGATAACACTGTTTGTTATATTGTGTGCTTGAGCACTCTAATTTCATTGGTCTAGGATGGCCACGTGTCTGGACCATAGAAATGCATGTCACACACTGAGGGTGATATCGCAGTGCGTTCATTGGGCACGTTGCCCATGTGTGTGGGACGTGCTCGCTCGCTAGCTTTGCGCAGTGACAATTGCAAGGTTAAACGCAGGCAGGATATCAAAACCTTCAGTTATCACAGGTTACATCACAGTGGTTTAATTTATTTCTCACACAGTAAGTTACAACCATTTATCTTTTTGAGTTATTAGCAAGATATAACAAAACAATTGTTGACTGCTGTGATGTGGATATGCCGTTTTAACCCCCTTTGGGGTGCATAGCATGCTCAACTTTGCTTCGGGTGCCATGTGCCCCTCTGGTGTTAAAATCATCATATCTCACATCGCAGCAGTCAACAATTGTTAATTGATACTAGAAACACCATGTTTCAAAAGGAGCATTATTTTACAGGAACTCAAGCTTATTGTTAAGGGTTGTCTTCTTTTATTTGCTACTTTAGACATGAGATGCAGCACTTTGTGAATGTCATGCAGGGGTATGTGGTGAATCAAGTCATCCATGTTTCTTGGGAAGAGTTCCAGAGACAACTAAAGACTGAGGTAAGCTTTTACAGTCAAACTAAACAAAGGAGTCCTTTTAAGTAAATGGTTCACATCAGTTAAAAAAAAAAAAAAAAAGGAATATGGAAGGCTACTCCAGTTTGCAATATATCTATACAGGTTTTTTGATGCCAAAGTAATAAGACTGAGCTTAATCCTTGACTTAGTTTTATTTGTTTCTTATTTATCCTGGTAGCCAGACCAATGCTTAAGCGCTGTCCTCCCTCAGGAATTGAGAGTAGAAGAGAAAGAAAGTTTCAGGTTAAGAACAGCATCCCCTTTATCCAACCAAAAGTAGCACATGCTATTGGTACATGTATATTTTATCTTCCACCCTCTTGATGTGCTAAACAAGTGCAGGAATATGCTTGCATCAAGTTGTGTTATACGGCCTGCCGCTTTGATCAGATTTGCTTAACTGATACAGTATTAATTGTTTCCTTTTTATTATGATGAATGCAGGAGTGGTTGTAGCCAGTTAAATAAAACAGGATAACGCATAAAAGTTCTCACTGGCTTGATCTCAAGTGAATTCGTTTCAAGCAGGGTTTCTTATAAACATTTGCTTTCCATATTTCCCATAATTTATTTAAATCAGTTGCTGGTGATAATGTTTTTGTTTCTTTGTAAGGTGTATAACCTTGATGACCTTCACCAGAAACATGCCGAGTATCTCAACAAGGCTGTCTTCAGGTATTCATTTTAATTATCCTCAAACCCTTCAATCCTTTTTGTTAACATTTTTAACTAGCCGTGATTGCAAGGCTGTTTATATATTGTATCAGCTTGCATGCATGACTGGCGGTAGTTTACCCAGCTCCACATGCGGTGAAAACCTGATCCGCTGTATGCACGAAGCCTGCAGAGCATACTCAAACTACACCACATTATACTTGTGCAGAAACACTGTATTGTACAAACTGTCATACTTTACATAACTCTCGAGGACAAGGCATTGTGTTTCCCTATGTCCCCATAATATATCACTCTCCCATAGACCAAGCACACAAACTCATGATCGAGGACCATTAATGCTCAAGGACACTTAAGAAACTGTAGTTCTCCCTTTGTCTGTCTGTCCTTGGGGTGTATGTAAAGTAAGCACAAGCACATGCACTGCCCTATGTGGGAGTCGTAGCCTTAATTTAAATGATGGTAATTGGATGGTAATTCATTGCCCCCTTAACACCTACATCTTAACCCAAACATGGAAAAAGCAGACACAATCGCCCGTCCTCAAAAACACAGATGTTAGGTTTGTCTTTCAATCTGTGTAATTTCAGATGCCTTCTGAACAAGAAAGCTGTTCCTGTCATGAAGATCATATTAGACATCTTGTGTCTGATCCTCAAAGTCCGTACACAACTTGTTGCCTCCTCCTGGGTCTATGACAAAGAGACAAAGCAAGCCTCTCATCCTGGCTTCCATACCATCAAGATGTCTTACCTAGCCTTCAAGGATTACTCAGAATTCCTCTACAAAGGTAGGCCAGAGTTGTCTTAGTTTCCCTTTCTGGAAGAATTCCATATATGGACATCACTAATTTTTCCCTGCAGTGACCTATCAGCCACCAGAACACAATAACATGTCCTAAAAAAGTCAAATTTAGCAGGGAAAATATAACAAGTCGGTAATTGTTTTGTGTACGGTAAAACTGGCTCCACGCACGCAAAATATAAATTGCTGTATGCAATGCGGTAATCTGGTTCCCAGACCAAATGATGCCGACTATTGATGTTCAATTACCGACTTGGTGAATACCTTTTCAGTTTGGTATACAACACATGGGAGTATTTTGAATCGCTAGCAAACTCTATGCAAGCAATCTGATTGGTTCAGATTCCATAGTGCATTCTAGGCCGCCACGGAGGATCATTCCAATAACTTCGAGGGTTTGCACATTATGTTGTGTAACATTACAAAAATCATTATAGGACTTGCACGATTCAAATAAATCAAGTATATTACAATGGTACATTTTATTTCAATACACAATTGGCCTAGCTGATGTATTGGTTGTTAAACGTCGCCAGATCTGCAAACGTGTCCCCGACATATTGAAAAGAATTCCCCATGCAATGGAATGAATGAACCCTCATTTGCATAGCGGTGCGTGATTGGATCTCACCGCAAAAGTACACTGCATATGTATTGCGCTGCACGAATTTATGAATAACGGTCCAAGAACGTAATGGTCAAGTCGTTAGATATGTCGCAACCGCAACTTGTATTGAAACCACAGACAGACATAATAAACGCAACCCGCAGGTCGATAACGTACTAGTCTTATACCAGCCGTGTCGATGGAGTTCGACTGAAGTCAGGGACAAATACGATATGCTTCCCTGAGTTACACATTCCAAAATCTAATCCTTGTACTTTCTTGTTTCTACCTAGTGGTTGCCAAACTGGTCACACGTGGATACCAACCCCACTTGGAGGAGTTCATGCTGAGGCTCAATTTAACGACTTTTACAAAGACTCTTAGTGCTTCAAATCCAAAATATGCCAGAGGTGGTCAAATGCAGTTACTTTTTCTTTTCTTTTTTTTGAGCTGGTGTGACATGTTTCCTGCAGTCAATGAGTGAGACAGTTATCTATGTATTTGAAATCTTGTCTGATACAAATCTTATTGAGAGTTGGTCATGCCAAGTACACAAGTTCCGTACAACCAAAACTTCCACGTTTAACAGCTAGTGGTGGCCTACACAATCAAGTCAAACAAAATTTGAAGTTGAAATACTTTGAAATAAATAACCGAGTTCCATTTTACACTGTTTGTAACTATAAAGTAGGTAAGACATTGCTTGATTTGATTTAGTATGGCAATTGCCAGACCTCTGCCTGAATGACATACTTTCTTGTGGTTTGTGTCCTCCCCCCTTAAAAAGAAGTGCTGTTAGTGCAAATTAAGTGCCACTGGAATAGTATTGTTCTCCGTTCAGTTTTATTAACTTGAACTGAAAATACCTTAGTCAAAACGCAACCTGTTCCTAGGCCATAAGTGTTACATGTACATGCATGCAGGCCCTTCATGATTTATCTACATTTCATATTTGTGGCACT